GAAGAGGGCAAGCGAAGAGGAGGAGGGACTGTGAGAGGAGTGGAGATAGGAGGCGACGGGTGAAGCCGCAGACACACGGGCAGTAGGAGCGGCGCGCACGGTGGCTACCGGAGCAAGGGCCCCGGACTGCAGGAGTAACTGGGCTCCACGGCTAAGACGAGCGGCTGGAGCAACGGACCCACGGGCGACTGGCGCAGCAGGCTCGCTGGGCTCTCGGAGTAAGGGTCCCGGACTACTGGCGCTGCTGACGTCACGACGGCTACCTCCGCTCAACCTCCCCCAACTGTCCCACACCCCTTTTGTCAAGAAGTCTAGGCAGAGACGAGAAACAGGAAAGAGGGATTTCCACAAGCAGACAGTTGAGTACATATAGCAAACCCTAATTCGGGCTGTACTCGCTATAGAGTACCCCACTGCAGGCTAGACAAACATCACATTCTGACACACCCCCATAGTCAAAGTGGGGTATAATCACCACAATAAGCAGGCATAGCAATAGTTCACAATGATAAGCAAAGCTAGAGACAGTCACAGAGGGCAAGTGAGGAGGAGGAGGGACTGTGAGAGGAGTGGAGATAGGAGAAGACGGGTGAAGCCGCAGACACACGGGCAACAGGAACGGCGCGCACAGTGGCTACCGGAGCACTCAACCTCCGGACTACAGGAGTAACTGGCTCCGCGCTAAGACGAGCAGCAGGAGCACTGACCTATGGGCGACTGGCGCAGCAGGCTCGCTGGGCTACCGGAGTACTCAACCCCCGGACTACTGGCGCTGCTGACGTCACAACGGCTACCTCCAATCAACCTCCCCCAACTGTCCCACACCCCTTTCACACACTCCCTGCTGTACCCCTAGCACTCCTCACATGCCACCCCCCTCGTACCACTCCGACGGCTCCAACACATCCACCCCCCTCAGCGGCAGCTGCAGCAGTGGGAGACGGAGGAGGAGGAGGAGCAGGGGACAGAGCACACACCCGTCACCCCCATACTCGCCACCCCCACACTCGCCACCCCCAAACCCTAACACAGGCAGCAGCAGGGGGCGGTGTGCGGTCAGCAGCTCGGGGGATGGCACGCAGCTCTGGCGCAGGCTGTACGGGCCGCGCGCGGGCCTGGCGCAGGTCGCGCGGGCCACGTCGGGCGACGGGGGGCGACGCACGGGTCCCCGGGGGCGCCGCGACGGGCGACGGGGGGCGACGCGCAGGTCGACGGGGCAGAAAACCGCCGCGCGCCTCGGGGCGCACGGCGGGCAGAAAACCGCCGCGCGCCCCGAGCGCGCGGCGGGAAGAAAAAACGCCATGCACCCGAGCGCGCGGCAAGCAGAACACGTCGCGCGCCTGGGGCACGTGATAGGCAAGACAGCAGCGGAAGCATTAGGTGGCGGGCCCATCCACAGGATCGATCTAGGAGGGTCGACCTGCTCTGATAGCATGTCAGAAACTAGATAGGAAAGAGGATTTTCACTAGCAGGCAGTTGAGTACATATAGCAAACCCTTATTCGGGCTGTACACCCTCCCCCCCACCCCCCCCCCCCCCCCAGCAGCAAATGCGGCAGTATGAGAGAGAGGAGGAGGGGCGGCAGCAGATCACTCACACCCGCCACCCCTATACTGCGGAGAAGGGAGATTAAGGGGAAGGGAGAGAGGGGGGGCGGGGTTAGAAGGTGCGCGGGCGACAGCAGGGTGCGCTGGCGGGCAGAACCCGTCACGCGTCCAGGGCGCGCGACGGGCAGAACCCGTCGCACGCCCGGGGCGCACGATGGGCAGAAACCGTCGCACGCCCGGGGCGCGCGACGGGCAGGAAACCGTCGCGCGTCTAGGGCGTGCGACGGGGATGAAATCGCCGCACGCCCGGGGCACGTGACGAGCAGAAAATCGACGCGCGCTCGGGGCGCGCGGCGGGCAGAAAACCGACACGCGCCCCTCGCGTGCGACGGGCAGCAGAGAGGCCCATGAGCGGAAGCTGTTAAAATAGTAGGCAGGAAGAGGAGCCATAGCTAGGGTTTACCTAGCTAGGCAAGAGAGAATTAGGGAAAGGAGGATTTGACTAGAAAGAAGGGAGGTACAAATAGCAAGCCCTAAAAGGGTTTACTCACTATTGAGTACCCCACTACAGACTAGACAAGCATTATAATCTGACACACCCCCATAGTCAAAGTGGGGTATAATCAGCACAGCAAGCAGTCATAGAGCAGGTTCACAGGTTCAAGCAAAGCTAGAGGCAGTCACACAGGGCAAGTGAGGAGGAGGAGTGACTGTGAGAGGAGAAGAGATGGGAGGCGACTGCTGAAGCTGCAGACACACGGGCCACAGGAGCGGCTGGCTCAGTTGCTACCGGAGCAAGGGCCCCGGACTACAGGAGTAACAAGCTCAGGCAGGAGCAACGGACCCACGGGCGACAGGCGCAGCAGGCTCTCTGGGCTACCAGCGGCAAGGGCCCCGGACTACAGGTGCTGCTGACGACAAGACGGCAGCCTCCGCTCAACCTCCCCCGACCGTCCCACACCCCTCTCACACACCCCCTGCTGAAACCCTAGCTCCACTCCCACGGCACCCCCCTTAAACCCTAAACCCTCGGCTCCCACACACCCACCCCCCTCAGCGGCAGCTGCAGCAGTGGGAGACGGAGGAGGAGGAGGAAGAGCTGCAGGTTACCCACACCGTGCACCCCCATGCCCGCCACCCCCAAACCCTAACGCAGGTAGGAGCGCGGGAAGCAGCAGGGGCGGCTCACGGAGGGAAAGGGAGGAGGCGGGGGGGTCTCCTGGGCGCCACGAAGAAGCAGGGCGCGGGCCCCCCGAGGGCGCCACGGCGGGTGACGGGAGGGGGGCCGCGCACGGGCCCCCGAGGGCGGCTCGACGGGCGACGGGAGGGGCCGCGCGCGGGCCCCCAAGGCGCCGCGACGAGGCGACGGGAGGGGGCGGCGCGCGGGCCCCCAAGGCGCCGCGACGAGGCGACGGGAGGGGGCGGCGCGCGGGCCCCCAAGGTGCCGCGACGAGGCGACGGGAGGGGGGGGACGCGCGGGCCCCCAGGGCGCCGCGACGGGTGACGGGAGAGGGCGCCACGACGGGCGACGAAACCGCCGTGCGCGCCCAGGGCGCACGGCGGGCAGAAAATCCTGGGGGCGCGACCACCAGAACAGTAGCAGCGGAACAGTAGCAACGGCGCACGGCGGCGCCCTGGGCGCTCGTGGCGCGCGACGGGATGAAAAAGTGTCGCGCGCCCAGGGCGCGCAACCAGCAGAACAGTAGCAGCGGAAGCAGTAGGCGGGCCCACAGGCCAGGAGCGTAAATGCTCTGATACCATGTTAAAATAGTAGGCAGGAAGAGGAGCCATAGCTAGGGTTTACCTAGCTAGGCAAGAGAGAATTAGGGAAAGGAGGATTTGACTAGAAAGAAGGGAGGTACAAATAGCAAGCCCTAAAAGGGTTTACTCACTATTGAGTACCCCACTACAGACTAGACAAGCATTATGATCTGACAGAAGCGTAGTGGTGGGCCCTGTGCGACAGGTCGTAGGAGAAACCTCTCTCTGATAGCATGTCAGAATACTAAGTATAACCTAGGACTAGGAGCCTAGGGTTTTAGGATAGAACACAAGGGTTGGCCAAAGAAAGAAGAGGTTCACTATGGAAAGGCAGGTACAAATAGGATGAGCAAGACAAAGAGGTGCACCACCACCAAACATGAGGCAGCTACACTAACATTACAGACAGTTATATGAAATATGAAGAACATTTTTTGACCTCGTATGTAAGGAAAACCCTTTTTTCCTTACTGGGGTTTACTCAACCGCGTACAACCCCAACTTTCGGAAGTGCACGTTCGGCCGCTTTGCTTGCTGCCGAAGCAACCTCGCGTCGCCTTCGGCTTTCCTTTGCCCAACCTGCACTCAACATCGTCTTCCCGAGGTTCCCGCCTAGCTAGGTTGCCTCGCTATATAATCGCATGACTTTCATTGTATCGTCAATTCATTGAGTTACAGCTCGTTATTCGTTATTCCGCGCAACTCTGTTTGACAACTCATAACATCGTATCAATGTACCATTCAACAATACACTTTGTACCTTTGCTCCCCTTGTTCGCATGAGCTTACTTCACCTTCCTATCTCCCCTTACCCCACTCCGCTTCCGCATTTTTCCTCCGTCACACCACAACAGAAAAACTGCTACAGTGGCCTTGCCGCCCTTCCTGAGCAACCCGCCTGCTGCGACATCCCGATATACGCCCCTTATGAGTGTCCCTATGGCTCCGTGGACACTAAGAAATACGCGACCTTCCATGGACAGCGGGAATGCATCCAACGCTTGCCAATGGTTCCCACTCCTAGACGATCCTACCGGTCCCGAGAATCCTCCGCTTCCGTATATGGGCACACCTTGGTCCTTTGAGCGAGTGCCTAAAAGCAACTTAAGTGTTACTGCTTATAAGGGAGCTGCACGTATGGGAGCCACTGGTGTAGCAGCGTTTGTGGCGGCTTTGTCTGCAGTTTTTGCTGGTTGATGTCGACAGAAGTAGTTAGTTGCATGAACATAAATATGTGCTATACCTTCACTATTTTGTTTTGCTATTATTGCTGCTATTATTGTTCGGTTTGCGCGTCCATTTCCAGAATTCAACATCCCTCGATTCCCGCGTAAAGCTCGACGGACCGCGCATTTCCAATTTTCGCATTCACTTTTCCCACCGAGACTCCCGCCCCACACTCCCGCGCATTCCTCGTTCAGAAAGGCAGTCAGTGAGAAGGAGCAACCACACGTAATGAACGAATGATTGACAACATTCACTAACAAACAGAGTCTGGAAGCTGTCTTTATTTAGCCATCCGCTTATGCGCGGAATGGACGTTGCTCTTCTGACCTTCTGACAGAAAATAAACCTACCCCTTTACGAATCGCCACACGGATTCCTCAGGCAACGCTATCCTTCTTATCAGCATCGTCTTCGCCGCCAAACTCACTCCCCATTCCCCACAATTCCAATCAGTCAAACTTCAATTAGTCGAGCTTCACACCCTTTTTGACAGCATCAGCCTCCGCGTTATCCGCGTTAGCCTTCATGGAGTTATACCTCGTCGTCAGCGCCCCCACGGTCTTCTCCTGGCTCGCACGCACCGCCGTCTTGGAATTAAGAACCGCCTTGGCGCTGCGCTGCACCGCCAGCTTCTGCTGTGCAATCGCGTTCGACGCTCTAACGGCCGTGTCCGCCGCTTTAGTGCTTGCAATTTTCTGCAGGTACATCGTGGTCGAGTCTTTCTCGTCCTTCTCCGCTTTTTCCTTCACCGCCTTCTGCTCGTCAGCCGCCTTTCGCGTGTCGGCTTTGTCCTGAACCTTATTGTCGTGCTCCGATGTACGCGACTGAACCCTATAATCCGCGTTTGCCGCCTGCTTCTGAACCGCCACCAAGATTCGATCCGATTGCAGCTTGATGTTGTACGCTTCCAGCTGGTACGCCTTCGCCTCGGGAGTGCCGAGCCTCGCCGCAGCCCGAGCCGCGGAGGTAGATTCGGCAAGCGCCTCCGCGGCGATCTTCGTTTGCTCATCCATGATCAGCTTGGTCGTTTCCAGTCGATTCTGGGCGTCAATTATGTCTTTTGCCGCTTCCGCCTCATCGAAGACAGCTTCTTGGGCCTGTGAATCAAGCTCGTCGTAATACTCGCGCTCTTCCTGCGTCGTCTGCTTCGCCTGGATCGTCGCCTGTCGCGCCACCTCCTGCTCCTGCTTCGCGCGCTCCAGCGCCGCCTTTTTCCCGTTCAGGTCCGCCATGGCGGCGTCCGCATCCGCGTCTGCGTCCGCGGATTTCTTCGCCGCATCGCGTTCGTCCGCCAGGCGCGCGTCGAGTACCGCCTGTGCCTTGTCGAGGTCAGCCTTTGCCTGATTGGCCTGCGCGCGAAGCGTCTTCGCCTTGGATGCGATGTACGCGGCTTGCGAGGCGCTCAGGCTCTGCGCGTTGGCGAGGAGACCGGGGTTGAAGTTTGTCGTCGTAGCGAGCGCGAGGAGTAGCAGAAGAGCGAGCTTGGTGAGCCGACGAGCCGCCATCATGCCAGATTGACCGGGTTGACCGCGCTTGACCGCGCTTGACAGCGCTTATCCCGGGAAATGAGGAGAATGAAGCTGAATGCGAGAGTTCGCTAGTTCAAGGTGATGGATTTCCGTGAATCCAGGCGCAGGAAGACGTTTATGCTATCGGGATGACCTTGGGTGGCTTTGAATCTGATGTCGAACTTGCTTGGGAGTCTGGATCTTATATACACAGCTACGACAGCACGCCTTGCTACGTAAGGGTTACCAGGAACCGAATGTGTTTGGAACGGTTTCCCACGGTGTCGCGGATTCGCGACGTGCAATTTGGCCTAAGAAACAGTCGAAGTGAGGGGAGTGTAACTAGTGTCGAGAGTGTTCGAGAAGGGCCGAACGCACTTGGTGGGAGTTCTTGTTTTGTGCGATTCGAGGAATTTACCCTAAGGACGCTTCCTCCCATAGGCTTCCTGGCGACTGCGGTCGGTGAAGTGATCTACCTTCGGTACATCTGGGGAAGAACCCACGTCCCTGAAAGAGCCTTGAGAGAAAAGGGTACAGGGTTGGGGGCGGGGCTGGGTTGGATTGGGTGGGTGGAAGGGGGAGGACGGACCGCCGTGTTTGCGCGTTTTCGATTCCTTTCGGCAGTGGCTTTGACAGCGACCCCGACCGCGCTCGCGCCCAATTCCCGCGGGCAGTTTTTATTGCAATTTCCCATTTTTCGTGACCAAACGAACAGAAGGGCAAATACTAAGTCTACCTGGTTTCAGTATGAGGCCAGTGGAAAAACTAAAACCCACTCGGATGACAAGCCATTAGGGAGGCATCAACCCTAAACACCTTGCCTCATGGTGTTTAGGGTTGATGCCCCCCCTACGTGGCATACCATCCATGAGGGTTTTTTTTTTGTCCCGAGCTGCGCGTTTGTTTTTTTTTAACGGACTCGACGAATATCCCGTAACATAAAAAAACATGTATTTGTGGACTCAAATGGGGAAACGGAGAAAAAATATGCCCCAAGGTATTGGACGCGAGCGCGGAGCGATGCGCTGTCAAAGCCACTGCCCATTGGAATTGGAAACTAGAAAACACGGCGGTCTGTCATTTCCTCGGCCGCGGGGGTTGCTGATTGCAGTCGAAATCTCGAGAAGCCCAAATTCCAACTGGCATTGGAGTTCACACATTGCGAATCGCGCCAGCAATTCAGCGGCGCGTTGGAGAAGATGACCTAGGCGGGAGTCAGGCGAACACGGCTTACGTTTCAAACTAAGAGTTGCAAAGCGGACATTCTCAAGCCATTTCCACTACTAACCAACGGTGTGTCGAGGTATTTCGCACTCAGTTTCGGAGACTCGCCTAAACATCGAGTCTTCGGCATTTGTAAATGGGTTGCGTCTTATCCATGAACGGGACAGGTTCTATTGCTGCTCCACCCCTCACTGCTCCAAATCGCCTTACACCCTACACTACCGTAACTTGACGTAAGGGGCTGGTGAGAGACTGCAATGAGTGTACAGTACAATATAATATCGAACACGAACGCAACCCAATGTTTTCTGTAGTCAATTGAAAAGTCCGATCGAGGCTACTCTGAGGCGAATGCGGTTCGAGGAGTGTTGCGAGTGTGGTCGCCTGGAGTCAACGCATTTTGCAATGCTTTCCCTCACGAGGACCCGTGGGGCAAGGTAAGGGAGACACGAGACGAGTCGCGAGCGAAATCGCGCCGTGAATCGCGATTCGCAATGGCCTGACTTCAACACATGGCTCATCAAGCATGGCCTCTGCAGGTGGCTCCTTGCCACCGCACCGCTGTAAGGGGGCACAGCTCACTATGTTTGCTCTAGACCAGTCAACGGTGCAGCCAAAACTCTAGTTTTCTCTATTTTGGCTTCCAGTTCCTTTGTCTCCGAGGAGCACAATTCCGCCTGGGCAGAGTAAGATTCGTTTGATATCCGTGAAAAGAATCTCTAACAAAGGATTGGGTTGTATTTTTATGGGCAGCTATCTTCAAAATACGCCAGTCTGGCATGCACGGGCGGCATCAGGCTAACAAGCCTGGTAATGCGCCGCGATGCACGATCTAACACAGCAGAGTAGAGCTCGACTCGACAACATGCGGGGTGGCCGCTTTGTACTTAGGAGATCACATCCATCTCACTCTCACACTTCAATCTCCGCTCGTTCTCAACAGTTATTACTGTTACCAACTCGATTGCCAACTTATCACTCTCTCTCGCCGTGCTTATCCAGCACCAGACATTTGAATCGGAGAGCCACGTGCTTTTTTTTCTCCGCAGCTCCCCCGTACAGCCTCGAGCAGCGTCTTCGAGTAGTGCCCGCGCCGCCGGATTCCCACAATTTCCCGTACGAAGTCCTGCAAAGAATCGAGCTGCTCTGATCCTGAAACTTCGGCAACATGACGTCGACTGAACGTGTTGCTCTCGCTGTCGCTTTTCTGGCGTGTTTCGCCGCACTTCTCGCCGCTCCTCCAGGCGCCGCCGCCCAGAACGCGTTTCTCGTAACCAAAGCCAAGAATCTGCGCGCCGCTGCGGATCAAGCAGCGATGGACCTGAAAGCCGCGCAAGCGGACGCCGCCAAAAACGCGGACGAAGTAGCCAACGCCACGCAAGCGCTGTCCGATCTCCAGAGCCCGGACGATTCGGCTCTCGACGACCTCGTTACAAGCGTCTCCAACACGAACAGTAGCGTCGCTGATGCACAGTACGACCTCGACATCGCAAACAAGATTCTTGCTCTTCGGATGGCGGATCTCGCGGCGTTCAAGGCTGACCCGTCGAAGCACCCGCAAATCCCGGCGGCGCAGAAGGCGGTCAGCGACGCTACTCGGCGCGCGAGAATGACGTCAGCGTTGCTACAGGAGTGGCAGATGGTCGTGCAAGAGGCAGCGCAAGCGGAAGCTGACGCGCAAAAGGCTCTCAATGATAACCCCTCGCCCGTGGCGGAGGCGGCGCTCGCGGAAGCGCAGGATTCGCGGAAATCTGTGGAGGATGTTTATCCCGACATGGTGGCGCAAGATCAGCGCGCGCAGGCGCGGCTGCAGCGCGCGCAAACGGAATTGAACAATTTGATGACTCTCGGTCCGCAGGATGAGAGCGTTTTTCAGATGGCAGTGGACGATGCGAGAGCCGCAGTTAGCGTCGCCAGCCAGGTGTACAACGACTTGCTAGCTGCTCTCGCTGATGCGCAAAAGTCTGTTGACGATTACCAGGCGAAGAAGCAAAAGGCGATCGCTGACACGAAGGCGCGCTTGGCGAAGGCGAAGCAGAGCCAGGTTGTGGCAGACAAGAAGGTGCTTCAGCTCACGGATAAGCTCAAGGCTGCGCTGGTGCAAGCTGACAATGCAGAGAAGGCTGCTGGAATCAACAAAATCTCCTAAATGGGCATCGCAGAAGAGCACACGGTGTGATGAACGTTTTACACCGAATGGCATCTTGCTCTTTCCGTCTCATAATGTTTCTCATGCGCAGCAGTAGCATAGGCACTGCTCTCTCTCAAGTCTTCTCAATGCTCTTGAGAAATAAGTGCATGCAGCAAGGACTTGGAGTGTCCATTCTTAAAGACAAGGTGAGGGTGGGGTCAGGGTGGATTTGGAGCTTTATTAATCGCGAGTTCATTATTTCTTTCATTGATTCCTTCCTTTCCATCAGCCTCAATGTACTACTAAATGTATAGGGTCTTATTCCATGCATAACCAGCAACATTTCGGTTGTGAACTTGTTAGTGAACTGTCTTACCGGGTTCTTCCTTCCCACTAAGAGTAATAAGCTAGAAACTAAGTAACCACTCAATTCAGTCGCAACTTGCAACTTTGCTGGGTTCGGTTGGGAGCACCTGAGATTGGCTGCAGCCTTATCATGTTGGGTAAGCCAGAGAACACACAAGGAAGCATAATACCACAGCAGGAAAATATGAGACTTCTGACAATCCAGTTGCAGCTGGAGGGGAGAGCGACCTACACACAACCACAAGGCAATATAGAAAACTCGATTCCTCCTTATTTATTTATTTATTTATTTATTTTCACTAGATTATTTAAACTGATGCATTTATATCTGATAAGCAAATGCTAGTGTAAAATGCTAGGTGTGGGGTGGGGCGAGTTGTTATATTTTACAAAGCCCCAAATCCTGGAGCTACAAAGCCCAAAAACGAATGTATCCATTGCGAGCCGCGTCAGAATATCAGCGACGCAGGGTGGGGGCAACGATAACGCCCAGAATTTCGAGAGATAATACAGGGTAAATATTCACTTCAGACCCCTGCTGAAAATGGTAACCCAGTCGGAGTCTATTTCCCGATTGAGACGGGATGCCAACCTAGTTATTACGTAAGCTTTTTAAGTGCTCATTGAGCTAGCCTTGATTAAACTTGACCTGGATGCCTGAATTTGTCACATTGAGTTTACGTAGACGGGAAACAAATATTTGGGGTCGAATGGTACCCGGTCAGAGCACATGCAAGCAAATTCGTTCGGCCAATGGGGAGAAGGGTCAAGGAGTGTCGCGCGCGTGGTCGCCTTGGGTCAACGCCATGGATTCCACTCATGTGCGAGAGACGCGAAACGCGGTGGCCCAATTCGCATCGCAATTTCGCAATTCCTCACGCGAGCACATGGAAACAGCCTTGTTCTGCCTTCTCGGGGCCCTGTCAAATGCAGTTTTTTGCTGGCAATAACTTGATTCTGTCGGTGGCTCCCCCCTGTGTAGCTTTCTCTAGCAGATTGTGAGGCCCCAAACAGATAGTCGTATCCCATGCATCCCCGAACAGGGGTGCCATGGTTTTGAGCGAGACCGTGGTTCTGGAGATACATTTGGTTATGGAATTGCTACATTATCAAACGCAGAATCCAAGTCGATGCACGAATGCTAGTATCATCAAACTCTCTTTCTCGATCTGACCAACGACTCCCTTTGTAGCTCAGTCTATCTTCCTCCTCGTGCCGCTTTCTTCCCAACCTAGACATTTGAGCCCGCGGCGCCAGAGCGCAACCCTTTTTCTTTTAGCGCGCCACCATCACTCGTCGAACTCAACCGCAGCTGCCAACGCCTACCATATACTCTCGAGCGTTAAGCAATAGCTGAGCTGGTGCGATTCCTTCAATCCGCCGCTGCTCTCTCATGATGTCGATTACTACGCGCGCTGCTCTCTCAGCAGCCCTGCTGGCAACTTTCGTCGCGCTTCTCGCTCCTCCCCGGCCATTCGCCGCCGCGCAATCCGCGTTTCTCATAGCGAAAGCGAAGACGCTGCGCGCCGTTGCGGACCAAACGGCGGCGAACCTGACGGCGGCGCAAGCGGACGCCGCCAGATGCGCTGACGAAGTAGCCAACGCCACGCAAGCGCTGGCCGACCTGCTGGCCCCCGATACGGTGCTGTCCGACCGCATTTCAAGCATCGCCGATATGAATGTCAGTCTCGCCAACGCACAGAACGAACTCAATATCGCGAACAAGACCCTCGCTCAACGAATCGCGGACCTCAAGGCGTACAATGACGATCCGTCGAGCTTCCCGCAAATTCCGGCGGCGCAGAAGGCGGTGGAAGACGCGACTCGGCGCGCGAACACAACGTCTGCGATGGTAGCGAAGTGGCAGAGCATCAAGCAGGACGCTGTGCAGGCCGTGGCAGACGCGGAAAGAGCGGTCGCAATGAACCCGAATTCGACGGCGGCGCAGGTGGTGCTCTCGGGCGCGCAGGCGTCGCTGCAAAATGCGGCGGAGACGTATGCGGACATGGTGGCGCAAGATCAGCGCGCGCAGGCGCGGCTCGCGCGCGCGCAGCAGGACCTGAATGCTCTCCAGCAGAACCCGCCTCTGGTCGACGTGAACGTTTTCCCGAAGGCCGTGGACGACGCGCGAGCCGCGGTTTCCGTCGCACGCCAGGTGTACGACAGCATAGTTGCGACCATCACTGACGCGCAGAATGCGTTGAATCAGTACAAGGCGGCGAAGGCGAAGGCGATTGCTGACGCGAAGACGCGTTTGGCGAAGGCGAAGCAGAGCCAGGCTGTCGCAGACAAGAAGGTGCTTCAGCTCACGGATAAGCTCAAGGTCGCGCAGGCACAAGCTGACAACGCGGAAATAGCTGCGGGAATCATCAAACCTGCTCCTGCAATGAGCAAGACTGCTGTGAAACGCAAGTACAAGAAGCACTAAATGGGCTTCGCTGAAGGCCCACTTGGTGTGACCAATTTGCGCAGGTGTCTCATTCTACACCAATTTCATCAGTTTCACTCTTCCATATCACTCTTGCACTCCTGAATATTTCTCATGCGCAGCAGTTGCACTACGCTACGCTGTATGAAGGCGGACTCTATGCCTTTGATAAATAAGCGCATGCTGGAATTGAGAATTTCCATGTTCGTTTACAAGGAGAGAACCTTGTTACTATTTGTTGAAACTATATACGAGATTTAATGTAATTATAACCACTGAGTCTCATTGTACCGGAAGTCATCGCTTTGAATACCAAAGCTAACGAAATCTTATTTCCGAGTGTACGCAATCTGGGTAAAAGACACAAGATCATCGACGGTTGTCATTCCAACTAAATAAACTAAAGTTGCCCACATCGACGGCTTAGACTTGAACAATTCCCAACTTCTTTTCTCAGCAAGTGAACCTTGCATGCAATCTCAACCGTACACATGCGGTTCGAGAATGTGTTGGAAGTGTGGTAACCTGGAGTCAGTCAACGTATTCGGGCAATACTGTTTGTTCGTCCTCTCGGCAGCAACGCGAGGGAGGGAGGGAGGGACACGCTCGACGATGTGTCGCGAGAGGAATCGCACCAAAAATTCGCGCGAATCGCGAAAGGGCCTCACTTGATCACATGTCCTGTCCGCCTGACTCCCTGCTTGCCACCACAGGGGAAAAGATTCGTCTACTTCTTGATTCGTGGTGCTTGCGCGCTACCTACCGTACCACGTTGAACGAGCAGCTGTAACAAGCCTGTCTCTGCCCTGGCATTCACCTCGCTGCTGCCTTGCCTCAGTCCATAGTGGGGCACCAAAAGTCAAATTCGGTAATTAGTCCCTAAAAACATGATCGGAAGTTGTGACTGTCTGTTTTCTCGGTGGAAGACGCTCAATGCTGATTTCAAATAGATTATCGTTGATAAAGCCAGTTACATTCTGAATCATCACGCCAGCCTGGAGAGCACAGCGCAGCATCAGGCGAAGATGTCGACGAATCATGGGCAGTGCTGAACGGGGTGTAGCACCGCGAGTAGGGTCCAAGCTTTTGCTGGTTCCGCTCATTCTCCACCGTACCTACAGTACCACCACTCGTCCCTGTCATCCCATCGCATCATCGCATCGCACATCCCCACCAACTCCCTTCTCAACACAGTCCCTGTCTAGTACTTATCATGTCACTCGTTCTTTCGCCAGCTGAGCTCATCCACTGTCCATTCCCTATCAGATGCTTATAGAATTCCCCACTGGGTATTTGAAACGGAGAGCCCCGTGCTTTCTTTGTCTTTGAGCTGCCAACGAAGTATTACACAGTAGAGCGTCATTGAAGTTCTACGAACAAGCAAGCTGCTTCGATTCAGTAAAAGTAACGCCGGCGCGATGACGATTTCGCGTGCTGCTCTAGCCGCCGCTCTCCTTGCGTGCTTCGCCGCGCTTCTCGCTCCGCCCGGGGCGCTTGTTTCCGCGCAAAACGCTTTCCTCATAGCGAAAGCCAAGACGCTTCGCGCCGCGGCAAATCAAACCGCGGCGGACCTGAAAGCGGCGCAAGCGGACGCCGCCAAACAGGCGGCTGAAGTCGCCGCCGCCAACCAAACTCTGTCCGATCTGCAGGGCCCGGACCCGGCTCTCAACGACCGCATTGCAATGATCGCCGAAATGAATAACAGCGTCGCCGATGCGCAGTACGACCTCGAGATCGCAAACAAGATTCTCGTTCTCCGGATCGCGGATCTCGCGGCGTTTCAGGCCGACCCGTCCACGCACCCGCAAATCCCGGCGGCGCAGAAGGCGGTCAACGACGCGACGCGGCGCGCGCGCATGACGTCAATGCTGCTAGAGGAATGGCAACTCGTCGTGCAAGAGGCCGCGGACGCGGAACGCGACGCGCAGAGGGCGGTAAACAAAAATACGACTTCGCTGGTGGCGCAGGCTACGCTCGTGGAAGCGCAATTTTATCGCCAATCTGTGGAAGACGTGCTCCCCGATATCGTGGCGCAAGATCAGCGCGCGCAAGCGCGTCTGGATCGCGTTCAGAAGGAACTGCTCACTCTGCTTTCGCAGGGTCCGCAGTCAGAGAGCATTTTCCAAATGGCGGTGGATGACGCACGAGGCGCGGTTAACGCCACACGCCTGGTGTACGATAACGCTGTTGCGGCAGTCGCTGACGCGCAGCTGGCGCTTGCGGACTACCTGGCGAGCAAGGAAAACGCGATTACTGACACGAAGGCGCGCTTGGCGAAGGCGAAGCAGAGCCAGGCTGTCGCTGACAAGAAGGTGCTTCAGCTCACGGATAAGCTCAAGGCTGCGCTGGTGCAAGCTGACAATGCGGAAAAGGCTGCTGGAATCTACAAGCCTCCAGCAACCACTAGCAAGACTGCCTAAACTTTGCCGGGGGGCCTAAGACGTGACGAATCTGCGCGGATGCGTCACTCGCCCGCTCTTCGTTTACAATCATACGTCGCTCATTCGGGAATGTCCCAAGTGCACAGCAGCGCAGCAAGCACTGCTCTGCTCAGCATACAAAAGAAACATGAGATGGGAGTGAGTTCGGTTTGTCTAGAATGTCACAGGTGTGTGCAGTGGGCTGGTTTTGTTGTTTTAGATTGTGATATACATAGTGTCATTCTTTCATTCTTTGCATCATCCTGGACAAGCTACCACACCATCTGTAATACATGAAGCCTGTAGGACTGTTGCAAGGTCCGCAGATGACAGTTTGTGGACGAGGAAATGTGGGGTGATGAATCGAGTGGGAGGTTGTACCGTACGATCCATCAAGAGAAGGTGCATACCATACCTCCATGCAAGGCATCGGAACCTGGATGGTTGAACATTGGATCTCTGGGCCAGAGCAAACCATTCTGAGCCCTTCAAGTCATGAACCCTCTTCAATCAAGCTGCTGCGGGTACGGAGACTTGAGCAGTGCTGGTGGCGAGAATTGGCAGGCAAGAGGAACTTGTAAACCGTACACTGATGGAGAGGTGTAATCGTGAGATGATGTAAACTGTACACTGTACATCTTTTAAACAAGAATCCAGTACATGCTGCTACTTATCAATGCACAGTAATGATGTAGGTCAGCCACCAGGAGCGCAGAGCACGTACGACGGCCAGTAATACCAGATTAGCGGCAAGAGAGCTGGCCAGTAACGACAAGGAATGCCATCCGGAAGTCACTGTAGAACGACCAGAGCGGGTAACGGAAAGTCGCCGGTCTGTTACGCTGGACGAAGAAATGCGAATACCACGCGCAGCCGTAACCGATGACAGGGGCCAGTAGGAGGAAACTAGGGTTCCGTGTGACTGCAGACGTTGTGGCGCAAGCGAGAGCGGCTAGGGTTCCAGCGGTGTGCCACAATCGAGTGGCTGGTTTGCTGTGCTCATTGAGGTAAAACGGCCAGAACTCGGCATAAGTCGCGATACGCGTGTGCGAGGGTACTGCTGGTTTCGACACTAACGACGGTCCTGTTAGGTGATCCTCTGCAGCATCCCTAGCCATATTAAATCGAGTATTGCTGGTCTAGGTTGTGGGGTATGAAAATGTACTGTCTAGACCACACTGACTGGGGATGGCCGCTAGGCTGGATATACTGCTAGCGTAGATTAGAGCCGCATCGTCCACCTACTGTTTCCAAGTTGGAAGCAAGAAGACAGCTAGAGGAAGGAGCTAGCATTCATGAAATCACCCAAGAAAGTTCTTGAGATGAGAGACGTAACTGCTAGATAGGTGCACTGGAGAGGTAGGTCGTCCAGTTGCTCTCTCTGGCTTCTTGGCGAAACCATCGTGAGGCGAACACCTTCATGCGATCTCGCGTAAAGGCCCACGAAAAAACACTCCCGTAACCCGCCCCTGCGTGCTGGACAGCCCAATTTTGTCAAACGAAACCAAGCTCCTTTGGGTTGGTTACCACTCTACGGTAAAAAGTCGTGCAAAGCTCTGGAAGGGTGCTGCGAGGTTGGGGAAGACATCGCACCTATTGACGAAAACGCGCGCGAAGCTCAAATGAAACATGTGCGATATGAGCGATTGTCTGTCTCCTTGAATTTCTTCCATCCATAAGAATATCGCACACACCCGTCGGCCATGCAATGCACGAATGGAGGTCATGCGGGAATTGCGGCGCATGCGCAACATGCAATGCAACTTATTCCTCGTTCGGCGCCGCTCAGGAAGTTGACGAAGTGTAGCCATAGAAGGCGCGAAAATGGTTCGCGCAAGTAGTGCGCACAAGTGGTGCGCGCAAGTGATGCGCGCACGGGATGCGCGCAAGTCAACTGCGCAGCTGACGCCCGCAGCCGATGCCTTCGGAGTTCGCTTCTCGGTTTATTGAAGCAGAGTTTCACTTTAAACGGCTTACCTTGGAGCGAGTGTGAGGTTTAATCGCTTTGACGGAAGAAGTCTTGGATTGCCGCCTCTGGTCTCCCATCTTTCTTGTCAACATGGCGCAATCTCTATTCGCGAAAGTGTCCCCATCGCCACTCGCGTCGCAAGCGTCGTTAGAATCATCCGCTCAGCACCATAGTGCGCTTCGTAACAATCGTGGCGGCATGGCGTTTCCACGTGTGTACGTCAGCAGGCGGATGAGAGGAGGACGCTCGGTGGTGATGACCGCCACGGATCCGAGCCACGTGGCGCGCGGAGAGCCTACCACGAAGGAAAAGCCAGCTCAGCCATTCGCGGAGAAGGAGGGTGTGATTGAAGGGAAGGCCGTTATAGCGAAGCCATCGCAGCTGCCACCAGAGCCTCCTAATAAACTTACGGAGCTGTATGATAAGGTATGATGACTATTATTAGGAATGAAAAGATGTGATGATTTCAGAAATCTAATGCTGTCGCTGCTACCACCACTAGACTCATGAAAGTAAGACCTTTGCTAGCAGTGGTCTTCCAAGAGGGTTTCTTAGGCGCCTCACAAATCAGTGCGATAAAGTCTCACCTTATATCGAGTATATTGTACTGCATGCAGGAGGGGCAATCCCCGTGGATTGACAACCTGACACGTGATTGGGTGGCATCGGGTCATCTTAGGGAGCTGGTCCGACGTGGCGTTAGAGGCATCACCAGCAACCCTACGGTACTTTCAACTCTCAGCCCAATCCTTCAATTTGTATTTGTAATCTCAGGCCTTCATGAATGCTTCTGGTTTCCTTTTGTAAAAAAGGAAATTATTTCTCTCTCTCTCCAAATTGACATATTATTGTGTGTTTCTGGGGGGATTTTGCAGATTTTCGAGAAGGCGATTAGCAAGACAGACGTGTATGACCAGCAGCTCCGGTAAGCTTCGTGGCTGATAGGTTACTTCTCTTACCATCAGTACTTCATGGGGAAGCATTGGGGTGCTGCTCCTACCTCCATGTAATCTTTTCCTTTATTTCCCTACCCATCATTTCCCCAACGCTATTTTAGAACCATTTTGTTCCGCGAGGGAGTGCTGTTATGGGAGGGATGGCAGAGAGCCATGAGGAGCTCTGGGGATGCCTGTGACTGATATTTCTCAGTATTATCCCACTCGCTACTGTCCCACCTGTTATTACACCACATTCTTTTTTTTCAGGAACATTTTGTTTCGTGAGGGGGTTCTGCTGGGGGGAGGGATGCTGGAGAGCCATGGGGAGGTGGGAAAGGGGGTGGTGGAGGGAGCTTACTGGGAGATGGTAAAGCAAGATATCGGCACTGCTGCTGCTTCGTTAGAAGAGCTGTTCCATGCTTCTAATGGTGATTATTGTTTGAGGTTTTATATCGAGGACAGTGTGGAGATTTATTGGGTTGTTTTTTCTCTCCTTGTTTGGAACAACAGAAGAGCAGTTTTAGTTGCAAATGCACAATTATGTATCCAAGTTCTAACACTCTCTCGGCCGATTGATGCCTGCCACGTCATCAGGTGGCGATGGGTTCGTCTCCCTTGAAGTCTCGCCGAGGCTAGCCTACGACACGGCAAGTTCGGTGTCTCTGGCTCGGGAGCTCCACGCCGATCTAGCTCGGCCGAACCTGATGGTCAAGATCCCTGCCACCAAGCCTGGCGTGGCTGCGATTCGCGAGATGATTTCCCGCATGAAGAACATAAACGCCACTGTAAGCAACTTTGGGGCGTATTGAAAAGTTTGGTTTCCAAACGAGAGGTGATTTTTTTGCATGACGAACATTAATGCCACTGTAAGCAACCTCTCGGTCTCCCCTTCCCCCACCCTGCTCTCCTTGCTGCGTTGACCCTGCTTTCCGACTGCTGATAATTTCCCGCATAAAGAACATCAGTGCCACTGTAAGCACTAATACTCTCCTCCCCCTGCCAGCCAACCCCCTTGCTCCTATTTTTTAGTCGACTCAAAAATAACATCAATGCAACTGTAAGCACGGATATTCTCTTTTCCCCTGACATGGAAGAGGCCATGGAAGATAATGTTTTAGGCCGCTTAGAATCAGCGCTCTCCCCTTCTCTCATTCCTCTCGTGCCCCTTCACCCACCCTCCTTCACGTGCACCTTACACCCCCTCCTCCGCGCTCGCCCCTCCGGTGTCTTGCGTACTGCTCAACTCATCTTCTCTCTGGCGCACACAGCAAGGTGGTGGAGGCTGACGTGGCAGTTTGGCTTCTTACATCATTCCGTTCCGCATCCTCCCACCCACTACCACCCATGTCCCCCTGCCCCTCCCCCTTCCCTCCCCTCCCCCCCTTCCCCTCTCCAACCCCACCTTACTGCCCAGCTCATCTTCTCTCTGGCGCGCTACAGTGAGGTGATGGAGGCTTATGTGGCAAATCGTCGGCTTGGGCCCTTCCCTCTCCTGCTCTTTGCTCCTCCCCACCCGCTCAGCTCATCTTCTCTCTGACGCGCTACAGTGAGGTGATGGAGGCCTACGTGGCAGGCCTGGAGGACGCCGTGGCAGCTGCCAACGTGGCATCTGAGCTGTCAGCAGCCGCGTCTGACTCAGCAGCAGGCGCCCTGCCACGTGTCAACCTCTCCTCAGTCTCCTCTGTGGCTTCCTTCTTTGTCTCTCGGGTTGACAGCGCTGTTGACAAGCGTCTCAAGGTGTGTGTATGGGTGAGGAGACATGTGGGTGGGTGAGGAGGCGTGTGTGTGGGTGAGGAGGTTTGTGTAGAAAGGAGGTATGTTTGGCATCTAGGTATGCGTGTCTGATTCGTCTTGAAGCATGTCCTTATATCTGTGCGCTTATTGCACGATGTCCTCGAATGCTGCTTCCCTCTGCTCTCCAGGCAATTGGCACGGAGGAGGCTTGGGCTCTGCTGGGGAAGGCAGTAGTGGCACAGGTGGTGGTGGTATATGACGTGTTTCATGCGTCTGTGCTGTGTTGATGCTGTGCAAATGTTGCTCTGTTCCCTCTGCTCTGCAGGCAGTTGGCACGGAGGAGGCTTAGACCCTGCTGGGCAAGGCAGCAGTGGCACAGGCAGCATTGGTGCATGCAGTGGTTGCATATGACATGTTTCATATGCCATTGGCTATATTGGACATGTTCAAACGTCTGTGTGTTGATTACTGGGTGCTCTTCCTGTGTCTCCCACTGATAGACCATCGGGACGGAGGAGGCTCGGGCTCTGCTGGGCAAAGCAGCAGTGGCTCAAGCAGTGGTGGCGTATGACATGTTCAAGGCCAAGTTCAGCGGTCCCAGGTGGGTTCAGCAGTCCAGTTTTGAGACTTCTGGAAACTAGCAGCAGTGGCGCAGGCAGTGGTGGCATATGACATGTTCAAGACCAAGTTCAGTGGACCTCGGTAAGTACAGCGGTTCCATGTGTGTGAGTTCGAATAAATCAGGACTTTTGTTACGCGTCACCTTGTTACGCAGAGATATGACATTCTAGGCCAAGTTTGGTGTTCCCAGGTGGGTTCAATCAGAGGTTCCCACACTATTTCATCAAATTCAGGTGAGTTAACTGGTCCCAAGGTGATTTTAGCAGACCGAGGTTGGTTACAGCAGGGCCAAGGGCAGCGACCTTTATGAAAGTCAACCTGCGTGAAATTCGTCGTATTTGGATGCCAAATATTTCCTTTACCCCACCATTCAATCTCTATCAATCGAATGACGCTGGTTTCAGGTGGAAGGCTCTCGAGCAGCTGGGAGCACGGGTGCAGCGGCCATTGTGGGCGTCAACAGGCGTGAAAGATCCATCGTATCCGGACACAACGTACATCAATGCTCTGATTGGTCCACACTCTGTCAACACCATGCCTGACGCCACCCTGCTTGCTTTTGCCGACCATGGGGAGGTGAGGGATTTTGTAATCGATAGTAAACTGCTGTCTGTGCGTTTTTCTATTTCCTGTTTGCTGCTCTGCCTTTTGGTGTCTACTTGCTGACACATACGGTTTTTGGGGAAAAGGATGTTGCACAATACATCAATTTATACATTGATATTTTTTTTGTGAGGTGCGCGCAGGTGAAGCGCACTGTAGATGATGACGTGGTTGCTGCTTATGGTGTGCTGGATCGTCTCAAGGCTGTTGGGGTAGACATGGAAGTAGTTGCAAAGGTGCGTACCCATGTGCAAGGGTGCACAGTGTATGGAGGCGGGCCACATGTCCATGAAGAAACAGGGAGAAGGAAGAAAGGAGGAATTTGCTGTTGACAGTTCTGAGTTTTTTTTGTTGCTAACGGGTTTGCAATTTCATTTGTATATCTATGGTTATGGCAGGAGCTGGAGGCCGATGGCGTTGCCAAGTTTGCAAAGTCGTTTGATGACCTGCTTGCTGCTCTTCAGCGCAAGGCCACCATGATACGTAGTGCAAGCATCAACTAGGTGGAAGCATATGATTGCGTGGTGTTAGGTGTGCATGCATGGGTATTTGCACTACACCCGTGTTCTACCTGTGCTTGTGCATATGCTACTGTAGTTTTTTTTTCCCACGATGTTCGTTCGCATGCCAGGAAAGGTAACAAGTGTTAATGGATATATAACAATGTTAGCAGGATATAACAAGTTACAATTGCAGCAAAAATATTTGTGCGAACTATCTAGGTGTAGCCAGATATTTGTTTATCCCATAACTTCATTCCTGAAGTATCAAAATGTGCGCTTCCTCGTGGTAAACAAATCAAAATCCGTGGTGCAAGGTGAAAGGCAAGTTGCGTGGCCGTAATAAACGTGAGCGTGAATTCAGGAAAGCGCGCAAAATTCTCCCTTCCCGGGATGATACTGGCGCCATGAAGCTGGTCAGGAAGGCGCAACTCCGTAGCGAAGACACCCACGAAGTTGCGAGAAGCGAGTGAAGCTGGTATCGAAGGTCGCGAGACGCTTTCGCAAGTTCTCGCCGAGGCGAAATTCGTAACCACGCTGCTGGGATCTCTTGGCTCGGAATGAGGTGGGAAAATCGACTTGTGCACGCCCGTTGGCAATGCATTGCGACAACGGTAATGGCGGTGCACGCTCCAGCAGCATGCGATGCAATGCGATACATCTGATTGCTCGATTCGAAGTGTGCGAGCGCTTGCGCGAAAATGACGCGCGGAAATACTAAACGGCGGAACGGACGCGGAAGTGGAACACGCAGCCGAAGCGCGGAAATGGCGCGCGCATCTGACGCCTTTCGAGCAAGTCTTCTTGGCTATATATTGATAGTCGTCGTGGTAGTCATAACTCATCTCGACGTAATCGTGAAGCAGTTTCTCTTCCTCTGGAAAGTGATTCCCGTTCTGGTTTTTTCTAACGATATTTCTATTCTCAAACCTCAATCCGTGCTGCATCGAGCTTTCTTTCCATCATGGCGCAACCCCTTTTGGCGAAAGTGTTACCATCTCCACCCGCGTCGCGAGCGTCGCTAGGACTCTCCACTCTGCACCAAAGCCGTGCAGTTCGTAGTAACAAGCGTGGCGGCATGGCGTGTCCACCTCAGCTCCACGTCAGCGGCAGGCGGATGACAGGTGGACCCTTGGTGGTAATGACTGCCACGGATCCGAGCCACGTGGCACCCGGTGTGATTGAAGGGAAGGCCGTTCTAGCGAAGCCGTTGCTGCTTCCACCGGAGGCTCCTAACAAGCTTACGGAGCTCTATGATAAGGTATGAATTCATATCTTATGAGTGATAAGAGCCTTTCTGCGGTCTGACAAATTTAATGGCGTCGCTGCTGCCACCGGAGGCTTCTAACAAGCTTACGGAGCTATATGATATGGTAAGAGCTTATTGTGGGTGACAATATAAGAGGATTTCTTAGGCGCCTCGACTCGAACTGTCACTGCGATCACCAGAGCATCCTAGAGGTCCCGTTTTAGCCACGCTCTTGTTCACGCTCACCTTATATCGAGTATGTTTTACTACATGCAGGAGGGACAGTCCCCGTGGATTGACAACCTGACGCGCGACTGGGTGGCATCGGGTCATCTCAATGAGCTGGTCCGACGTGGCGTGAGAGGCATCACCAGCAACCCTACGGTAAGTGTTTCCTTCATGTAACACCGCGAGAGCGAACCGGTTTCAATTGTTTGTTTGTTTGTTTTTTTTTTTACTTTGGAGGCATTAATCACCAGCAAGATGGCTGCATGGCACAGTTGCTGCTGTTTGCACCCACTAAGCTTATGCATCGACATATACACCCTTATTTTCTGATGTCATTTTGAAATAATTCTTTCTGAATAGTTCTACGCAAACTGGCCATCGTTTTCTCTCTTATTTTTTGGCGTCGTTGTGTCTCTTGTTTTCACACCAGATCTTTGAAAAGGCGATTAGTGGGACAGACGTGTATGATCAGCAGCTTCGGTAAGCCACCATTAGAATACTGCTATTTTTGTAACGAACTTTCTATGAGCTACCCATCAGCATGGCGTAGAGCCATGGAGACCTCTGGAAAATCCTGGGAGTGATATTTCTTATTATTATCCCATCTGCTATTGACCCACCCGCTATTACTGAATTTCTGTTCTTTTTCAGGAACATTTTGATCTGTGAGAGCGTGCCACTGGGGGGAGGGATGGCGGAGAGCCATGGGGAGTCCTGGGTGTGAAAAGTCTCATTAAGATCCCACCCGCTATTGTCCCACCCGCTATTGTCCTACCGCTATTATCACATCTGTTATTTCAGGGACATTTTGTTCCGTGAGGTTGTGCCACAGGAGGGAGGGAAGGCGGAGAGCCATGGGGAGGTGGATATGGGGGTGGTGGAGGACGCTTATTGGGAGATGGTGAAACAAGATATTGCCACTGCTGCTGCTTCGTTAGAAGAGCTGTTCCGCGAATCTAATGGTGAGTTTGATTGAGAGTGCTTGTAGCGAGTATACTGATGTGAAGATGCATGGGGAGGTGGATATGGGGGTGGTGGAGGACGCTTACTGGGAGATGGTGAAACAAGATATTGCCACTGGTGCTGGTTCGCTAGAAGAACTGTTTCGCGCTTCTAATGGTGAGTGCTTATAGGGCGAAGGCGAGGCAAGGTATCAACACTGCTGCTGCTTTATTAAAAGAGCTATTTAGTTTGGGAGTGTTTGGAGCTTGCGGAAGCATTATTTGTACTTGTAATATTCCCTTGTTCTAACTATTATAGAAGTTTTGTTATTATATTTTTGTTGACCATCTCTCATCCAATCAATGCTTGCCACGTCATCAGGTGGCGATTGGTTCGTTTCTCTTGAAGTTTCACCAAAAGCTAGCCTACGACGCGCCAGGTACAGTGTCCCTGGCTCGGGAGCTCCACGCCGACCTGGCTCGGCCGAACCTGATGGTCAAGATCCCCGCCACCGAGCCTGGCGTGGCTGCCATTCGAGAGATGATTTCCCACATGAAGAACATCAATGCCACTGTAAGCATCCCTCCTCTCTCTCTCCCCCTCCCCCCCCCCAAGCCAACCCCCTTGCTCCTCCCGAGTCCCAACCCAAGCCCCACTGCTTCCCACCTGGGTGTTAAGCAGCAGCAACTGTGCCATGCACATTTGAGTCGACTCAAAAAACTTCCAATTGCACAGCGCATCCTCTCTTTCTTGCAGCACTCGACTCAGCGGCATTGAGAGGCTAAATTCTCAAAAGTGAGTCCAACTGAGTCGACTCAAAGTCACTTGCTGTTCTCTCACCTCTCAGCTACGGCTTCCCCCTTCCCCACGTGGCCCCCCCTCCCCCCTCCCCCGCGTGCCACCCCCCCTCTGGTGTCCCCACCCTCCCCCCTCCCCCTCTGGTGTCAGCTCATTTTCTCTCTGACGCGCTACGGTGAGGTGATGGAGGCTTACGTGGCAGGCCTGGAGGACGCCGTGGCAGCTGCCAACGTGTCAGCGGCCGCGTCTGACTCAGCAGCTGACGCCCTGCCACGTGTCAACCTCTCCTCTGTTGCCTCTGTGGCTTCATTCTTCATTTCTCGCGTAGACAGTGCTGTTGACAAGCGTCTCAAGGTGTGTGTGCAGGTGAGGGAGGTGCGTTTGTGGGTGAGGAGGCATGCGAGTGGGAGAGAGAACGAGCGCGCTCAACTCAAGGTGTGTGTGGGTGAGAGGACGAGTTCAGGCTGTGGCGGCACCTGACATGTTTCATGTGCCAGTGTTGTGTTGATTGGGGATTGATCTCATGTGTGTGTGTGTGTGTGTGTGTGTGTGCGTGCGTGCGTGCGTGCGTGCGTGCGTGCATGCGTGTGTGTGTGTGTGTGTGTGTGTGTGTGTGTGTGTGTGTGTGTGTGTGTGTGTGTTCTGCTCTGCAGGCCATCGGCACAGAGGAAGCATTGGCTCTGCTGGGGAAGGCAGCAGTGGCGCAGGCAGTGGTGGCGTATGACATGTTCAAGTCCAAGTTCAGCGGTCCCAGGTGGGCTCAAGAGCTTCAGGTGTGTAGTCCAAGGTGGTTTCAGGAGGAGTTTCAGGAGGAGGTGTTTTTATACACAAAGCATCTGGTCTGTTCCTTGCCAATTAGTTTCATCGTCTTCTTTTATCTCTCTCTCTTTTCCTTTTTTTTTTTTGGTCTCTTTTTTTACCAAATGGACGGCTCCCAGGTGGGAGGCTCTGGAGCAGCTGGGAGCGCGGGTGCAGCGGCCATTGTGGGCGTCAACGGGTGTGAAAGATCCATCGTATCCGGACACAATTTACATCGATGCTTTGATTGGTCCACACTCTGTCAACACCATCCCTGACGCCACCTTTCTTGCCTTTGCAGACCATGGGGAGGTGAGGGACTTTTGTGACTGATCATTTGTTTATTTCTTCCATTAACTTTGCTGGTTACAGCAAACCACTCTCTGCATGTTTTTACTGTTCTGAGTTCTCTCCCATCTGGGTTTTGGTGTCTTCCTGCTTTGAAGCAGACACATTGGACTGTGAGGTTAATATATGCTGCACAGGGTATGATACAATGATTAGTGTGTTAACCTTTATGGGGTGTGTGCAGGTGAAGCGCACTGTGGATGCTGACGTGGATGCTGCCTATGCTGTGCTGGATCGTCTCAAGGCTGTTGGAGTGGACATGGAGGAAGTTGCCCAGGTGAGATACATTCCTACAATTGCTAAACGCATTGCTGAACACACCCTCACTTGCATGGGTGCACGGGTGTACGGCTTTTGAGTCGACTCGAAAGTTGTATCAAGGCCGTTGGGGTGGCATAGCAGGAAGTTGCCAAGGTGAGGCTATTTTCACAACTTCTGATGCGTGACCGTGTGCATGGGTGCATGGGTTTGTGATAGAAGTTTGAGAACAATTTATGCTTGCCCTTGTGCAATGGGTGTGTGAAGGCACATGTGCATGGATGCATCTGTGCGTGGGGAAAGAGGGAGAGTGAAGAATGGGGAGGAGTTCACTGCTTAGTGTTGATTATTTTTCTTGCACAAGGTGAATCAGGTGTTGCTACCGGTGCAGTTCAATCAGGTATTTTGCTTGCAATCTCTCTCGGCCTATCGTGATGGTTTTGGCAGGAGCTGGAGGCTGATGGCGTTGACAGGTTTGCAAAATCATTTGATGACCTGCTTGCTGCTCTTCAGCGTAAGGCCACCATGATACGTGACGGAAGCATCAACTAGATCTGCATGGTGTTAGGTACATTTGCTTGCAGCTGCCAGTATTTGCTGTGGTCTGAACCGTACATACCATACAACCGTAGTAATGTTTGAGTTGTGCTTGTGTGCATACCGTACATTATAGTACGGTACTTTTCTTTTGTTCTTGTGTTTGTAAGAATATATCCTACACAACAACGTTGAGAGCTTTGGGGAAAAAAGGATGTGTAGTACCCAGTGTTGCTCGCTGTAGTATCATGCTCGACCAGTTCCTGCTAGCACTGAAATCACACTACTGAGCTGCTTGCACACTTCTTGGCAGAGAAAATTCAGCATACAGTGGGTAGTGGCTTGATGGTAGCTTGCCTCCCCATGTGCTAATCACCACCTCACAGTAGGTAGGATTCAGTGCACGGCCATAGCGGAACATCCAGTCAGTATGAAGTGGATCCACAATGCCTGGATCACTCTCAGCTGTACATATCTCCATTGCACTTTTGACAATTTGCAAGCAAGACATGTCAGGACCTGAAAGATGCACCCCAATTAGTTGAGACGAGCAGGATGATATGCAAGTGAGCTGTGCAGTAAATTCTGCTGGCAAGAACCTTGAAAGCGATGGTGGGAGTATACGTGGCCCGTGTTGATTTTCTTGCGTGCTATCGACAATACGTCTTTGAAATCTCCTTCGATGCCATTCAGCCTGCACACGCAACCCTAGTGCATAAGCATTGAAGTGTGACATTTGAATGATCACGTGTCAAAAAACTAGTGCTTACTTCCAGCTTCCAAGAAAAAATCTTGCAGCAGCAGATCCCTTGTTCTTGTTGAAATTCGCACAAATGAGTGCGGGTATAGACGGAGGAACAGAGCTGATGTGCTGCCACAGAAGCAAAACTCCTTTCACTCTCGCTGTGGAGCTTCCTGTCTTCATCCTGACATTGTAAGCTTGAAACGCAAAACCTGGTGGCTGTAGCCCTTTCACTCGGAACTTGACCCAAGTAGCAACTGCAGGAGTGGATGCACCCCAGGATACGCTCCCACACACTTCAGGTGTCTCTGAAAGCCAGAAATTCCCACTCTCCATCACCTCAACCTGAAACAGCAGCATGTGTTTTATGGCTTCCACACAGAAAGAAACAAGTAAAACAAAATTCTGACATCTCTCAAGTTAGACGCGAGCAATTTGTGATAGCTCTGCTGTAACTGGTACCTGGTCTCGGTTATAGAGAATGGCAGAGTACTCTCCGCCAGGAGCGTCTTGGCTCTTTGATCCAAACCACTCGTAGGCTGCTGGTCGTAAGAGATGTTAAGGGCATGCTCTTCCATAAGCACTACGACAGCCAATGACCGACAATGCCATACCTTTCAACTCGCTCTGAAGATACTCGAGCTGCTCCTTGGATCCTGAGCTCAATCCATAGTCAGGAAGGATGCTCTGTAACGCGGATTCAAAGCAAAAACAACGGATCGCTACCTTCTTGAGTCAAAATCAGGGTGGGATGGAACTTGCGTAACATCTCAAGGCATGCTAACTTGCGCAATTCCCAGGAATTCGGGCTGCTTTCTGGTTCTGTCGAGTCTAAGTTCAACATGAGGGCAGAAACTGCCCCAAGGAAAGCCATAACGCGCTTTGCAGTTACGCCTGCCCCTTGGGTTTCTGAAAACTGAACTCGTAGGTTTTTCTAATCAAACGTCTAACGCACGGATCCACAGTGATAACTTGTGTTAGCAGCACCCAATGCTGCGGATGCACACGCAACTCGCTAGCTTAGCTGGAAGCACGTGCTCAGGTGACTAAACTGAGCCTGTGCTGACCAGGGACGGATACATATCCTGGTACTACCTGTTCACTATTAGTGAGTTGATCGAGAAGCACTGCTGACAACTGACCTTGCGAAAGGTACCCGTTCAGCCACTCATGCAGACCTAGAGAGTGAGGTAAAGGTAAAGGAGGGGGAAATGGCCCTCTAGCAGACCTAGAGAGTGAGGAGGTTCACCAGACGGACAGGCAGCAACTAAAACCTGGACAATCAGGGTTTGACTCAGCCGAAACGAAACTGATTGTCCACATGTACTCCACAAAATGCGCATTTCGGGTTATAATACTGGCGTTTATAATTCACCACGTTAAAACTCCATATGCTAGCTCGAAATCTGATTAAAAACCGAATGCATTATTACCAAACAAACGCCACAAAAAATAACGAACTATGTCAAAACGCAAAACTATGATAGTGACAACTATTATGAAGCAGATTATTTTACTCAAAAAGACTTTTATTTAAGAATATTCAGTGCTCGATCTAAATCAATATACAAAAATTACAATATCGATGTGAGTTTTTCAGATTTTGCATAAAGACTATGAAATTTGTATAAAAAAGACAAAAATAAATATTTTCCAAAGTATCAAATATTGCATGATATGCTTTGTTAAGAATGTTTATTTAGGTTTTTTTTAATCTTGATTTTGTTGTCATAGTTGATTGTATCGCATACTTGCATGTAACGCTTTGCGTTTGTAAGCGTTCATGTGCATTCTGTGCTGTACCGTGACATCAGTTTCAGTTTTGCTGAGTCAAGCCCTACTTGTACGGTGTACAGCTTAGTTCGAACGCGAAGTTACCAGCCAGGAATTCCGGAAGCACTGTTCATTACCATTCAGGCAATAATGTTGACCATTTCGGAAATGTTGGTTACTACGGTGGCGATGAGAAGATACTTTTGTTACGATCTGGACACGTAGCTTACCTTCCGTGCGAACGAGCTCAATGAGTGTTACCGCGGAAGTAATTGCCCGAATCCGAATGCAAAAGTCGCGAAATCAGGAGTTCCGGTAGAAGTACATTTGGGTACATGATTCAATGCAAAAGTATGCACCAAGGATGTTTCATTGAATTGACTTCACAGTGAAGTGAATGCGCAACTAATTGTACCACACACCAAATTGAATCTAATAAAAAAGGCTTATTAGATAAGATCAGTAGTCCAAATAGATACGCACGACTAGAATGTCTGCAAACGGAACAGTAATCCTCCGCTCCCGATTCTTCCGGCTCAAAGGCCGTCCCTTCCCTCCATACAGCTCCCTGTTCAACCTCACATCGGCAACCCTCCATATAGTCACACGCTCCTCCTCATCCACCTCCACTAACGAAAGAATCTCCTCAGATGTCTTCCCTCCACTAGCAGTAGCGCTCTTGTCCCCTGTATTGTCCGCTTCACTAGGCAGCCGGTAGTGTACATACATTGGAAGCTCCTTGAACCGGATTAAATCGTCTGGAACCTTGACCACACGCTCGGCACCAGGAGAAGAGACCTGACAGGGGTGAGAGGGGGTGGGGGAAAAAAGGAGAGAGATGAAGGCAAGAAGGGTAACCGGGGAGAATGAAGGGGAATAAAGAATACGAGCAAGTTTTGGAAGGTCTCACAATTGTCTGTGACCTTGACAACACGATTGGTGCAAAGGAACGTGTTAGAGATGCTACTGGGAGAAAGGCATGTAAGGAACAAGAAAGGGGTTAGGCTGAGGAAAAACAAAGGAATCGAGTTTCTGAGACAAGTTTTGTTATTCTTCATCTTCTTCTTTTAAGGCGCCTTCAAGCCTCATCCAACAAGTGTACTCTGTCTGATTACAAAAAGATTCATTCCCGTGTAAGAGGTTGCATCCAAAAGAAGAATTTCGGGGAGGAAGCAGTGTGAAAAAAAAAACAACAAAGAGAACCAGCTGGAATGAGCAACGAAACGATTCGTCTTGAGGCCCTTTGAACCCACCCGATCAGGACCCCTAACCACACTTAACCCACTACCTGGTCTGGCTTACCTACCTACCCACACAGCCCCCCACCCCCCTCCCCTACACAAATTTCTCACCTCGATCTGAATGTCCTGAAACAGCTCGCCCCTATCCCCTGCAGCAATGACCAGCGCGTTGAAGACATATTGTTATGGCACTATACCCGTTTGCTAAAAGCTGCCCCATGGCCCACCAAACAACCCGGCAACCCTTCAACCTCCCCACCTCGATCTGAATGTCCTGAACCAGCTCGCCCCTATCCCCTGCAGCAATGACCAGCGCGTTGAAGACATACAATGACGGAACCAAACCACCCCACCCCACCTCACCCCACGCCTACTCCCCACCCTACCCCGCCCACCCCACCCTTTTCCCTGTCTTCCCCACCTCGATCTGAATGTCCTGAGGCAGCTCGTCCCTCTCCCCAGAAGCAATGACCAGCGCGTTGAAGCCATACAATCATCCTATACTCGTTAGCTAGCTATAAGCTCTCCAATCCCCTTTCCCCTTCCCCTCCCCAACCTTCCTCCTCACCTCGATCTGAATGTCCTGAGGCAGCTCGCCCCTCTCCCCCGCAGCAATAACCAGCGCGTTGAAGTCAAGGAGGAACGAGTCTATATCCTCCACCATGGGTGAGCCGTAGCTGCATGCATGCATGGGGGATGGGGGACAGGTAAATGGAAAAAAGGTTGTATGTGGAGCAGCATTGGAGAGGGGCGCGTTGAAGTCAAGGAGGAATGAGTCTATGTCGTCCACCCTGGGCGAGCCGTAGCTGCACGAGGGGCAGGGGATGAGCACATGCGATAAGCATTAGAGACGGAGGGTATTGAGGCTGGCACAGATTGGGGCAGCTCGCCCCTCTCCCCAGCCACAATGACCAGCGCGTTGAAATCAAGGAGGAACGAGTCTATGTCCTCCACCATGGGGGAGCCATAGCTGCACGAGAGGCAGGAAATGGGGGACCCGGGGGTGGGGAAAGGGTGTATGTGCAGCAGAGCGTTGAAGTCAAGCAGGAACGAGTCTATGTCCTCCACCATGGGGGAGCCGTAGCTGTACGAGGGGCAGGGGATGAGCACATGCGATAAGCATTAGAGACGGAGGGTATTGAGGCTGGCACAGATTGGGGCAGCTCGCCCCGCTCCCCAGCCACAATGACCAGCGCGTTGAAGTCAAGGAGGAATGAGTCTATGTCCTCCACCATGGGGGAGCCGTAGCTGCACGAGAGGGATGGGGTATGGGTACATGTAGTGTGGAATAGAGATTGGGGGAGGGGGGGATAACAGGCACATTGGGGCAGCTTGCCCCTCTCCCCAGCAGCAATGACCAGTGCGTTGAAGTCAAGGAGGAACGAGTCTATGTTTTCCACACCTCCCTCGCTTAACCCGTCTCTCACACATCAGTCAGTTGGTCCAGTCGCACGGGAATCCAGTTCCTCTCCGCGTAAACCTTGAACGCGTACAGCTAATCATAATGACATTACCGCCCATACTTAATTACCATCCCTTTTCCGCTCTTTCCCACCCACTCACACGTCACTGAGTTTGTCCAGTCGCACGCAAATCCAGTTCCTCTCCGGGTAAGCCTTGAACCCGTACAGCTAATCATACTCACCATAACCGCCCATTCTTGGTGAGCCCGCCCATCATATCATATCGTATCATATCACCCATTCTGCATCCCCATCCTCCCCACTCACACGTCACTGAGCTTGTCCAGTCACACGCGGATCCAGTTCCTCTCGGGGTACACCTTAAAGCCGTACAGCTCAAACTCCCTGTCCTACACTCGACCACCATTCCCCTTCCCCCCAACTCACACGTCACTGAGCTTGTCCAGTCGCACGCGGATCCAGTTCCTCTCGGGGTACACCTTAAAGCCGTACAGCTCAAACTCCCCTCCGTAATTGCTCCCCCCCAACACCTCCTGTGCCAACTCCAAAGCGGTCTGCCCCCACGCTGCTCCGTTCAAGACAAAGCCCCCACCATCCAACCCGTCACCAGGCTGTGTGGTGCAGGGGAGGAGAAGGGAGCAAAGGGAGGGAGGCGAGCAGGAGGAAGAAAAGGGTTTACAGCACAGCCCGTAGCCCCGCTTTCCCCCATAAAGCTCATATTCTCCCCACTAGAACCTCCTGTGCAATCTAGAGCTGTCTGCCCCCATGCGGCGCTGTTCAATACAAAGTCTCAACCGGCCTCAACCGTCCAGCCCGTCTCCTGGCTGGGAAGGAGAGGGGGATTCATGAGGAGGAAGGGCGGGAGAGAGGGCGAGCACAGGGGGACTCATGGGCTTCGAAGCAAACGCAGACACCTCCAGTGGCAACTCTAATGCCGCCTGCCCCCACGCACGCGGCCCTGTTGTTCACGACAAAGCCTCAACCGTCCAGCCCGTTTTCAGGTTGGGAGGAGGAAGGGAGAAAGAAAGCAAGGTCGGGCAGGGTGAACTAAATCAAGGCACCATTTGGGCTTTAAGGGAGGAAAGGATGCTCTGTTTATAAACCTTAAAACCCTAAACCCTGAAGCCTGACCAGGATTTTCCCCAACTAAAAGACCTCTCCGCACAGCTCACCACCGCTCACCACCACTCTGCACTGCTTACCACCACGTCGGCCGCATCCTCCTCCTCAAACTCCCACTCGTCATCCTCCTCCTCCGCCTCTTCTTCCCTATTGTCACCTGCCCCTTCCTCTGTTGCGTGTGAGAGAACGGGGAGCAAATGGGAGGGAGGCAGGCATAGGAAGGGACGGCGGAAGGAGTAGTGAGGGTCAGAAGAAGCACAGAGGACGGGAAAAATAGTGCTTATGGCTTCCTTTGTTGCACAAATGTGAAAACAAGTTGGAAGAATGGGGATGGACGGAGGAAAGATCATAGCCACAAGCACACAGATACGAGGAGGATGATTGTGTGGCTTTTAGGGCATGGCCACCTGACAGCTGTTGAATTGACCGCTAACGAGCTATCGTTTGTGCCTTTACTTAATTCGAAACTTGACTCAACAAACGAGCCTGATTCCTAACTGGAAACTCACCTTGACTTGATTCCACACGCTGTAGCACGACCGTCTCAACGCCCTCCGCCACCGGCCCTTCTGCCTCCACCCATGTGCCGTCATCCCCCTTATAAAGCACCACCGTTTCGCCATAAGCAGCTTCATCCCCCTTATAGAGCACAACCGTTTCGCCTTCAGTTTCCCCAACAGGCGATTCTTCCGTGGCTTCCTTCCCTGAAGCAATCTCGCTGAAACCACTTTCCTTAACTGCTTCATTCCCCTCCTCGACCTCATCCCCATACCCTACCACCTCGCCTTTCTTCCCCTCCTCCTTCCGTTCCTTCTTATCCCGCTTCTCCTTTTTTCCCTTCTTCTCCTTCTTCTCTTTCTCCTTCTTCTCTTTCTTTTCCTTCTTCTCCTTTTTCTCTTTCTTCCCCTTATTCCCTCCACCTGATTCGCCACCTGTCAGATCCACCACGTCCTCGTTATTATCACTCTCGCTATTGTCACCCCCGTCTCCTGAAACTGCCAGCATTCGCAACGCTTGCTGACGCGGCAGCGACGGTCCGAAACCCCTCGCGTGATTAAAACGAGCAGTTTTTCCAAGTGCGGCGCACTGGATGCCTGCTGGACGCGTGACTGTAACGGAAGGTGACAGAAGATTCACACGGATAGATGCGACTGCCGAAAATGATAAAAACGAAGGTGCAAACGCCATTGCGGCAGCTGTCCGGCTTATAGCAGCTGGAATATTCAGAGGAGTAAATCTAAAATCGTCCTCAGTTTTCCTGGAACTACTAGCCTCGGGATTGACTGTAACCGCGGGTTTGAATGGAGCCGCGACAGCAAACCAGGTCAGATTTCGAGGCGCTTCAGAAGTAGCTGCGGCAGCAGGAAAGGTCAGCACGTTGGTTTGGAGTTGACTCGGGAGAGAGAAACAGCTGGGGAGAGCAGAACCGTTCCAGAGACGTTGGAAAACGCGCGACGACGCAGCGGGAAGCGCGGCGTGTAACGCGGCTCTGGAAGTCATGCACTGCGCGTTGACGCGTCGCCGTGTGAAGCGGGTGGAAAGCAGAAAGGGGAGATTCAGAATCTGCCTGGTCCAAGTGCATTTTGCTGGGCAAGAGAACTATGCAGTGCCCTGCAGAGTCAAGTTTGTATGTTCAGTAGAGAAGTTAGCGTGTATTCTGCCTATGAAGATTCTCCGAGTTGAGCTGTAACGCATATTTGTTTGCGAAATGATCTCAAGCGAAATCCAGGCACACTCGCGCTCGAAACGAAATCGGCGAGTGGCTTTTGGGCCGACTGGGGTAAAAGCTGTGCGCCCGAGTAACAAAGTAACCTTGTGCCTGGAGAAGATGAACTTCGTCGTCATACCACCCCGGATCAACCGCTGACATGCGCATACCGCCGTCCGCCATCCACGCAACCCTCGAGTGTTGATCATAGAAGTTCGTAAGTTCCAGGTAGCGGGTACGGTAGTTAATTTCGTCCGATTCCTCCTGGGCTATTTTACAAGAGCAGGCGCTGGCGATGACGTGTACAAACCGTCGCGCAGGCTGCCCTTGTTCATTGCCGAGATTAGCTTGACCCTTGTACACGTAAACCGTTACGCATAAGTAGCTAAGTTCCGTGCAAAACGTAACTCTTTTTAGCCAATGTTGCATTCGTTAACGCGTCAGCCTCTATAACGCGTACAAGCGGTTGTAACCCTTTTTAGCCAATGTTACACTCGTTAACGCGCCAGCTGCTATAACGCGTACAAGCGGTCATTCCGGGATGGCGAATTCCCTCCTACCGCTCGCCGTAGCGGCGACAGGCGCGTTACTAGTCTCCGCCTCCACCGTCACCGTCATGCTTCCTCTCCTCCCCGCCACGTGGACCAATCGCCTGCTGCCAAGCGTCGCCCTTGAAGACTTGTGAGTTGCCACCTCAGCTTACCATGCACTGCTGCTCCCTCCATTCCAAATCCCCCAACCCTCATTCCCCATGCAACCTTTCCCATAACCCGTTTCCCATCCCCGTCCCCTCCCCTCTCTCTTGGACTCCCTTCCTCTCCCGCCTGCTTCTGCAGCCTTTACTACTGCAGCCTAGTGCCCATGACAGCTGTCGTCCTTGTATTGGCTGTGTACGGCCACTGGCTCTGCATCAAGCTGTACAGGCACGCGTGATTGTAGAAAGGGGGGATCTTAAGAGATATTGGCCGTGTATTGCCACTGGCTGTGCTGTGCATCAAGTTGTACAGTACAGGCATGCGTGACTGTACAGGAGGAGAGGGGGGGTGGGAGGGGGTCGAGGGAGAGGTGCTCCAAGGTCACTCTTGCTTTGGCTCTGCCTCAAAGCTGTACTGGCACGTGTGACTGTAAGGGGAGGTGCATCAATAGCCTTGTTCCATTTTTGCACTTCCATTTTACTGGTGAGATCGCAAGGAGATGTGGGCTTACAAGATCGTTCACCCTCTACTGCACAAAGACAAATTGTGCTCCAATCCAATCGCCGTACTGTACATCTGTTAGATTGACAATATGTAGGTTACTAAGAAGCTCGCTCATCTTCCATAACAATTTGCTCCATGGTTTCGTTGGTGTAGTAGATAGATGTAGCTATTTACTGCTACTACCCAATGGATACGAGAAGAAGCTGGCTCGTCTTCCGCAACATTTTGCTCCATGGTTTCATGGTGTAGATGCGACAGTCTGCTGCTACCCAATGGCTGGAACAGTGATGACTGACTGACTACGAAGAACTCGGCTCATCCTCCATGGTAATCTGCTCCATGGTAACGTTCTCGTTGGTGTAGATGCAACAGTCTGCTGCGATGCGCATTCAAAAGCTAAATCTATGAAGAAGCTGGTTCATCCCCCGTGGTGATTTGCTCCATGGTTACATTCTCGTTGGTGTAAATGCAACAGTCTGCTGCGATGCGCATCGCCTTCTTTACTGCAGACGGTAAAAATAAATTTGTCAAGAAAGAGCGAGAGAGGCAGAAAGTTGACAAGCGAGTACTGTAGAGAGAGTGCTTGTAGGGAGAGTACTGTAGAGAGTTACTGTAGAGAGAGAACCTGCTGGCCATGCCATGGCACACACGTGCAAGTATTTTCGACGGACATAATTTTTTAGTCAGCTCAGAAGTTGACAAGAAAGTAGTGAAGAGAACCTGCCCATGCCATGCCAAGCTAATGCCATGCCAGGCCCATGCCATGCCAGACCAATTCCATGCCACCATGACCTCTCACACGTTTAAGTGTTCCCGACAGACGTGCCATGCCATCCCTAACCATCCCATGCTGCGCTCTCAAGTGAGGGATGTCTGCCAATGATCGTGCTGCTGCCAACGCATAGGGACCTTCACCCATACCCATTGACCAAGCCATCACCACCCCATTCCACCCCAACCCATACACCATACCCCATCGTGCCACACACCTATGGCTTCAGCCGTCAAGTCAGGGATATCTGCCAGTGCTCGAGCTGCTGCCAATGCATAGGGACCTCCAGAACCAATGCCTAGTCACAGGGGGAGATGCACACATAGGGAAAAAGGTGTTGGAAAAATAGGGGGTGAAAAGGGGACAGTAGCAGACAATATCTAGGGACCTGAAAAAACGATGCTTGGGCACAAGGTGTGGAAATGCACACCAAGGGAAAACCCGGGGTTAAAAAGGGAAATAACTGCAGCAATTTCTTAAGGCCCTCCAGAACCGATGCCTGGGCAGGGAGGAGGAATAGCACATGGCAGAAGAAAACTACGTGATAGAAACAGATTGTTGAGACTTGTCTAAAAAATCTACTTCTATCATGGCAGGAGAACGAGCAACCAGAGGTTAAGAAGAAGGAACAGAGAGAGCAGAGGTTAAGCAGGTTCCCTAAAAACCATTTGCTCTGCGTACACGATGTGGTGAATACCGAACCACCTACCTAATGCCCCATTCTACCTACTTGACGTGCATAATTGCCCGTTCTCGTGAGAGTCACCTTGGTGTCCCGAGCTCGCAATGAGGCGAGAGACACATGATGCCGAGTTGACTTTTGAGTTGACTCAATCAACATAGTTGCCCGTTCTCGTGAGAGTCACCTTGGTGTCCCAAGCTCGCAATGAGGCGAGAGGCACATAATGCAGTGAATACCAACTCAAGGCCTCATGCTTCACTCACCAATGATCCAGGCTCTAGCACATCCCCATTGCCGGTTATGGTGAGAGACACACATGTAATGCGAACATAATCCCTAACCTGTGCCCTATACTCCACTCACCAATGATCCCATCATGCGGCTCCAACACATCTCCATTGCCCGTTATCGTGAGAGACACCTTGGCATACGATTTGAAAATGCCTAATAACCTCACCGGCACCCATCTACACACATCTCCACTCACCAATGACCCCATCATGTGGCTCCAGCACATCTTCATTGCCCGTGATCGTGAGAGACACACCTTGATGAATCCAGTCACCCATACAAATCGAACATGCCATGCCACACACACACCACTCACCAATGATCCCATCATGCGGCTCCGACACGTCTCCATTGCCCGTGATGATCAGAGACACCTTGGCGTCTGCCCGCCACCCATCCACCCACCTTAACATTGCCATACATTGCCGTGCCACCCACACACATATACTCACCTATGATCCCATCATGCGGCTCCAACACGTCTCCATTGCCTGTTATGGTCAGAGACACCTTGGCGCCTGCCCGCCACCCATCCACCCACCCAGCCACCTTGACGCTGCCATGCCATGCCATGCCACCCACACATACAGACTCACCAATGATCCCATCATGTGGCTCCGACACGTCTCCGTTGCCAGTTATGGTCAGACATATCTTGGCATCTAAGGCCCACAGTGTGGTGCATACAGACTTATTATCTTGTGACCCATCCATCACTCACCGATGATTCCATCATGCGGCTCCAACACATCCCCATTGCCCGTTATAGTGAGAGACACTTTGGCATCTGCCACTACCAGCATGGCCTGTGGGCAGAAAAGGGGTGGGTGGGGGAATTGCGTATGCATGTTGAATATCGAAAATCGCTAAACACGTATTGAGCTTGAGTGGCTGTTATGGTGCATAACCACTGTGAGCATGACCTGCGATGCGCGGCAGTGTGAGCGAGAAGGCGAGAGAAGGATAGTCGAGTTTTTAGATGTTTGAAAGCTAGAGAGAGAAGGCAAGTGGAGAATGAACGCGTTTCTTAAAAAACTTGTCAGGTTTACTGCCTTTGCTGGCGGAATCAGCTCAATCAACACCCCCACATCCCCACCCACCCCTCTCCACCGCACTCTCCACGTTTCCCCCCATCCCCTCAGCTCACATCCAGTTTCCTCAGGTACTTGTCGGTTCGCCACGCCTTTGCTAGCTCCACTGCTGCTCGCGTCAGCTGTAACAGGGAGAGAGAGGGAAGAAAGAGGGAAGAAGGGGGAAACCGGAAGAGGACACGGGAACGGAGGTCGGGGGGAGGGAGAAGGGGAACGGGATGCGGAAAAATGGGAAAGGCGGAAGCAGCGGGGAGCAGAGTAAGCGAGGGAAGGACAACAGAGAAACGGAAAGGGGCGGGGGCGACTTGGAGCGAGCAGAAAGGCATCACACTAATATGAGTTGGAACCTGGAATTTGGGACGTCTAAAATAACGTCTCAAAATTCGAAAACGATCACACTAGTATGAGTTCAAACAGGGAATGAGGGGAGAAGTATCTAATCAACAACATCAGGGATGCTGCGTGTGATGGCACAGCATGGCGTGGCAGAGCATTAGAATTCTCAAAACCGGCACTCGTCTCACCTCACCTCATCTGATCACACCTACCTGGCCTGAAGGTTGGCATGGTAATGAGCATCAGCATTTGTCGATTGGAGGCATGCATGGAAGGGGCGCGCGTGAACGCAGATTGAATCAAAGTGCCATGCCACAGCAAGCAGTGCAGTGAAGCCAGGTTGTAAGGTGGTGAAAAATGAAGGGGAAGAAGGGAGGAGGGCGAGGATGGGAGAGCAGGAAAGTGGGGGTTGGAGGGATTGGGGAAGGAATGTTGAGAGGTGCAACAGGTGCAACAAAAAGCACGAGTAGTGAGACGAGACGATTTTGTAAGCACCTTAAGATGATGGGGGGAGAGAAAACAGAAAGAAGAATTGCAGCAAACTCCTGACTTGCAGAATTGAAAGCGACCCACCAACCTGCAAGTAAACTGGCTGACAGGCTAGCAAGGTGAATGTACCTGGAAATTCGTCAATCCGAGACGACTTTTGAGTTGACTCAAAAGGCTAGCAAGGCAGGTGTACCTGGATATTCATCAGTTCGAGTCTATTTTTTACTCGACTAAAAAACAGACTCATCACAGGCAGGCTAGCAAGGGAGACGCACCTGGATATTCGTCAATCCGAGACTCGAAGCGGTCGAAGAGAGTGAATGCATCTGCTGTGGTGCCTGAGGGGTGATGAGGGGTGGAGTCGGGTGGAGCGGTGAGAATGGGGGAGGGGGGGCGTTGCAACGGCATCCAACGCAAGGAAACTTTCAGAGAGAGCGGTATATTCCTTACTTGCTTGCAAGGGCCGCTCAAAAGGTTGCAATACTTGCAAACAAGGTGCAAAAATACGGTTTCCGTAAATTACGATCCGTTTTTTACGGTCCGTTTTTTACGATAAATTTTCAAAAATACGACGTTTTTTTGTTAGAGAACTCATTTCACCAAGGAAAAAACGGCAAAAACAAGATCGGATACATGTTCAATCATGCCGACGCATGCACACATGCAAGGAGGGGTTCCTCCTCTTCATCCTGGTGATTTTCGCCATCAAATTGGTCACATAAAATTGCCAATTTTTTCTTTCAACGAAAATCACCTTCTGGAACCGTTTTTTACCGTTTTCTACGGTCCGTATTTTACGGTACCGTTTTTTACGGTAAATTGTCAAAAAAACGACGTTTTTTTTAACCTTGCTTGCAAAGGAAATATTTTGAAGACGCGATTTTAGGTGCAAGGGAAATATTACAAGGGAAAAGGCTTGCAAGGAACTGCTTGGAAAAGCTAATCCTGCAACAGCGCACCTGCGAAGCCGGCAATGACCGATTTCTTCTCCCCCAGCCGTCGCACCTTGCGCACGTTGGGCTTTAAGATCTGCGCTCCCATTGTGACCTGCACATGGACATGCACGCATGGATACACATACACATATACATACACATACACATACAAATTCACATGCACATACACATACAAGTACACATACAAATTCACATGCACATACACATACAAATTCACGTGCACATACACATACAAATACACATACAAATTCACATACAAATTCACATACAAATACACATACAAATACACATACAAATTCACATACACATACACAAGCATAAGACCAGAAAGGGTTAACAATTTTCAATGCGCACGTTCGGCGTTAACATCTGTGCCCCCACGGTGACCTGCGCATGGACATATAAGGTGACCTTTGAGTCGACTCACAAGTCCCCACTATGACCTGCACACAGACATACAAGAATCTGAGCAAGAGAGCACACGAACACATGATAAATGCACCTTGCACGCATATGGGCTTTAAGATCTGCACTGCTCAACACAGCCCGCTGCTCACTTGCTCATCTGAGTCTTGAGACGTCTCAAGATTGAGTTTGAATTATGCTGTTTCACTGCTTCTCTCCTGCCCCTCTGCTGCGATAACCACCGCATTTCCTCACTGCACGCACAGAACTGATTGGTGCTACTAGTAGCTACGCATTCCCATGAATATACCATGCCAAGTCACAGCACAGTCAGCAGCTCACCTGCCCGTCCGCTGCAATCACCACTGAGTTTCCTTTCCGCACGCACAGCACCGTGGTGCCATGGATATCCACCGAGCTGTACCCCCTAGCACCGCTTGATCCAAATGCGCCAGTGAAAACTGTAGGAGCCCCTTCAACCTTCCCTTCTCCTCCTCTGGTTAAGGACTCGCAAGGTCCCCTTCCTCCTCTGGTTAGAAATTGCAGCAGCGGCTGCTGATGGTGATGCAATAGCGAGGATGGCAAAGGGGATGACGAGCCTGTGGCTGCGGCTTGGAAGGAGGCCCGGGGATAGGTTTGGTGTGACTCGAGAGCGGGGGTTTGGGCGGGGCATGGTGGAGGTGAGGATGGTGACGTGGATGGCGATGGTGGTGACGTGTCGTTGCGAAGGATGCTTGCGTCAGCGACCAGCGATGACGTGTGCAGAGCCAACGTGGCTGCTGCTGGGACGGCTGTAGCACAATCAAGGAAGAGGGATTACAGGAGAAAGGAATAACGCAAGAGGACACACGACAACAGGAGACGGAGGGAGACAAAAAAGGGAGATAATCGCTTGAGATGAAGATACACAGGTCTAAGAACACCTGGAAACAAACTGGAAGTTAATGAGAATTGTCGAAAGCCGAGAATCACGACCCGATGCAAGAAGTCGAAGTGAGTCAATAACGGGGATTTAATAGAAAATATCGAAAGGAGTGACGGAAGCAGAGGGTGGATAGCAGCAGCGGAAGGCTGAGACAATCAGCAACAGAGGGCCTTCCTGAGGTGTCTCAAAAGGGGATCAGCGGGAGAGCAATCGTTGCGCGAGAGCGGGGTGAATCGCGCGGCGCGCGGATAGCTTCAGCGAGACATCGCGAGAATCTGACCTGCGACGGATCGCGAAAAGATTCCGCTTAGCGCCTTGCGGGATAGAGTAATCGCTGCCATGGCTGTTCGCGCCGACTGTGACTGGCCAAGTCTGAGAAAATGCGGGCACAAAAGCAAGAAGGGATGAGGATGAATGAAATCCGCGTTATCAATGTTACCTTGTTTTCGCTACAATGATGGTGATACCGAATGTAAAGAGCTGGTGAAATGTTTCCGAAGCAGCAGAATGCAACACAGAACAAATAAATGACACATCAAACAATCCAGCTACCACTCTACAATGGGCCTACAAATGACCCATACCATTAGTCTGTGTTGTGACTCTGTGATTCAAATTTGTATGTAGGTAGACATGATTGGCGTAGCGTTCTCCTTGCATTGCATGTACAAAATAGTGAACCCCGACCCAGCTTGAAAAGGTGTTGCGACGAGAGAAAGGGATCGGGCCAACAAAGCACTGTACAACACAACAGAAGTGTTCAGATCGAACGAATGTGATTGGCTAGCGCAGAAGCATTTTTTTCTGGGCTCCCGCCAAAAGGAACATCACCCATCGCATCTCATCGTGCTGGACCCAACCGACCGTTGCAGGCGACGGTTTTGGTCGCTAGGCCCAACTATGGTTAAGCTGGAACTGGGTTCACGACGACTCTGTTTAGTTCTCCAGTAGTCACTACTGTGCCTAAGTTAGCTGAAATCTCAGTAGTTTCTCGTGACCCAGGCCCAACGCGACATCTTCCATAGTTCGAGTGTGTTATCTTTCGACATAGCTTGGGTACGCAATGTATTATGTACACCACTAGCGTAACGCCATCGCTTTCCGTGGCGCGCAAACATCAATATCCCGTCACCCTCGACTACGCTCGCTCCTTCCTCGCCGCGTCACCCTCACGTTCTCTCTCCCCGCGCAATCTTCGTCCCCCTCCCTTCCCGTCGTTCCTTCATTGTTACCCTCCATTTCCATCGCCCCCATTGTCCCTGCTCCCTTCTCGTCGCCCTCCCTACCGACCGATCAGCCCTCCGTCGCCCTTCCACTCTCCCGTCGCCCTCCCTCTCTCCGCGCCCTTCCCATCTCCTTCGCTCTCTCCCCTCCCTCCCTCGCCCTCTCTCTCTACTCGCCCTTCCCGTCGCCGTCGCTCTCTCCTCCCCCACCCAACCTCCCCTCCCATCGCCCAACTCGTCGCCGTCGCGCTCGATCTGGAACGCCCTCCCCGCGCCCTTCGTACTCTCGAAACATCCACGCGCTTCGTACCTCGTCGTCCTCGCGCTCAGCCGAAATGCTCGCCCGTCGCATTTCGTATTTCCCTTCCCATCACCGACCTCGTCGCCCTCACGCTCTCCTCGAAATGCCATCCCGTCACCCTTCTTCTCTCCCCTCCCATCACTCATCTCGTCGCCCTCGCGCACTACCATTCCGCGATTTTGCTCTCACATTTCTCTGCACGCGTCCTTGTTTCCGTCGCCCTATCTCTCTCGTATCTCGTCACATTGAAACTCTCTGTTGTTTTCCTCTTGTCTTTCCTACGTTGTGATTGCAGGCCTTGCAGGCACATGTGTGAGTGGCAATTGCTCTGCCTGAATTGCCCATGCAAGCACTAGTTGAAATTGGCACGCAATGTGCATGGAATTTGCACGTCGCAACCTTGCGACATTTGCCCATGCTTGCGACGGATTGTTGTTTGATAAAAAATTGTGAAAGACTCAACAAGTGTTTCTCGCGTCAGTGAAAATATTTTGGTAAAACACTTCAACTTTCCAAAGTGAGTTTGAGACTTCAAGTGGACCCAACTAGAAGGGGGGGGTCACTATTTTAGCTGCTGGCTTTAGTGGCGAAAAAATTACACATTCAGTACAGTTTATACGTCAGTACCATTTGGACCGCTATGCGCAGCTGCAGTGAGGTATGCATGCCTAAGCAGTGCATTCACTCTGCGCCTAAGCGATGCTTCGTCCTCTAGCAAGTCACCCACAACATGACGAAATGCGCCGTCCACCATATGAACTCTGCCCAATACTCTGCCTCCATCTTCACCCTGTCGATCTCCGAACGAGTCATCACAGCTGTTGATTGGCACCTGCATGGCTACTTCAGCCGTACCACCAAGTACACCACTTCTATCATTCGAATGGCTTGTACTGGTATCAAATCTGTTGCTATCGAGTGCAGAAGCTGAGCTTCCAGGCTTCAGTAGACGTGCCTGCATGGCCAAATCGTGAAAAGCGGGAAAGAAGAGTAGCATATGGAGATCTGAGATGACTCAAAAGCCAAGAGAAGGGAAAAGGAAAGTAGAAGGCAGGGACAATGAATTGCACACCATACAGGCACACACCTACATTGAAATGCACGGAGGCATTTGGAAAAATCAGAGTTTCCAGGACTTGTGATTCCTTGCAGCACACACCTCTGGAAACATCACAACACCGTTGCTCACAACAACGTGCACCTCTGCCGCCAGCAGTTCAAGTCGTCTGTCTGACGTAACAAGAAGCTCCATCTCCTCTTGCATTCCTGATTGCATTCCTGATTGCACTCCTGATTGCACTCCTGCTGTGAGTGCCGTGAGTGCTGCTGTGAGTGCTGCTGTGATTATATAACACCACTGCTCTGCATCACATACCTCTGCTGCCAGCAGTTCAAGTCGTCTGTCCGACGTAACAAGAAGCTCCATCTCCTCTTGCACTCCTTCTCCTCCTCCTGCCCCTCCTCCTGCCCCTCCTCCTGCATCTCCTCCTGCATCTCCTCCTGGCCCAATTGTTGATGGCTCCGCCTCCTCACCACCTTCTCCTCTCGCTCCTCCTCCTCTATTCATCCCATCCGTGCTCCCTCCTGTCCCGTCATCCCCAGAAAGCCGTTCCACAGCAGCATCTTTCATGCGCTGCCGCAGCACCCGCACCTCGTGGAGGAAGCGCTCTGCCTTGGATTGCCAAGCTGATACGGCATCACTGTACGCCTCCTGTTGGGCCTGAAGAGGGTTATAAAGAAAGAGGTCAGATTCGCCTCCAGAATCGAAACAAATCGCCTCATCAGAAGCGTTTTCGACGTATTGCTGCAGCATGCACACCTCTCTCAATTTCAAGTCCAGCCAAGCAATAAAGTGAATACCTCCAGCCCAGCAGTCCTTGTGGCGTGTCAAAAACGGCAAAAAAAGGGAGTGCTGCAGCACTCGCTCCACTCTACAGCTCAAGTCAGCTAAGCAACAAAGACAATACCTCGAACCCAGCAGTCATCTCAGCACCTCAGAAAACTGCAAGAAAACAGACGGACTTCAGACGTAATCAGCCAGACAACCAACCAACCAATCACGCACCTCCAGCTCAGCAGCACGCTCCGCTGCCGCCCCCCTCTTCCTCTCAGCCTCGGCAACGGCCTGTCGAAGCACCTTTACCTCCCGAGCCAGCAGCTTTGCTTCAGCCCGAGCCTGAGCCTCCGCCGCCCGCGCAGCTGCCAGCTCAGCAGCCTTGTCTTGTTGTGCCTTCTGGTGCTCCTCTGTTGCTGTCTGCAGCTGCTGCTGTAGCTCGGCTTTCTCTTTCTGCATGGGTGGAGTATGGTACGCAGGGGTAAAAATGACACATTGGAGTCGAGACTTACGATACAAGAACCTTGTGGTGCTCCTCCGTTGCTGACTGTAGCTGCTGCTGTAGCTCTGCCTTTTCTTTCTGCATGGGTGGAGTGTGATACGCAGGAGTGAAGATGATATCTTTGAGCCAAGAGATGGACCTTCTGTTGCTGCTGTTGTAGCTCTGCCTTCTCTTTCTGAATGGGTGTATGTAGCGCAACATACAGGGGCAGAAGATGTGACTTTTGAGTCGAGCCGAAAACCTTTCGGTGCTCCTCTGTGCCTGTCTGTAACTGCTGCTGTAGTTGTGCTTTCTCGAATTTCCAACTCACCTTCAGCCGCCCCACGCTCTCCCTCACTTCACCCAGTGCAGCCCGCTTCTCCTCTGCCTGCCACTGCGCCACTGTCAGCTGCCAGTGCCACAATGTGCCCCACTGCCCTTCAAACCGCTGAGTCGAATTTCCAACTCACCTCAAGCCGTCTCACAGTCTCTCTTGCTTCACCCAGCGCAGCCCTGTCCTCCTCCACCTGCCACTGCACTGCCAGCTGCCTCTCCTGATCCCACTGCAACTGCCGCTGCACACGTTCCCCTGAATACAAGCCTATCTCACCTCCAGTCGTCCCACGCTCTCCCTTGCATCGCCCAGCACAGCGCGGTCCTCCTCCGCCTGCCACTGCGCCGCCAGCTGCCACTCCTGCTGCAGCTCCCGCTCCCGCTGCCACAAGCCCATTCAGGCAATCCTTTTCCCTGTTTGCATGCATTCCCAACTCACCTCCAGTCTCCCAACAGTCTCTCTCGCTTCGCCCAGCGCAGCCCGGTCTTCTTCTGCCTGCCACTGTGCCGCCAGCTGCCTCTCTCTTTCCTCCCGCACCTCCCTCGCCACCTCGGCTCGCAGTTTCCTCCTCTCCGCATCCAATTCAGCTTCCAACCCCCGCACCTGCAAGATAAATGCAAGGGTTGCAAGCAGGAAGGGAGGTGGGAAAAACATGCGTCAATATCCGTCGCTCCTGCTCCTCCCGCACCTCCCTCGCCACCTCTGCCCGCAGCTTCCTCCTCTCCGCGTCCACTTCAGCTTCCAGCCTTGCATCCCATGCACCTACAAACAAAGCCTTCCCTCCCACTCGTCTCACCTTGCTCGTAAGAAACTCCTTCACACAAGTTTCCTGAGCCACTCGCTCCATCAACTCGCCCATGTCCGTCTGGGCAGCTCATGATGTACGAATGCACAGCAATTCCCCTTTCAAGAGGTCTCAAAAACTCCCCCCTACTGCATGCTTCCTGTTCCACTCACCCTCTCTCCGTCTCACCTTGCTCGCTAGAAACTCCTTCACAGCCGTTTCCTGAGCCACTCGCTCCATCAGCTCGCCCATGTCCGTCTGGGCTGGGCTGCTACCCAGCAATGTCCCTCTCCTGCACAAATGCATGCCAGTTTCGCCCCCACATTTTCTTTCCTTCCCCTCTTACCTACTCCTCACCTTGCTCGCCAGAAACTCCTTCACAGCAGTTTCCTGAGCCACTCGTTCCATCAACTCGCCCATGTCCGACTGGGCTGCTCATAATTTACGCAACGCAAGCACATCAATTTCTCTCACATACTCCTCACCTTGCTCGCTAGAAACTCCTTCACAGCAGTTTCCTGTGCCACTCGTTCCATCAACTCGCCCATGTCCGTCTGGGCAGCTACCAGTCGCCTCCGAAGCCCCATCAGCATCTTTTTCACCGCTGCCCGTTTCTCCTCGGGCAGGCTCAGCGCCACCTGCCCGGAAACGCCTTGAACCAGCTCCGCCATGAGCTCGGCGTCACCGGCATGTATGGTGCTGTGCGGTGCGTTAATGTCCGGTGTGGTGCTGTGCGGTGCGGTGGCGTCGCCATCAATAACAGTACGTGGCAGCACACTTGCATGCCCATCCATGCTACCATCCACACTCCCATTCGCTGCCATCCTTCCCTCTCCCAATTCCCTCCCTCCACTAACCCGTTCACCCAATTCCTCCCCGTCGTCAACAATCCCCCTTCCTTCAAGCCTCCTTTCTCCCCCCGGCCCCACTCTCATCTCTTTCCCATCCATTCCTTCCTCCTCTAAACGCCCCTCCCTCTGTGCTCCCTCCCCTACCCGTTCCCCCTCTCCTCTTGCTCCTACCCCTCCTGCTCCCTCTGCTCCTCCTGCCCCCTCGCCTTCTGCCCCCAGCCCTGCTGGTATGCCCGCACTGTTCATACTGGTACTGTTCACACCCGCACTGTTCACACCAGCACTGTTCATACTGGTACTGTTCACGTCTAGCTGCGTGCTCATACCACCATCCCCTGCTCCTCCAACCTCTCTGCTTAACGGAGATGCCTCAAACGAGGCAAGAGGGTGTGAGGCAGCGGCTGGGAGAGTAGAAAGCTTCTGAGATTTCTCAAAAGCAGGCGACTCAAGAGGTGCTTCAAACGAGGCGAGAGGGTGCGAGGAGGCGGGGTGAGGGGAGGGCGTGACAGCAGAGGAAGTGACAGAAGAGGCGTCTGAAAAGTCCCGTGTGAAAGCCACCATGCGGGAACCATCGTGGTACTCAAACCCGCTCCCTGCGTCGCTCCCTCCTCTTCCTGCATAGTCACGCCCCATGTTATCACTCCCAGCTGCTGCTGCTGCTGCCACCACCGCTGCTGCTGCTGTATTCACTTTAGTCACACTGCTAGCTGCCGACCCGCTCCCAAAACCCCACAAGCTTAAGCCTCCCACTCCCACTCTTCCTCCTTCTCCTCCTCCTTCACCTCCTCCTACTCCTGCTGCTGCAGTAGCTGCCGTTGCTGCTGCGCCTTTCCCTGCAGCATTCGCCACAGATGCACCCACTGCCCTCCTCCGCCTGCCAGATGCTTCTAGAACGTTCTCGTCCTCCTCTGCTCCCCCCTCCCCTCTCTCCCCCTCCTCCTCCGCCTCGTCCTCTGCCAAAGCAGCTGCAGGGTGGATGGGCGGGGATAGAGGGAGAAGAAGGCGAGACAGGAGGACAGGACAGACAAAGGGTGTGTGGGGAGGGGAGAAAAAGGGTTGACAGATTGGCTCAGGTACAGATGCACCCACTGCCCTCCTCCTGTTGCGCCCTTCCCTGCAGCATTCGCCACAGACGCACCGACTGCCCTCCTCCACCTGCCAGATGCTTCCAGAACGTTCTCGTCCTCCTCTGCTGCCCCCTCCCCTCTCTCCCCCTCCTCCTCCGCCTCGTCTTCTGCCAGGGCAGCTGCAGGGTGAGAGGCGGAGGGAGAATACGGGGAAGGCATAGAGAAATCAGGAAGAGAGTGGATGGGAGTGGGAGGGGGTATAGAATTTAGGAAGGAGTTGAAAGGATGGCGCAGGTGCAGACGCACCCACTGCGCTCCTCCGCCTGACAGAGCACGGCGCCGCTGCTTGAGGCTTTAGCGTTGGATGTTGTGCTGCCCAACACAGAGGATTGTCACTCACTCACCTGCTCTTGCCACCCTCTCGAGCTCGAGAAAGGCAGCCATGGGGCGAGAGCGAGAGGCCTCCACATCTTCCAACAGCTGCTGCAGCCACGCATCTAGAGCACGGCGCCGCTGCTCCAGACTCGAGCTTTGAGTCCTGTATGTAGTCACCAATGCTGTGACTTAATTCGACACCTTACCTGCTCTGGCGACCCTTTCAAGTTCAAGAAAAGCTGCCATGGGACGAGAGCGAGAGACCTCCACGTCATCTAACAGCTGCTGCAGCCACGCATCTGGAGCACGGCGCCGCTGCTCCAGGCGGTGGCTGTCGGTGGAAACCTGCTCTTGAGTTTTGACCTGCCTGACGACCTTGCTCACCTGCTCTGGCAACCCTCTCAAGTTCAAGAAACGCGGCCATGGGTCGAGAACGAGACACCTCCACATCGTCTAACAGCTGGTGCAGCCACACATCTAGAGCACGGCGCCGCTGCTCCAGACGGTGGCTGTCGGTGGATACTCTTTGCAGCGGCAGCTTGGGAGGAGGGACGGGGAGGCGACGACGATCAAAGGAGCGGAGCAGCTGGTTTGAGAGAAGGGTCAGATAAGGAGAAAAAACAAGGGAGAGAAGAGAAGGGAGGCGGGTGGGGTTTCAGACGACTCAGATGATGCGTCTCAGCTGCTGCAGCCACGCCGCTGCTCCAGGCGGTGGCTGTCGGTGGATACTCTTTGCAGTGGCAGCTTGGGAGGAGGGACGGGGAGGTGACGACGATCAAAGGAGCGGAGGAGCTGTGAGAGGATGAAGGGAGAGGACAATAAGTAACGGATAGGAGAAATGTGAGGGGAGATGAGTGGGATCGAGACAATGAGGCGTCTCAATAAATTTTCCAGGAGGTGGCTGTTGGTGGAAAACTGTAGCAATGGCATTCCCCTCACACGTGCATGGCTGTGGCAGCTTAGAAAGCACGGCGGGCCCACGAGATGGCAGTGAACGGAGCGGGAAGGAGGAAACGAGTGGAAAGAATCAGAGAGGGTTAACATGCGGCATAGAAACTTTGCTGTGTGGGTTCTGTCACAACAGGTACTGAAACGAAACGACTCGGATGGGTAAAACATGTACATATGTTGTTACCATGCTGTAGAGATTGATGAAGTCGGAGAATCTCCTGGGAACACGAGTGACAGAGGTGATGCCTCGAGGGGACCTCACTCCCACACACACGTGGAAGAACTGGGACGAGGGAGAAAGAAGGAGACAGGAAAAGAAGAAAGGCTCTGGAGTTGACTCAGACGAATCTCCTGGGAACACAAGTGACTGAGGCAATGCCACGAACCCCTTTGACCTTTCTCAGATTCACCACAACAGGAGCCGGATCGGACGCCTTGGGAAAGAGCGCGGGGACCAGAGACGCGCCCAGATCGCCACTGCTCCCCCCTGGACTCCTAAGCCTGGCCCCTCTGGAAGCTGTTGCTGCAGCCGCAGCACCACCAGAAGTAGCACCTCTGATACTCACCACGACAGGAGCCGGATCAGACGCCTTGGGGAAGAGCGCGGAGACCAGAGACGCGCCCAGGTCGCCGCTACCCCCCCCTGGACTCCTAAGCCTGGCCCCTCCAGAAGATGTTGCAGCAGCGGCAGCACCAGCAGCAGCAGCAGCAGCAGCGGCAGTGGAAGTAGCAGCAACACTACCATCACCAGCAGTAGAGGAGCCGGGAGGATAGGTGGGCGTCCAGGTGGGAACGAGCGTGCAGAAGGCCCAGCAGCCGTCCGGCACGTGCGGCCATGCTGTGGTGCGCCGACCCGCCTGGTTGGAGGGGGAAAGGCAAGGGCATAGGGGGAGAAACAAGGGAAGGGCAACAGGCTTCCAGGTGGGAATGAGGGTGCAGAAGGCCCAGCAGCAGTCAGGCACGTGCGGCCATGCTGTGGTGCGCCGACCCGCCTGGTGTGAGGGGGACGGGAGGTAAACGGAAGGGGTGACAGGGGGAGAGACAAGGAAAGGGGGTCCAGGTGGGAATGAGGGTGCAGAAGGCCCAACAGCCATCCGGCACGTGTGGCCATGCTGTGGTGCGCCGACCCGCCTGGTGGAAGCGGAAAGGAGGTGAAAGGATAGAAGAGAGATGGGGTGGCGAGGCGAGAAGAGGGAAGGAGGAGGCTTCTGAGACGTTTCAGCAATCTTCAGGCACGATCAGCCATGCTGTTTGCGTGCAAGGACCAGATGATGACAGACAAGCAGGGAAGCGGAAACAGGAGAGCGAGTGCAGGTAGGGATTTTAGTGGCTCGATTTTAGGGATGTCTCAAAAGTGGGAGAAGTAGTTACACGCGAAAAGTGGGAAGAGAGGCGAGCGAGTCTGGGAAGCGAATGCTCTAGAAGTCTAAAAAGTCTCACGCAAAAAGCAGGGTAAAAGATTTTCCACAATCAGGAGGAGAATTCACGCTCGGGAAGGGATCCACGGCGGAGGTAACGGCGACGGGTCATCGTGGCGAAGGTCAAGCGCTCAGGGAACTAGCCGAACATGGAATCACTAGGAGAGTCGTTGTAAGAGAAACGAACCCAGTGGGCCGGCGGCGGGGAGGAGTCCATGCCCAACGGTAATGGCGACGTGCCATCGTGGCGAAAGACACGCGGATTCGACACCGTTTCTCCGGCACGTAGCTGCTGCTGATGTTGACTGTGCTGACGTGGATCGCTGTGCTCCTTCCATCCTGTGCCTTCTTGGCCTGAATGTCGCCCTAGCATAGTTCCGACGTGGTATACGGAATACGAAGATAAAATCAAAATCCGAATTCCACTCAGTTCGTGAAGTCGTTGGCACTTAGACAGTTCGCGACGCGATAGGTAGTATGGCAACAACTGTTCGCGGCAACTGATTCTAGGAAACAGGAAACTGGTTTCAAAAGTTCAGAGCACCGCTGCTTCAATGTTATGAGAACCAAGCATGATGCTAGGAGGTATGGCGGCGTCTAAACGCTGATGCAAAAGTTGGGTGGTGGTGTGGTGTGGTGTGTCTTGGGATTTCAGTGCCTCGAGATTTGCAGATTGAAAGTAAGGTTTCCTGCCTGCAAGAATTTGTATAAGGAAACCGATTACCTGTACGCAACAAGAAATGTACCTCTTTAAGAATACAAGCTGCTGCTTATATAGGGGCAAGCAAGTTCTAGGCGAGGCGAATATGCTTGGGCTCAACCAACCAACCACCAACCAGCTCCATCCAACCAGGGCAACTCCAATGCAACAATGCCCTGTCAGATCAAGCCCGGTCGGTTTCCCAATCTCTACTTCTGCATTTGCTACTCGCACAGTTTTTGAATCCGCTTTTTGCATTCTGTTGCGCATTGCTCCGTTGCTGTGAAGCTCGCCTTTGAGGTTTCCTCAGATCTTGGGCCCTTACGAGTTGCTCTATTGTCTAGCAATGGCCGACAGACTTCCTGGGGTGATCGCTCTGTTCGATGTGGATGGCACCCTCACGCCGCCTCGGAAGGTGCCTTTCTTTTGTCAACCGAGCTGTCCTCAAGCATCGTGCTCCTGATACCGCCTTGCAACATCCCCGTTTGCAGCATTCCGACGCGAAACATTCCCTTCGCGGTTGTAACATTTTCTTCGCGTTGTTGTGCTGCAGCTAGTGGAGCCAGAAATGGTGGAGTTCATGCAGAAGCTCCGCAAGGTAACCCATTCTCCCAGTTCCTCCACACCTTCCTGCCTCTCGGGCTAGAATAATTTATTTTTATCCTCTCCATCCGTCCCGATCGAGGAACCTGATTGCTCTTCCGTATTCCTGCGGTTGATGTTATCAGGCGGTGACCGTTGGAATCGTTGGAGGATCGGACCTGTCAAAGATCACCGAGCAGTTGGGGCCCGACAGTAAGTGGATTCAGCTTTAGCCTTATCGTTAGTCCACATCACCACTCGAATTTGTGAAGGTTGTCAAAGAATCACACGGAATAATCCCTCTAACGCAAGAATGCCCCTTTTGCAGCCTTGACGGCATACGACTATGTGTTTTCTGAGAATGGCCTCGTGGCACACAAAGCCGGAGAGCAGATCGGTAGCCAGGTAGGCGATTTTGAACCACCTCGGTCGGTAGTCGTGGCGCAAGCACTTCTCATGTTTCCTGACCTTTTTTACTAAATTTGTCTATCTGTGTGGATTCCAGAGCCTCAAAACCTTTCTGGGCGATGATAAACTCAAGGTAATGAGGGTCTCGAGTTCTTCTGCACAGTATGAAAGGCTTGGCTCGCATCGCCTAAACGAAGCGCGTGGTTGTTTTGCAGGAATTCATCAATTTCACTCTCCACTACATCGCCGACCTTGACATTCCTATCAAGAGGTGAGGAGAGCCCGCTGTATTGTTGGCCGATACGGTGTTTTCAATATCGTGGCATTGACGCACGTCAGGAGGCTCTTGTCCTGCATTAAGTTGCTTTCCTTTTCCCCCCTTCCCTTTGCCAGAGGAACATTCATAGAGTTCAGGATGGGCATGCTGAATGTGTCTCCTATTGGACGCAACTGTAGCCAAGAGGAAAGGGACGAGTTTGAGCGATATGATAAGGTACAGTTCATCTGGTTTGTTTACTCTTTCTGGAAAAGCGCCATTGTTCCTTGCCTCTGTCTTTCACTCATGTGCTTCCTCCATCTACCCTGCCTCCTCCGCTCACCAGATTCATAAGATTCGTGAAACTATGGTTGGAGTATTGCGGGAAAAGTTTGCGGATTTGAATCTGACATTTTCTATTGGTGGCCAAATCAGCTTCGATGTAAGTTCCCGTTCGCCACTCGCTTATACGTCACAACAAACGGTAAATGAGTAATACACTAACGCGACCTTTGCCAACCAGGTCTTCCCGACTGGCTGGGACAAAACGTACTGCCTCCAGTTTGTTGACAAGGACTTTCCAACCATCCACTTCTTTGGAGATAAGACGTACAAGGTACGTATACGGTATCACAAAGATACGGCATAAGCATATCAGGACAGTTTTGGCTGAACTTGTGGGCTCTTCTGATGCAGGGGGGCAATGACCACGAGATATTCATTTCAGAGAGGACAATTGGTCACACAGGTAAGCTCTGTCTTTTTGTTCTAAGCTCCATATGGTTGAAACTTTGGTCTCATTATTCTTTATTTATACTTGCAGTAACTAGCCCTGCTGACACTCGAGCCCAATGCACGGAGTTGTTCCTCAAATCAGCTTGACAGCCTCGTGAAGCGTTATGCTGTGGATGCAAACCTGAGAGGTTATTGATTGTTTTTTCAACTGTATGCAGCTCATGAGTTATCACATTATTTCAACGTTTGTTTGAAAGGCAAGTGCGCGTCAAAGCTGGTTAAAAACACACAGCTCGTGAGCAGGGATATATGACGCTTCCACTGACAAAACCTCACGCATGAAGATCAGGCAAGATAACAGTAGTTCAATCTTGGGGCATGACCCGCCCTTCATATCATCGCCTTCTTGAGGCTCACTTGGCGGGTCCTCTTCATCATGCCTCCAAAACTCGAAGAGGGGAGGCACTCAGATAAGATCAAGTGAGAAGAGATGGAAAGGCGTGCTGAATTTATAGGCCAATGTGGAATGAAGTGCTCTCTGACAGGAAGAGCTGGTTGCACCTAGGTAGGATGTTTTACCTCGTGAGCCATGGAACACTGACAATATGTGATGGAATAATGAATTTCGAGGGCGGAATCAGGAAATTAGCTCGGATTCTTTAGGCGTTCCAAAGCTACCAACGCATGCTATAACCTGCGCTGAACCTTCTGCAGGAACTTAGTCAAAGTTCATCTTCGCAACTCGGTATGAAGCGGTACTAGCAGAGGGCATCTGCACCGATGCAACACTTCTCAGGGTACCTTCCCCTTCACATTTCAGGGTGCCTTCCCTTTCTCACTGATTCATCCACATATTGAGAGGAATCAGCTCCACTTTTTCGGGTTCCCTGCCGAGCCGAACTCTTTTCGTGCTGACAGGGCTCTCGGTCAGCCACTGAGCGCACTCCACCACAGCCCCACACGCTTCCGTCGAGGGCCTCCCGTCGGCCGTCGGTACGTCACCCAATCCACAAATACTGATTTTCCACGTCAGTGAAGCTATTTGGAAGGTCTTGCTTTCCACGTCAGATGAAATTCCTGTGATTCCATCAAAGCTGGAATCCTTGCTTCGCTCTCCACCACTTTCCCGCCTTCCATTTGGTTCCTTCTGTGCTCTCTGAACCTCTGATCACTTGCCTTCCCTCCCATCTGCTCTACATTCTGGATTCCATCAGTTCCTCAGCAGCCTTCTCTCTGTTACTCAATTCACGCTCGCTTCAAGTCCTTGTGCTCCGAATCATTTTGATTCCGTTTTTGCGTCTGTCACTGTCCCAACTTCCCTTTAATTATTTGTTAGCTGTCCCGACGTTTCCACAGCAGCATGGCAACAGCTACCGCTCATCTTTCCTGTTCACCGGTGCACGTTGCGGCTGCAGCGGACGAGCGTGCAGCTCCAAGCGTTAGGAATGTTTCAGCCATTGGCTCGCTGAAGCGGTTCGACGGGCTGCGATGCCACGGGGCGACTGTTAGGGTTCAGCCTGCACAGGTCAAAGTAGCGCAGAGGAGGCTAACAACAGTTTCGGCCACAGCCACGTCAGCAGATGCCCCTGCAGCTGTGACGTCTTCATTTATTGGCGTGAAGACCGAAGAAGGTGAGGTAGCCTTCATGCGTTTGCATTCGCGTTTTGCATCTGCTTTTGCGAATGCTAGTTTTTCGTGAAGCTTGTGTAAAGACGTGCGGTGCAGAGTTTACGCGGAAGTGCTACTGGTTAAAAAGCGAACTCGAATGAAATTTTCAATGTAAAACGCGGGGTTTTCCTATTTCCAGAGAAACCAAAAGCGTTCCGTCTTCTCGTTTCATCGAGTACGTTAAAAGAAAAGGTGGATTGCTAATACGAACATAGACTTTATTTCAGTGGCGTCTTCTAGAGCCGTTGCAATGGGCCATGTAGCGAAGCTTTGGCATTTGAGACGTCTCAAAACTCTGTAGCGACCCTCGGCCCTTGGCTTCTGCGGGACCAACGGTTACATGGCATGGCCCGCAGTTACCATCATGCCACTCATTTTCCGTTGTCACCGCCTTGTCGCCTTGAATACGTCGCATTATCGTTCTCTCGCCTCCTCGTAATCTTCATCACTGGTTTTCGTGACGTGACGTGGGCAGAGATGATGGACGCGATAACCAAGGAGGCCGCCAAGTATCGTCTGCCCGAGCGCGTTGTGCTGGGAATGCGCGATTTCTACTACTCGTACGCGAATGCGGTAAGCCGTTTTTTTATTTTTATTGATATTATTATTGTACATTGTTCAACGCGTATCAATCCTAAGAATGGCAGTTATACGGTTGTCGTCTGTCTGAACGCGTGGTGCTGGGCATGCGCGTTTCGTACCATTCGTACGCGAATGCGGTAAGCTTTGCATCGCAACACAATAAGTTTATTGCGTTTTCAAACAAAGATCGGCACCTCTCAGGTTGTTCGTCTGTCGCATGGTGCTGGCATGCGCGGTTTCTATCATTCGTATGCGAATGCGGTAAGCTCGTTATGGCCGAATGTTACCATTCGTACGCGAATTCGGTAAGCTGCAATTCGATTCACACTTAGTCAAACGCAAATTTGGATTAAGTTTGGGACCTCTCAAATTGCTCGTGTTCCCAACGTGTCGTGCTGGCCACGCCCGATTTCTATTCGCACGCGAATGCAGTAGGCTTGTCGTTGTCAACTGTTACCACTTCGGCGCGAATTCAGTAAGCTGGTCGTTTCTGCTTGTACGCGAATGTGACGTTTCTGGTGGTACTCAGATACGGTTAGCAATATTCTGAGAGACACAACCCCACGCCCCAAACCCCAACCCCACAAGACGCACCATAATCACCCCCCTCCCCCCTTTCTCCCTTTCCCCGTTTCTCCATGGCTACTCCTCCCATGTGTCGCCACGCCCTCTCTCTCCTCCCTGCAGGTTGCGTCCAGCGGGATTGAGAACGCAGAGCAGCTCGCTCTGCAGATCATGTCGACCACATTCGACAGAATCATGTTCCAACTCAGGGTGAGCGGTGGGGGGGCGGGAGGGAGGGAGGGAGGGAAGCATGATGCACTGGAGTGGCGCGTTGCAGGCGTTTGAGTCGACTCACAAGTCACTTCGAACGCAGAGCCGCTTGCTCTGCAGATCATGCCGACCACATTCGACAGAATTATGTTCCAACTCAGGGTGAGCGGTGAGGGGAAGGGAGGCATGATGGAGTGGCTTTTAAGTAGACTCAAAAGCCATCGTACGCAGAGCAGCTCGCTCTGCAGATCATGTCGACCACATTCGACAGAATCATGTTTCGACTCAGGGTGAGTGAGTGGTGCTGAGAGATCTTCAGTGAGAGGTAGGCATGATGAAGCGGGTTTTCAGTCACCTCGACTCCCACGCAGAGCAGCTGCCTTTGCAAATCATGTCGACCACCTTCGACAGAATCATGTTTCAATGCAGGGTGAGCGGTGGGGAAGAGGGAGGCATGATGGAGTGGCTTCTGAGTAGTTTCAAAGCCAAATCGAACGCAGAGCAGCTGTCTCAGCAGATTATGTCGACCGTAATGGACAGGATTATGTTACACTCGATGCACAATGCAGAAAGCTTCGCAAGTTTCCCCCGTGTGGTTTTTAGAAAACCTTGACCAGTGAAACCAGTGGAACCGGCTGCGGTTAGGAAGCTTCAAAACTTGTTCACTTTATATCTTTTCTTTTTTCTAACATTTTGACCTACCCACAGGAGCGTCACCAGTTCGAATCGCACCATCTGGCCGTGCGTGAGCCGTTTGACTACTATGCTTTTGGGCAGAACTACGTGAAACCCCTCATCAACTACACGTAAGCAGCTCTTGCGTCAACTTAAAGCATAACTTCATGCAGAATTGTGTGCGACCCCTCATCAACTAAGCAGCTCTTGTGTCAACTTAAAGCACACCTTTGTGCAGAAGTATGTGCGACCCCTCATCAACTACTCGTAATCAGCGTTTGACTAGCGCAGTGAAACCGTGCTCTCTTTCTGTGTTCATAATTTTGCCACTTGGTGCATGCGTGTTTCAATGCAAACGTCATCTCCCTCTCTTTCTCTCCTTCAGGCGGTCTTACATCGGCAATGTGAAGATATTGGACCAGATTCAAGCCAACCTTGATGCTGTGAGTACTGATTTTTGTATGCTGTGAGTACTGTTTTCTATTCAACATTACACTAAAAGAGTATTGTGTCGGCAACGTACAAATTGAACGACATTTAAGCCAACCCTGACGCTGTGAGTGCCTCTGATAATGCGTCTTCCTCTATTAGTTTTCCACAATATTTCCTTCATCACCTGATCTCTTAGGATTCAAGGCTGTGGATACAGGGGTTGGGGTTTTGATTTTTGGATTGTCTCAAAAAATAGAGCCTTATCACCTGATGGCTTAGGGTTGAAGGGGTGTGTTGAAAGTGATGACTAAAGCAGATGCTGCCGATTCTGCCAGAGGAGCAAGAGAGGGAAAGAGAAAGAGGGCGTGAAGGAAGAAGGAGAGTGCGAGGAAACAAAGGATGGCAGCAGAGGAAATTTGGAAAACCTGAGGGGGTGTGTTGAAAGTGATGACTGAAGCAGGTACTGCCGATTCCACCTGAGCAGCAAGGGAGGGGATGAGCAAGAGAATCGTGAAGGAAGGCAGGGTGCGCAAGGGAAACAAGGGTGGCAGAGGGAATGTGGCTAACAGACCATGCTTCTCAATGTAGCACGTTGAAAGGGGGTGTGTTGAAAGTGATGACTGAAGCAGGTACTGCCGATTCCGCCAGAGCAGCGGGAGAGGGAGAGAGCAAGAAGGCGTGAAGGAAGGCAGGGTGCGCAAGGGAAACAAGGGCGGCAGAGGGAATGTGGCCAACAGGCCATGCTTCCAACCGGGCAGGCGGGAAGCAACCAGTTACCATGTAACTCGAGGCTGCTCCTGTCTGCTGCTGCTCTTTGCTACCTTTCGCCGCCTTTTTCCTCCACGGCCCTCACTCTTCCCTTTTCTTGCTGCTGCTGGTTCCGTGATGAAACTGGAAAAGCAAACATCTGATTCACAGACCCTCCTTCTAAAAACAAGCGCAGGCTGTCAGGCGACTCCTGAGGCGCCATAAAAGTGTGCTATGAGACTAAAAATAATAATTCTCTGATTAGCAGTCCCTCCTTCTCAGAGCATGTGTAACCTCTCTTGCTCACCTCCTTCCCCCTTCACCCCCCCACACATTCCTCTTCCTTCCATTTCCCCTCCATTCCATTCATTTCCTCTTCCATTCTCCGCTCCTCTTTCCTCCGCCCACCACCAGGGCCACAACGTGGTGTTGATGACAAACCATCAGACAGAGGCGGATCCGGGTGTCATCGCTCTCTTGCTCGAGAACAGCCACCCTCGCCTCGCCAAAGACATTGTACGTCACACATACTCTCTGTGTACCGTTCTTCATGTTCCATCTTCCATGCACTCTTGCTGGAGAACAGCCACCCGCGCCTGGCCAAAGACATTGTACGTCATTTGTGCTGTGCGCCAATTGCTCTGTCTGTGAGGCCAATTGCTCACTCACCCCCCCAAAGCTTTCCTGACCCGTCATGACTCCGCCTCAACCCTCCTCACCGCACCTCACCCCGCCTGACCACCCTCTGTGTGCAGAAGTATGTAGCGGGAGACCGGGCTGTCTTTGACCCCTTTTGCATGCCCTTCAACCTCTCTCCTGCTCACTCATCCCCGCGACCTTTCCCGTCCCCTCCTGACCCCGCCTCAACCCCCCCCACCCCTCCTCACCCCCGCCCACCCCTCCTCACCCCCGCCCAACCCTCCTCACGCCCCTTCACTGCACCTCACCCCACCTTACCCCCCTGTGTGCAGGTATACGTGGTGGGCGACCGGGTTGTCTTTGACCCCTTCTGCGTGCCCTTCAGCCTCACCCCGGCTCACTCATTCCCCCCCAACCTTTCCCTTCCCGTCATGACCCCGCCTGAACCCCCCTCACCCCTTCTCAACCCTGCCCACCCCTCCTCACCCCACCTCACCGCATCTCACCCCACCTTACCCCGCTGTGTGCAGATATACGTGGTGGGCGACCGGGTTGTCTTTGACCCCTTCTGCGTGCCCTTCAGCCTCACCCCTGTTCACTCGCCCCTCCCTGACCTATCCCAATCCCTCATTACTCCGCCTCACCCCTCCTCACCCCACTTCACCACACCTCACCGCACCTCACCGCACCTCACCGCACCTCACACCTGGCTGAACCCCCTGTGTGCAGACATATGTGGCAGGCGATCGGGTTGTCTTTGACCCCTTCTGCGTGCCCTTCAGCCTGGGAAGATGAGAGGTTCAGTGCGGTGCTTCATCCCCCATCTCACTCACCCCGCCTCGCCCCGCCTCGTCCCGCCTGGCCCCGCCTGACCCCCCCTGTGTGCAGACGTATGTTGCTGGCGACCGAGTTGTGTTCGACCCGTTCTGCATGCCCTTCAGCCTCGGCAGGTGAGTGCATGCTAGTTTGTGCATGGCAGATGGAGTGGGTGACAGGAAGAAGAGCTGGTGCCAGGGGTGGGTGAGGCTGTTCTCCTTACCCCACAGAGTGGGGTGAGGCTGTTCTCCAACAGCAGTGCATGCAACATGATAGAAGAGAGTTTCTGAGACTTCTCAAGAACTCTCTTCTATCATGAGGCTGTTCTCCAACAGTAATGCACGCGTTTGTGGCAGGTGCGTGCATGGGCAGGGTTAAGGCAGAAGCACCTTTCTCCTCACCCCTCAAAACACCCCCTTTCACCCCTTGAAACTTACTTTTCACCCCTTGAACCCCCCTGTACCCCTCCGCACCCCTCAGGAACCTGCTGTGCGTGCACCCCAAGAAGCATCTGAACGATGAGCAAGAACGGTCAGAGCAGAAACACTTTCCTCCTCCTCACCTCACCCCTTAAAACTCTCTCTCCACCGCATTCAAGCACCCTTTATCCCTTAGGAACCCGCTGTGCGTGCACTCCAAGAAGCACCTGAACGACGTGCCAGAGCTGGCGGAGCAGAAGCTCACTTCACTGCATTAAACCCCCCTTCACTTCTTCCAACTGCCCTCCACCCCTCAGGAACCTCCTGTGCGTGCACTCTAAGAAGCACCTCAACGACGTGCCAGAGCTGGCAGAGCAGAAGCGAGCGGAGAACCGCAAGACGCTCAAAGTGATGGCGAAGCTGTTCCAGCAGGGTGGAAACTTCGTGTGGATCGCTCCAAGTGGCGGGCGCGACCGCATCAACCCCGAAACTAACTACGTGCCGCCTGTGAGTGTCTGAAAGAGAAGGTTCATAGAAGGGCAGTGGTGTGCCTCTAAGGCAGCAAGACGCTCAAGGTGATAGCGAAGCTGTTCAAGCAGGGAGGCAACTCCGAACAAACTACGTGCCTCCGGTGAGTGCAGTACGGTGGGCCTTGGGGTGACTCAGAGGATAGGAAAGGGTTAAAGAGAGGGCCGTCTCACCCTTATCGTCTCCCAGCAGCGGCAACGGCCGCATCAACCCAGCCTACAGTGAGTGTTGCAAATCTCCATTACTCCTCAGGAACCTCCTGGTAACTCATGCACGTGCCATGTCAAACCCTCATGCACCGACTCCCATCGGAACTGAGAGTTCATCTTTGAGACGCATCTTCTCGCTTTGGTTTGAGGTTCCTGAGGGGCGGAGGGGTAGGAACCTCCTGGGAACTCATGCACGTGCCATTTCGAACCCTCATGCACTGACTCCCATCGGAACCAAGAGTGCATCTTTGAGACGCCTCGAATTCTCTTCTCTCTTTGCCTTCTTCCTCTGCTTGTCTCCGTTCCTTTCCACCCCTGCCTCAATGCCACCCCCATTCCTTCCATTCACCAGTCCCCATTTGACTCGTCTGCTGTGGTTCTCATGCACCGGCTCACACCAGAGTAGAAAGTGCTTCAACAACTTACTCCATTTCCCTTCTCTCCTCTCCCTGCTTCCCTGCGCCTCAATCCATCCACCAGTCCCCGTTTGACTTGTCTGCTGTGGCTCTCATGCATAGACTCACATCGGAATCGGAAGTCCCCAACAACCTGCAGCCCACCACGCTCTAAACAAGAATCCTCTTTTTCCTTCTCCCCTTCCCTGCCTCCCTGCCTCCCTCCCTTCCATTCACCAGTCTCCGTTTGACTCGTCTGCTGTGGCTCTCATGCACCGGCTTACATCGGAATCGGGAGTCCCCAGCCACCTGCACCCCACCGCGCTTAAAACAAGAATCCTCTTTTTCCTTGTCTCCTTTCCTGCCTCAATGCCACCCCCATTCCTTCCATTCACCAGTCCCCGTTTGACTCCTCGGCTGTGGCACTCATGCACCGACTCACATCGGAATCGGGAGTCCCCAGCCACCTGCACCCCACCGCACTCTACTCATATGACATCATGCCGCCTCCTCGCACTGTAAGTGTTGTGTACCGTCTTGCTTGTAACAATTTGTTTTAAATTGAGTCCCCAGCCACCTGCACCCCACCGCGCTCTACTCATACGACATCATGCCGCCGCCCCGCACTGTAAGTTGCTCGCTCATAACGAATACTGGTGTTGTAAGCTCTTGCTTATAATGAGTTGGCTTGAATCGAGCCCCTAGCCACCTGCAGCCCACCGCGCTCTACTCATACGACATCATGCCGCCGCCCCGCACTGTAAGTAGTGATGTGTTTCTTGCTGGTAGCAAGGTGGCTTAAATCGGCTTTTTAGCCACCTGCACCTCACCGCCCCCTACTCATATGACATCATGCCGCCGCCCCGCAGCACTGTAAGAGAGTATTTACTGGCTGACAAGGAGATGGCTTGAAATGAGTGCCTCTCATCTTCCCCCCTGTGGCAGCTGGAGAAGGAGCTGGGGGAGAAGCGCACCATTGGCTTCCATGGCATGGCACTAAGCAAAGAGGTGACTCACAGAGGTTATGTGAGTGCCTTTCTCCCTCTCAACTTTCTCTCCTTGCCCCTCCCACCCCGCACCTGTGGCAGCTGGAGAAGGAGCTGGGAGAGAAGCGCATCATCGGGTTCCACGGTGTGGCGTTCAGCGTGGGGGAGGAGCTGGACTTCGGAACCGTGACGGCTGGCATCGAGGACCGCAGGGAGGTGAGCGTGGTGTGCTGTGTACGAGAATGAGAGCTCCGTCTTGTGTGGCATCCAGCGTGGGGGAGGAGTTGGTTTTTCACCATCACAGCTGGCATTGAGGACCGCAGGGAAGTGAGTAATCGGTCTGAGTTATGAGGATTGCCAGGTGAATCCTTTGAAGTTAAGAGTGTGAAGGGTTGAGCGTGGGGGGTGTAGAGGGGAGGTGGACTTTGGTGCTGTGACTGCTGGGATTAAGGATGGGAAGGAGAGGTGAGAAGGAGATGAAAGCGGGGGACAGGAGGGAGGTGAGAAGAGGAGGGAGGTGAGAAGAGGAGGGACGTGAGAAGAGGAGGGACGTGAGAAGAGGAGGGACGTGAGAAGAGGAGGGGAGTGGGGACTGGGAAGACAAGGCATCCAATTCAAATGTTAGGATAAGCATCTCATCTCCTTTCCTTCCCCACTCATCCCCGCGCCCCCGCTCCTGCCCGCTCTCCTTGCCTGCCCATCCTCCTTACAAGCAGGCTGCGGAGAAGTACAGTGACGCGCTGTTTGCTGCAGCGGAGGAGCAATATGATCTGCTGGTGCAGGCGGTGCAGGAAAAGGGACTGGACAGTAGGACAAGTGCCTTAACGCCCCTTTCTTTCCCCTTCTTCCCCATATTCCCTCCCTGTTCCCAATATGACCTGCTGGTGCAGGCAGTGCAGGAGAAGGGCCTAGAGGGGTTAAAACATTTGGCTCACCTCCCTTGCTTTCCCACTCTTCCCCATTCCCCATCCCCCTCTCCTGTTGCCTGCCCATCCTCCTTACAAGCAGGCTGCGGAGAAGTACAGCGATGCGCTGTTTGCAGCAGTGGAGGAGCAATACGACCTGCTGGTGCAGGCGGTGCAGGAGAAGGGGCTGGAGGCATCCACAGATAAAGTCAAGCTGGAGCAAACGTGGCTGTAGCAGACATGGCTGTAGCAGCTTGGGCTCTAGCAGGAAAGATACGACCTTCTGGTGCAGGCGGTGCAGGAGAAGGGGCTGGAAGCATCAACAGATAAAGTCAAGCTGGAGCAGACATGGCTGTAGAAGACATGGCTGTAGCAGACATGGCTGTAGCTGATGCGCTGTATCGATGCGACTGTAGCTGATACGGCTGTAGCAGGTGTGGCTGGAACAGGCAAGGGCTGTTGTGGTTGGCAAGGCGAGGGAGATTACTACTGTGGCCCTGACTACAAGATCTACGTTTTATTCCATCCACCTTTGTTTTTATACATGTAGGTCGTATTTGTGCTGCGGTCAGTTGATGTAGGTCATAGAAGTTTGACCATAGAAACTCTTTTATTATTATACAGTTCGTTTGTGATACCGTAATCCCCCGTATATAGGACCCCCCCCCCCAGTTGTAGACCCCCGGGTCTATAATACGGACCCGGGTACTCTATTCCAGTACATCTGAGTTATACCCCCCTAAATGGCTCCTAATATTAAAAGACCCCCCCCCCCCCCCCCCCCCCCCCCCCCCCCCACACATCCTAGAGAAGTGTCGATTTTACAAAAATGCAACTGAATATGGTCATATTCCAGGTTGATTAAAACCCGCGTCTCATATTTTTCCCTTCCAACCAAGTGTAATACGCTCGAAACCGGGTAACCACAAAATCAGTCGCAACTTTGTTGGGTTCGATTGGGAGCCCCTGTGATTGGTTGCAGCCCCATCAGGTTGGGCAAGGCAGATGCACGACTAACCAACGTATGTGCGCGGAAAACACCACCTTGTGCGACGAAGGGAAACACAGAGAAGCAAGCGTATTACCACAGCCTGAAAATATGAGACTCCGGATCAAACCAAATGCAGGAGAGGTTAGTGACCTAGTCCAGGCCTAGCCTTTATTCAGCGACTTTGGTTAGGTTTTTTTTTCGCCAAATTCCTATCAAGCTCTAATCCCCACGTCACTTCCACATTGCCCTTTTCAAGCTCAAGCGCTTTCCCGTCCCTCTCCCTTCACTTCTCGACTCTCCCTTCTACGCCGCTGCACGCATTCTGCTTTACTGCGTTTCAGCCAGCTCTCGCTTGCACGCGAACACTTTAGCGGCTTCCCAAACTCGGTTTTCTCCGAACACTTGGCAGTATTATCGTTTCGATTGGGCGTTACGATCCAGAAATTGAACGGTGGGTGTTCGCATGGCATCGCACGTTCGACTGACGGTTACAGCTAAAGCGGCGGATGTTGAAAGCGAGCGCGACATGGCGACGGGAGCGAGAAGGAGGTGTGGGTGATTACGCAAGCAAAGTAGGTGCTGATGGCAGCACCAGAGGCGGGATGGGGACAGTGGTGGTGGAAGGAACCGAAGAAGAAGGGGAGAGCGGAGCGGGGAAGAAGGGGAAGCGCAAGGGCGGGAAGGACGGGGAGGAGATGGCGGATGGCAGTGCGAGCGCGGGGGAGGATGTGACGCGGCGGGCTCGCATGGTATGCCGTGTGCTGTAAACTGTGTCGTGTTCGCACTGCCACACCACTCCGTCCATTGCGGTAGAAGGCAATGCAAGATTGCCTCACTACGAAACCTGTCCGCCTCTGCTTCCTCCGCATCCAACTCACGTCCTTGCTTTCCCCATCCCACCCCCAGCCCCCCGTGTCCCCATCAGCCTGTCCCCCTCCTCCCCGTCCACCCTCCACTCTCCCAACTCCGCACTCCTCGCGCCTCGCCACCGGCACCGAGTGCGCGGCTGGTGGTGGTGCTCTTGAGGCGGGCGGGTGTGTGCTGCAGAGCCTCAGACTCACCACCGACAAGGTGCACTCCGTGCGGCAAGGGGAGGGCGCTGAAGGGTCCTGCTAGGTGCTGCTGGGCGCGGCGTGGTGCTTCTGGGTTCTGCTGGTTGCAGATGCACTCATATGTGCTAATGTGTGCTCTCCTCCTCATGCTCCACAGATAGCGTTCGAGGCGGTGCCCACGGACGCGGAGTTCCCTTACCTCTACTCTCGTCTTACCGTACCTTCCCCACCTCTCTGCTGCAGATTGCCTTCGAGGCGGTGCCGACGGATGCAGAGTTCCCAAGCAGCAACCAACTGGTGCGGCTCTGGCTGGACAAGCACGAGGGGCTGCGCGCATCTGACAGCGCGCAGGAGTCCGATCTACAACTGACATCAAATCACACAGCCCTGGGTGCAGTACCTGCTCATGTGCTCGTCGGGCCGATGGGGCCAGGTGCACGCTATCACCTCCCTTCCCCCTCTGCTATCACCTCCCTTCCCCCTCTGCTATCACCTCCCTTCCCCCTCTGCTATCACATCCCTTCCCCCTCTACTATCACCTCCCTTCCCCCTCTGCTATCACCTCCATTCCCCCTCTGCTATCACCTCCCTTCCCAACCTGCTATCACCTCCCTTCCCCCTCTGCTATCACCTCCCTTCCCCCTCTGCTATCACCTCCCTTCCCCATCTGCTATCACCTCCCTTCCCCCTCTACTATCACCTCCATTGCCCCTCTGCTATCACCTCCATTCCCCCTCTGCTATCACATCCCTTCCCCATCTGCTATCACCTCCCTACTCCCTCTGCGCTCCCTTCCCCCTCTGCGTCACCTCTCATCCCGTGCTACCACACCTCTCCACGTTATTGCCCCACCTGTCACACACTATTCCGCCAATCAATCACTTCCTCCCTTCCTCCCATGCCTCACCTCCCTTCCTCCCATGCCTCACCTCCCTTCCTCCCATGCCTCACCTCCCTTCCTCCCATGCCTCACCTCGCTTTCCTCCCATGCCTCACCTCGCTTTCCTCCCATGCCTCACCTCGCTTTCCTCCCATGCCTCCCCTCGCTTTCCTCCCATGCCTCCCCTCGCTTTCCTCCCATGCCTCACCTCGCTTTCCTCCCATGCCTCACCTCGCTTTCCTCCCATGCCTCACCTCGCTTTCCTCCCATGCCTCACCTCGCTTTCCTCCCATGCCTCACCTCGCTTTCCTCCCATGCCTCACCTCGCTTTCCTCCCATGCCTCACCTCGCTTTCCTCCCATGCCTCCCCTCGCTTTCCCCACTTGCCTCCCCTCTACTTCCCCTTACAGCCCCCTCTGTTGACGTGCTTGATCCAGCATGGCGCCACAAAGCGGTTGAACCCTAATTTTGTGACTAATGCGTAGATTTGAACTCAGTTGTTGGCAAAGTAGGCTTGGCGAACTCTCATAGTCTCTTGTTTTTCAATATCGTAATGAAATTGATACTCAGATTGCTTCAAGGCATCTTTGAAGTAGCAATTGAGCACGGCACTGACGCAAAGAGCCTATTGATTGTATACACTTGTATATTAGCTTGGAAATTTGCTTGTATTGGACACAAATTTTTCCCCACGCGGCGCCTATCACCCAGTGCTCTGCCCTGCCCTGCCCTGCCCTGCCCCAACCATCCCTTGCCCTGCACCCTGCGTCACACCCACCCATCCGTCCCACATGCTGGCTCGATTGGACACAAGCAGACTGACTGGCATGCGAAACACCCATCCCACTCGTTGCTCTGCCGTGCCCCACCCATGCCTTCTCCTGCACGCTGCATCATACCCATCCATCCCACGTGCTAGCTCGAGTGGACACAAGCAGTCTGACGGGCATGCGGAACACCCTGCTTGCTGCGCTGCCTCCCACTCCTGTCGCCGCCCCACAGTCCACCACTGACGCCTGAATAGGGCAGAGGAGTGGGGAGCGAGGGGGGAAGGAGGAGCTAAGGAGGAGAGGAAAGCAGCGGCGCACGAACAGATAAAAGAAAAGAGCATGGGGTGATTGCAACGCTAACTCGGCCTGAAAGGGCAATCTATGTGCACAGCATCGGAAGCAGCCTACTGTCCTGCATGCCTGCATGCAATCAGTCCCTTCCCCAGGGCCTTACTGCTTTGTACTTGAAGCCGTGTGGTGGGGACCGCAGCAGCGGCCCTGCCACACACTCAGGCGACACGTCCTCCACTGCCCACCTGATGCCACGCATGCGTCAGAGGGATGGGGGACGAGGGAAGGAAAGGAGCGGGTTAAAGGAAGACAAGGGAGAAAGAATGGCTCGTGAGAGACAGGCAGAGAGTTATTGTGACAGGAAGGGGAAGGCGGGGGTTTGTGACAGGGAGAGGGAGGTTGAGAGGGAGGGTGGAGGGATGAATGAATGCAGGGTGTAAGGCGCGGGGTAGCAAAAAAATAGAGAAAGGCTGAAAGACAAAAATCCAGGCCCATAAAGAGGCCCACCCAGCCAAATCATCCCTTCCCTCCCCCTCTCTCCTCTCCTCCTTCTCCCCACTTCCCCCCCATCCGTCACTCACCTCTGGCTGGTTTGGAGATCTTGGGGTGGGCGGGGAGGGAGAAGAGCGAGAAGGGAGCGGCGTGCACGGGCGCGTCTGTGAGCCAGAGCACCTTGAGCGAGAACCCCGCCGCCACTGCTAGCGCCTCCATTCCGCACAACGCCACCAGCCGCGCTGCCATGCTGCCCTGGGGAGTGGGAGAGAGGGGCGAGAGGAGAGGGAGAGGAGCGGGGAGGGGAGAGAGGGGAGGGGGTGAGGGAGAGGGGAGAGGGGAGTGGGGAGAAAGGGGAGAGAGAATGTTGTGGTTGTGGAAAGGTGCTTGCTTCGTGCGCAGTGAGACGGAGGGCAGACTGAAGATTGTGAGAGCTTAGATGCGACTGGTCGATGGGGAAGCAGGGCGGAGCGGAGTGGGGTGGGGTAGGGAGGGAGGGGAGGGGAAACGGGGTTGGGGGGGAGGAAGAGAGGGGAGGGTAAGGCCTAGTCAAGATACAGAGGTGTTTCATGAACTCTCGCAATTTCAAGGAATCAGTGGGCGACGCAGCGGGCGACACAGTGCGCGACAGGGGCGTCGCACGCACCTCGGCGATCAGAACGAGGTCGTGTTAGGCAGGCTGGACGCGGCGAGACAGCCGCGGCACGTGAATCTCCGCAGCATCTGGTCGGGCCGCAGCGCGACACACGCCGCGAGCAGAGCGAGCGCAGCGAGCATGAGATTCGCGGCGAAGGGTCGTTGCTGCGACGGCGCGTGGTGCACGCGCGGCGTCGTGGGATGGCGGCGCGATCGCGGCGTTGACGGGTGGCTGTAGGAGCGACTACCGCCAAAGTGGAGGTGCATGGTGCTGGCCGGTTCTAAAACGGGCGGGGCCACACTGGACGAAAAGGGTAGAGCCTTTCCGTTGTGTTACAACTTCGTTGATGATCAGTTATGGTTGGCGAGGGGGACCGGGTGGGGGCGCAGAATTCCGCACTATCACGAACGCTGAGGGGGATTAAAATCTCGCCGAAAAAGGCACGGCACGGCAAATGGCGAACCGGTCGAACGGTAGTCGATGTGGAGCCAGCAGGTATGTCGCAAGCGATTTTGAGCAGTGTAAGTCGCAATAGATCTTGATGTGAACAGCTGGTAGAAGGCAGGACAGGGCAGCACGTTTGTAGGCGAACCATCGGACGCGGAACGGCTGATGACGGGGAAAACACTGTATTTGCGTGAGACGAGGAGGCACTAGGGTTACTAGACTTTTCCTGCGCCTGCTATCTGTTGGTCGGTTATGAGGTACTTAGTGGTTGTGCTCTGCTCTCTATGCGACTGTCATGCTGCGAGGGGAAAGTGGGCGACTTGTGTGTTGTTTTGGCTGGTCGCACGCAATTGCGATTCTGCCAAACCTGTTTTCTAGGTGTGGAAGTGTTCCATGCCTGAGGGGTTTGTTTGGCGTTTGCCTTGACGAAGAAGGGTTTCGCTTCTCTTTTCCAAACTGCTCGTCACAAACTCGCCCCTCGTTACCCAATCACAGGTGCCTTTTCCCAACCAAGTGTAATACCGTTGTTAATATGAGACGCGGGTTTTAAGAGAAATCGCACCCAGAAACGATGCCTTGCGCTGTGGTGTGAACACCAAGTGGCATTGGTGGCCAATGGGAGGAGGCTTACAGATAGGGCTTGTGTGGGTTCGGCCCGTGTGGAGACCAATTCGAGTATTTTTGGGAGGAGCTAAAAACAGAGCAATTCCAAATCACTTCTTTGAGCTCCAAAACTACATTCTTATAAATGTCAATATGAACAGACCCGGGTCTTTTAAAAAGTATACAATTTAATTATACCCCCCAGCCTTTTTAGGGGTGATTATCATAAGACCCTAGGGTCTTATATACGGGGGATTACGGTATTAAAGAATTGTAACAGGATGTTATAACTACACAGATAACGGCCACAACTGTGGTACTACTGCCATGGCGTGTTGTGTGGAAATACAGCTCTCGCTTTGGGGATTTCCGTACGTACAAAATAAATGATATGAGGATGCACTTGAAAGGTGGACCCTTCAAAATTTCATGTGCCAGTAAGTTATATCATTTTTGCAAGTACCATGAGAGAACTGCATCACACATCCTAACCCCATCTACTCTAAGGCGATTCCAATATGGAAGCGCAATCACACAGTGCGCAATCCCCACAGGGATAAACACGCCACTATTACTCCCCCTCTGCTGCACACTCTGAACAAATTTCCCCACATTCTGCCCAGCCCACAGCATTGCCAATTGCTCACTGCTAGTACACTCCTTACTCGCTTGTTTCCCCGCTAAATACAGCGCCAGCTGGCGCGGCGAGCTGGCGGTCAGCGATTGGACGGTGAGGTTCGGGAGGAGCCGAAGCAGCTCGGCAACGCACCGAACCGAGTAGGTTTGGTTGAAGGGGTTGAGCTGGTTTCCGAGCATGAGGGCCCGATAGTCGAAGAGAGAATTGATGACATAGAGGGGGAGGGAGCGAGAGATGTAGGGCAGCGCGTATAGGGGAAAGAAGCAGTGCCAGCGCTCACTTGACGAGTGGGCTGCAAGGGTTGGGGTGGGGAAGAGAAGGGGGGAGGAGGAGGGCTGGTTTGTTGGCTGCAAGGCTCAAGGGGGGAACAGGAGGGTGTGATGGGGGAAGAAGCAGTGCCATTGCTCGCTTGAGCAGTGGGCTGCGAGGGTGTTGGGAGAAAGGAATGAAGAGCAGGAGAATGGTGAGTGGTATAAAGGTTGGTTGGTGGGTTGCGGAGGAATAAGGGGGAAAGGCAGGGCGTATTGGGGAAGAAGCAGTGCCACCGCTCACTTGAAGAGTGGGCTGCGCGGGGGTTTGGGGCACAGACCACCTGCCACAGAATGTGGAACCCACCTACAAAGATTAGGTTCCATTTGTTCACAAAGATTGCAGAGCTTGTAAGTTAGTCAAAGGGACAAGGGCAGCTTCATCAGAAACAAAAGTGGCTTACCCTGGGAAAATTGTGCCATATTCAGTGTGTTTTTGAGTCAACAAATGGAGACTCTCAACGCTCTTACCTTGCGCGCACTTTGTGCTGCCAGTGAACTTGTGCAGAGCAACAATGTCAGCCGCCATTCTTTGAAAGAACGGCTGCCCATAGCGATCGTTGGAATCTGCACAGGACGGGCAAGTGGGGCAGGGAGCGGTGGGGAGCGGTGGGGAGGGGAAGTTATCCATCTTATGCAGAGCAACAATGTCCGCCGCCATTCTTTGAAAGAAAGGCTGCCCATAGCGAACTTTGGAATCTGCACAAAGGGGCAGGGAGCGGTGGGGAGAGTCGGGGAGGGATGGGAAGGGGTGATCAAATTTATGCAGAGCAACAATGTCCGAGGCCTTCTCTGGAAGAAAGGCTACCCATAGCGATCTTGAGAGTCTGCATGGGATGGGCAAGTGGCGCAGGGAGTGGTGGGGAGCGGTGGGGAGCGGTGGGGAGCGGTGGGGAGCGGTGGGGAGCGGTGGGGAGGGGGGGGGGAGCGGTGGGGAGGGGTGGGGAGCGGTGGAGAGGGGCAGTGGTCATCTTTTGCAGAGCAACAATGTCAACGGCTGCCCATAGCGATCGTTGGAATCTGCAGCAAAACTCAGAGATTTGTGGGGCGGATGAGTGGGGCGGGGAGGGTCGGGGAGAGGTGGGTGGGGAGGGGGGAGGAAGGGTGAGAGGAGTGCGACAGGGAGGGGTCGGGAGGGGGGTTGACAAAGGGTGGTCATACACCGCTTGATACCCCGTATCACCACTTATCACCCGTTGTTACCTCCAACGTCCATCTTCTCCCTTCTTCTGTGATGTGAACGAGCCAGAGTGCATGAGGAATTTGATGGTCTCTGCACTCATGGCACAACAGTTGTTCATTATAAACCGCTTGATACCACTTCTCACCGCACCTCACCAGTGAACGAGCCAAAGTGCATAAGGAATCTGACGGTCTTTGCACTAACGGCACAAGGGCTGTAAGTTACAACTTACAAACCGCTTCATACCCTTTATCACCCCACCTCACCGCACCTCACCTGTGAAGGAGCCAGAGTCTTTGAGGCATTTGATCTTCATCGCATTCGGAGCACAAAGGTGGTTGTTTATAAACCGGTTAATACCCATTATTACCACACCGCACCCCATCTCACCTGTAAACGCGCCAGAGTCCATGAGGCATTTGATCTTCTGTGCATTCGGTGCATACTCCTGCATGTGTTCACACAGGGTCAGCACCGTCTGGGCCCCTGCCGATTGCCCTGAAAAGGAGGAAGTAGGGGCAGCAGTGTAAGCAGACATTCAGTTGACTTGAGTTGATTTGATGGTCATTGCATTCGAATACACAATAGACGGTACTCCTACATGTGTTCACACAGAGACGCCGTCTGTGCTCCCGCTGATTGCCCTGGAAAAAAAGGGAGGGGAAGTGGAGGGGGGTTGGGGGGAGCAGATTTTGAGTTTTGAGTCTTGAAAATATTTGAGTTCATTTGTATGACTTGAGCTGACTGGGAACGTATTCCCTCATGTGCTCACACAGAGACAGCACCGTCTGGGCCCCTGCCGATTGGCCTGGTAAAAAGGGGAGGGGGAGTGGAGGGAGCAGATTTGGAGTCGTAAGAATAACTGAGTTAATTCGATTTGACTCGAGCTGACTGGGTACGCATTCCCTCATGTGTTCACACAGTGACTCATAAATCGATACCATTCCACCCGTCCATGTAGATTCCAAAGCTGTCGTCCACTTTTGTCCACCCCGCTGTGCCCCCAAACCCCCACTACCTGACAGCAAGACTCGTGTAGCAGACTGCATTCCTCTTAACTCCTTCACATCTGTCAGCACCGCTTTGATGCAATCCCACCCGTCCATGTAAAGCCCAAAGCTGTCCTTCACTCTCGCCCATCCCGCCGTGTCGACTCAAAAGCCCCTCTGTCGCAGTAGATGCCTGGACTGGACTGAACTGGAAACACACCTGACAGCAGCACTCGTCCCTCATTATCCGACACTCATCAGTCCACGCGCGTTACCTGACAGCAGCACTCGTGTAGCAGACTGCATCCCCCGCAGCTCCTTCACATCTGTCAGCACCGCTTTGATGCAATCCCACCTGTCCATGTAGATGCCAAAGCTCTCGTTCACTTTTGTCCACCCCGCTGTGCACTGAAACCCCCCTCCGTCGCAGTAGATGGGGATGCCTGGGAACACACACACCTGAAAGCAAGACCCGTGTGGCAGACTGCATCCCCCTTAACTCCTTCACATCCGTCAGCACCGCTTTGATGCAATCCCACCCGTCCATGTAGATTCCGAATGAATCATTCACTTTCGCCCATCCCGCCGTGCCCTGAAACCCCCCTCCATCGCAGTAGATGGGCACCATGAGGTTCCAGTTGCGAAAAGCCTTGTTGACAAATGGCCCGGTGCTTAGTATTCCCAAGTAGGCATAACTTGCCTGAGAGTAAGAGGGGGAACGGGAGGGGAGGGAGATGGAGATGCGTTTTGTTGGATGCCTGAGAACCCCCCTCCATCGCAGTAGATGGGCACCACGAGGTTCCAGTTGCGAAAGGCCTTGTTGACGAACGGACCGGTGCTTAGGATACCGAGGTAGGCATAACTTGCATGAGAGTAAGGGGGAGGGGAGGGAGGGAGGGAAGGGAAGGGCTGGCTGGGGGTGCTGGAACAAAGCTCCCCCCTCCGTCGCAGTAGATGGGCACCACGAGGTTCCAGTTGCGGAAAGCCTTGTTGATGAAAGTACCGGTGCTCAGTATGCCCAAGTAGGCATATGATGCCTGTGGTGGATGAAATGGAGGGGGGGTATTGGGAGGGAGGGAAGCAGTAGATGGGCACCACAAGGTTCCAGTTGCGAAACGCCTTGTTGATGCACTCACATTGCTGTACGGGTTGTCCTTCTGCAGTTCGGGCTTGAAAGAATCAAGGAATGTGGTGCTGCGATTCGCACACCCAGAGAGGGTGGAGCACCAGCCGCCGGGGGGCAGGTGGATGTGCAAATGTATTGGTCAACGGCGGTCAACACGAGTCAACGCGGGTCAATGGACTCACATTGCTGTACGGATTGTCCTTCTGCAGCTCAGGCTTAGAAGAACCGAGGAACGTGGTGCTGCGATTGGCACACCCAGAAAACGTGGAGCACCAGCCGCCAGGGGGCAGGTGGATGTGCCACGACGATTGTCCATAGCCGTAACCAGGGCGGAAATAATATCCAGGGGGGCTGGGGGGAAGGGATGAGGGAAAGGGATGTGGGATACAAGGGAAGAGGGGTAAAGATCACAAGATATGGCAGGTGGGATGTGCCACGACGACGCACCGCAGAAATAGTACCCGGGGGGACTGGGGGAAAGGGAGGGTGGGGGAGGGGGTTGATGGGGGGCGAGGGGTATAAGACCAGAGAGGGTGGAGCACCAGCCGCCAGGAGGCAGGTGGATGTGCCACGACGACGCGCCAGGAGGCAGATGGACGCACTGTGCCTGGGGGTGCAAGGGGACCGGGGAGGAAGTGAGCGGGAGACAGGCATTGGAAGGCTGGACGCTACGAGGAGCGGCAGCTTCCAGGGGGGCATGTGGATGCGCCACGACGACATGCCATAGGTGAAATCAGGGCGGGAGAGATATCCACTGGCAGGGCGGGGTTGGGGGGAAATAGAACGGATAATGCGGGGGAGGGGAAGGAGTACGGGGATGGGGGAAAAGTGGAGGGGAAGGAGTAACGGAGGAGCGGTGAAGGGGGGAGAGGGGGGGATTTGAGGAGGAAGAGAAGGGGACGAAGTGGGGAGGGAGGCTTGAGAGGCCGTAAGGAGCGTGCTAGAAGTTGGCTAGCGGCTAACTCTTTTCAAAGGGTTTAACAGATACGTTTGTGTGTGAAGTGCCTCGGATATCACTAAATAGAAACATGTTCTTGAGAATTCTCAAAACTGATGTCGGCTCTATCATGTGATGAAGGGTTTCTACCTTGCGCCGAGGCACTCGGCGTTGTATCGGTTGTTGGGAAGCACCGTTACAAGCAAGCTCGGTACCGTTACCGTTTCCTCGATCGCCGCGTTTGCGAGGCTCCTCAGAACTCGTACCTTCCGTCGAGGCACTTGGCGTTGTATCGGTTGTTGGGAAGCATCGTTACAAGCACGTTCGGTACTGCTATTACCGCGACTCTCCTCTGAGTCAGACTCGTACCTGCCGTCGAGGCACTTGGCGTTGTATCGGTTGTTGGGAAGCAACAATGGCGACAAAAATGGTACCGTTACCGCAGCTTTCCTCGCGGCTCGCGTCGACTCGATCCCCGCTGTAAGCCGACCCGTTAACGCGAGCAGCAGAGCGATTGCCAGTACGGAAAACCTGCGCTGGAAAGAGCCGAAATTTGTTACGTCTATCCCCGTTACAAACCTCCTCGTTTCGATTTCTCTACACGAATGTACCCTCGCTGATCGTCGTCCTGCTTCTACGTTATTATTCGCGTTCGATAGTGGTAAGGAGGAACCCGGGACAGGTTGTAACGGGGAAATAAACCCTCTAACGCTGGAAGGATATGGCGATATAATCGGCGCGATCGACGATAGATACTTGAGGACGGGAGATGCTTGTGAATGTGACGGGGATTGGTTGCGCGGTATGGCCGCCATTCGCGGCATCATAGGTAGTTAAACCGAAATCATGTTCAATCTCGAGCTTTGTTATGTCCGCTGATTGACGGAGGAACAGCAGCCGATAGCACGCCTTGAACTAAGCGATTCGTACTATCCCGCGAAACAACAATTAGAGGCTTCGATCCATCAGCTGAGAAATTATTTTTTCCAAGGAAAGTAGCGCCGTGCAGCACGGCGTTAGGTGTGCTGGTAGAAGCTGTAGCTGACTCCGCAACGTGGGTCTGACTCTGGCAGGCACAGACATTCAACGCCTAGAACACAACAGGATGCGTGCTGCATTTTCTTTCCTGGTTCTTTTCGGTCCGTTACATTAAAGTCACGGTTTTGTAAGATACAGTAGCTTTCCGCGCGGTTCCGCATTTTTATTCTAGCATGTCTCGGTGTCGGTGTGGTGGTAATCAGGTTGCGCGGCGCGGGTGAGGAAAGGTGGTTGGTGCGATCCATCCGCACCTATAACGGGGTCAAACACCAAGGTGAGCGAAGATTCAGAAAAGCGTGATTTGTGATATTATTTACCCTTCGATACAAAGACCGTACAACCTTGTCTTTGTTTGAGGTGGAGTCGAACGCCGAACCTAACACCAAAGTGGCAGTTTCCTTTGGTCGGAACTCTCTGAAAGGCGATTTTTACTAAGTGTCTTCGACGACACGAGTGGCGAATTCACCAGACCTGCCCCTGAAATTACTACCATGAATGGAACTGTAAATTTCGCCCTTCCAACCGACAGTGCTGTAAAGAGTACAGACTGACGTCCCACTATTTGCACGGAAATTGAGGAACAATCCGAAGGCAGAATGAACGCGCCGGACAACACAACAACATACGCATTATGGATCTGGGAGTTATTGGAACAATATATTATACATGCTCTGTACAGTTCTTACATACAACTGTACCTGCCCTGTACAGTGTCAAGAAACACTATGGCAATCATTTACTCAGACTCTAGTTCAGCACAATCCTCACTAAAATCATCCTCACCATCATCCCAGTCAACTTCTATCTCCACGGTAGCTGCGTGCAGCTTATCCAAACCTGTTATTTTCTCCAAGTATGTGGGATCGTTAAACGCGTCCATAAGGAATGCAAACCCACGCTCTTGGTATGCTGAAACCACCTGCAGTGAGAAAACAAGGGCAAATGGGAGCAGGAAACTAGGTGCTGAAAGAGAGGTGATATGAGGAAACAAGAGACTCATGTGACAATAGCAGAATGTGACAATGGCAGGGAATGTGAGAATGCTGGGGGGAGAAAGAAGCAGTAACCGAGGCAATACACTTACTGTAGGCGAGCAGGCAGTACACTGGTGGAAGGCGAAACCGGTGATAGGTAACTGGGAGGACAAGGAGAGAAAGCCTTTCGAGGGGCCTCGAAAGAGATAAGCAAGGCAGTAAACCTACCGTAGGCGAGCAGGCAGTACACTGGTGGAAGGCAAATCCAGTGATGGGTAACTGGGAGGAGGAGGAGAGAAAGCCTCGTAGCTGGATAGCTTTGAGGCACCTCAAGTAAAGGACGAGACCAGTGGGGCAGTACACTTACTGTAGGCGAGCACGCAGTGCACTGGTGAAAGGCGAAACCGGTGATGGGTAACTGGGAGAAGGAGGAGAGGAAGCCTCGTAGCTGGTGAGGCAGCGGGCCCAGAGGCGAGCAGAGGTGGGAAGACGCAGAAGCAGAGGCAGAAACCCCATCAGCAGCGGTGTCTTCTGCTGGTGCTGAGATTCTGAGTGGGTGGGGGGAAGGGAGGACATTTTTGAGTCGAATAAAAAAACAAAGATGGGGAGAGGCAGAGGCAGAAACCCCATCAGCAGCGGTGTCTTCTGCTGATGCTGAGATTCTGAGTGGGTGGGAGGAGATGAGAGGGGGTGATGGGGGCGGGAAGAGACAAGCGTAGGAATGAGCCACAAGCTCACGAGGAGAGAATGGTGCAGCAGCCCAAGACCCCTCCCTAAGTTAGACGCCCTAACACTTTGGAACAACTCACTCTAGAGGGTGGTGCAGCAGCCCCACGAACAGCTCCACTGTTAGAGAGCCCCTGCTATGGCTGCCAGGCCACTCACCTGCTCCTCAAATCCCACCCATGCCCTACCTGTAGCCTGGTACGATCAACTCACCCTAAAGAGTGGTGATGCGATGCAGCAGCCTCACTAACAGCTCCACTGTTAGAGAGCCCCCGCTATGGCTGCCAAGCTGCTCTCCTCCTCCTTCCACCCGGAACGCCCTGTGTCTCTGTACCTTGGAAACCTGCTACGCTCATACCCAAGAGCCCTGAGAGAGCTTACCCAAGAGGATGATGCAGCAGCCCCACCAACAGCTCCACGATTAGAGCCCCGCTACTCCTTCGATTTCACCCGGAACCCCCTGTGTCCCTGTGCCTTGGAAACCTGCTACGGTCAAATCCACGAGCCTTGGCCTCTTGCCCCATGGGATGGTGCAGCAGGCCCACCAGCAGCTCCACTGCTAGAGCCCCCGCTATGGCTGCCAGCGCAGTAGATTGCTCCATCAACTCCCCCTGTAACCTGCTACACTCAAGCCCACGACCCCCTAACACTGTGAACAGCGTAGGGGATGATGCAGCAGCCTTACCAGCAGCTCCACTGCCAGAGCCCCCGCTATAGCTGCCAGCCCACTCACCTGCGCTTTCAACCCGAAACCCTCTGTACCCCTGAACTCTGGTAACCTGCTGCCGTAGAACCCAAGGCCCTTTGACTACGGGGCCTCAATACTGTGAACAACTCACCCCATTGGGTGGTGCAGCAACCCCACCAGCAGCTCCACTGCTAGAGCCCCCGCTATGGCTGCCAGGCCGCTCACCCGCTCCTCAAACCCCCACCCACGCTTATCCTGTTATGTTCAACTCACCCCAGGGGGTGGTGCAGCAGCCCCACCAGCAGCTCCACTGCCAGAGCTGCCACTATGACTGCCAGGCCACTCACCTACTCCTGAACGTTGCAGGATACAGTACAGGGTACTCGTCACAGCCAGCCCTTACCCGAGTGGGTGGTGCAGCAGCCCCACCAGCAGCTCCACTGCCAGAGCCCCCGCTATAGCTGCCAGGCCAGGGCGCGTGACTGTGCACTGCTGGTCTAGCGTGCGATGAGTGGTGGACTGGTGGGGGGTGTGGGGAAGGAAGGGGAAGAAGTCATGAAGACAGCAAGCATGAAAGGCTGCCAGAGCCCCCGCTATGGCTGCCAGGCCAGGGCGCGTGACTGTGCACCGCTGGTCTAGCGTGCGGTGCGCGGTTGACTGGTGGGAATACATGGGAAGGGAAGGGGTAGAGACGAAATGATGGAGGTGAGTGGGTAGAGCAGCACTCAGAGCAAGGCAGCTACAGCCCCACTAACGGCTCCACTGCCAGAGTGCCCGCTATGGCTGCCAGGCCAGGGCGCGTGACTGTGCACTGGTGGTCTAGCGTGCGATGAGCCGTGGACTGGTGGGGAATATATGGGGAGGGAAGGGGCAGAAAACATGAAGCGAGAGGGATGAGGAGTGAGTCCGAAGGTAGCAACAAACACACACACACACACACACACACACACACACACACAAACACACACACACACACACACACACACACACACACACACACACACACACACACACACACACACACACACACACTGCCAGAGTGCCCGCTATGGCTGCCAGGCCAGGGCGGGTGACTGTGCACTGCTGGTCTAGCGTGCGATGGGCCGTGGATTGGGGGGTGGGAGCAATGGAAAACGCAGGAAGGGTAGGAGAAGGAATGAGGGAAGGAGAACCGGTTCCCTGCTGTGGCTTCCATGCCAGAGGCGGGTGAAAGTGCACACCATGTCCCGCTATAGGCTGAGTCAGGGAGCAAGTGCACACCAAGGCAGCAATGCACACAGCAAGGCAGCCAGAGCCCCTGCTAGCTCTGCCTGCCAGGCGAAACCCACATTGAGGGAACCACGCAGAGGCGGCTCACAAGAAGAAGGCAACTCTTTAGGCTGATAAAAGCGAGCAGCTAATACAGGACTCTTGGGAGTTGCAAAGAGATGAAATGGGGCTGAAAGAGGCCCACATTGGGGGGGGTCTTTCAAGATTTCTCAGAGAAGTTGCGTAAAGGAGAAATGAGGCAGAGAGAGGCCCACATTGAGGGGAGCAACGACGTCATTGCAGAAGTAGCAGCCGAGGCGCTTGGATGGCGCTGAGTCAGACGCTGCTGATGCTGACTCAGACGCTGCTGGTGCTGACTCAGACACTGCTGGTGCTGACGTGGCATGCAGAGGCAGCGGCAGTGCCCCGTGGCGCATGACAAGAAAGGAGTCGAAGCCGAGAGCAGCGTTGATGACCGCCTGTGTGGTATGTGACAAGGGAGCGACAGCGTAGGATGGTAGTTAGAATGGCGTTAGAATGGCGTTAGAATGGCGTTAGAATGGCGTTAGAATGGCGTTAGAATGGCGTTAGAATGGCGTTAGAATGGCGTTAGAATGGCGTTAGAATGGCGTTAGAATGGCGTTAGAATGGCGTTAGAATGGCGTTAGAATGGCGTTAGAATGGCGTTAGAATGGCGTTAGAATGGCGTTAGAATGGCGTTAGAATGGCGTTAGAATGGCGTTAGAATGGCGTTAGAATGGCGTTAGAATGGCGTTAGAATGGCGTTAGAATGGCGTTAGAATGGCGTTAGAATGGCGTTAGAATGGCGTTAGAATGGCGTTAGAATGGCGTTAGAATGGCGTTAGAATGGCGTTAGAATGGCGTTAGAATGGCGTTAGAATGGCGTTAGAATGGCGTTAGAATGGCGTTAGAATGGCGTTAGAATGGCGTTAGAATGGCGTTAGAATGGCGTTAGAATGGCGTTAGAATGGCGTTAGAATGGCGTTAGAATGGCGTTAGAATGGCGTTAGAATGGCGTTAGAATGGCGTTAGAATGGCGTTAGAATGGCGTTAGAATGGCGTTAGAATGGCGTTAGAATGGCGTTAGAATGGCGTTAGAATGGCGTTAGAATGGCGTTAGAATGGCGTTAGAATGGCGTTAGAATGGCGTTAGAATGGCGTTAGAATGGCATGTGGTGATAAGCAGCGGCGGTGCCCCGTGGCGCATGACAAGGAAGGAGTCGAAGCCAAGAGCAGCGTTGATGACCACCTGTGTGCTATGTGACAAGGAAGGGATGGTACGGGAGGGACGGTATAATGGGGTGTGGTGGGGCATTGAAGGGAGTGCAGTTGCCCCGTGGCGCATGATGAGGTAGGAGTCGAAGCCGAGCGCAGCGTTGATGGCCACCTGAGAGTGAGGGGTGTGGTATGAGAGGCATGGCATGGGAGGGATGGTGGTTAAGATGCTATGCAGTGTGGCATGTTGTGATAACTAACGGCAGTGACCCGTGGCGCATCACAAGGAAGAAGTTGAGGCCACGAGCAGCGTTGATGGCCACCTAAGTGGATCGTGGCATGGGAAGGATTGGATGGATGGTACTAGATGGGCGAATTCCAAATCCTAACCCCTAAACCTTAAACCCTCACCTTCCCCTCACCAGCGCACAGCAGGGTGGGCAGCCAGCGGCTCTCCCTCAACCCCTCCCATTTCCCCTCTCCCATTCCTTCACCTCTCGACCCGTATACCCTAAAGCCTCTCATTGACCCTCATCTTCCCCTCATCAGCGCACAGCAGGTTGGGCAGCTAGAAGCTCTCCCGCAACCCCTCCCCTTTCCTCGGAAATATCACCCCTCCACCTCCCTCACCTCCTGAAACCTAAACCTAAACCTTTAGCCCTCACCTTCCCCTCGGCGGCACACAGCAGGGTGGGTAACCAGCGGCTCTCCCGCGTGTCGGTGAGGAGGAAGACGGCGTCTGACTGGCGGAGTAGTGCCAGCAGGGCTGCCACGTCAGCATGCACACGTGGCGCCTCGGAGGCCGACACGGGGTGACCTGGCATGGGGATGGCGAGGCGATGGCCTGACGTGTGCTGGATGAAAGGTGGCAGGAGGGAGTGGCAAGGGGAAGGGTGGGAGGGAGGGGGATAGGGGAAGGGGAATGGGATTGAGGACGGCAAAGGCCCAAGGGGTGTTGGAAGGGGCTTTGAGCGCCTCAGGAATGAAAAGACACCTGGGAGGGCGACACAGGGTGACCTGGCATGGGAATGGTGAGGCGATGGCCGGATGTGTGCTGGGGTGGCAGGCGTGGGAAGGGGGATGGGGGGAGCGGGATGGGGAGGAGGGTGGGCTATTGGGGGGACGCTTGAGCAGCTTAATGAAAATGGCAGCGGAAAGCAAACGGCCCTCCTCCCCATGCATTGGGGGGGAGGTTCAAAGAGCTCTCAAATGGCAAAGCAGCGGTCGCATGTGTGTTGGAAGAAAGGGTGGGGAGGAGGGAACAGGGGAAGAGGGATGCGGGACAAGGGGAATGGGAGAAGGGGAAATGGGGAGGGGCACATGGGGAAGGGAAGGAGATGGGGGAAGGGGGATGTGGGCACGGCAAAGGGGCATTGCCGGCGTTTCATCTCACACTTACAGCAGTGGGAAGTATTTCTTTGAGTGCTTCTGCTGCTGCCTGTGCTTTCGGTACGCCGCCGTTCAAGCAGTGCTTGACAGAGAAGAGGCATTGCCGCACAGGGTTAGAATACGAAACCGCCCCGTAGTCCACGAGGGTAATGTCACGAATGCCCCAAGCCTGGCGGGTTTGAAATAAGAGGAAGTGGAGCAATGGCAACAAGCGTGTGAGGAAAAAATGCTCAATCGCCCCAGCAGCAAGTAATTTGCAAACTACTAGATCTGTGCCTGTACGAATCCGTTAATCCACTTCAAAGAACAAGTATTAACCGCTTGAATCAACAAGTCCGCTCTCCTCTTCAACAAGATTCTTCAAAGGCGGCGTTCTCCGGTAACATACTATAGACAACGCCACTTTTGGTAACAACTCCGCCCTTGTCAAGGGCGGAACGATATCAGGAAAGAGATCCAGAAAGAAGGTAAGATAAGGCGCGCATGCCCAGTTCTCTGGACTCTTTTCTCCCTTTGTGTGTGGGCAGTTACGCCACGCGGGTGTTAGCCTTCTCTCAGTGCCCTTAGCCCCCTTCACCGCACTCTTCTCAACTCCCTTCACTGCACTTCTCGTCTCAGCCACCTCTTCCAGCTCCTCCTCCTCCACCCTCTTTTTTTTCAAGATTTTTCAATTTCTCTACCCTGCTTTGAGGCTCTGCACCTCCTTGTTTGCCACAATCTTGGATGCCTCGTTCTTGATCGAGCACAGCCGCGTGGCATAACTGCCCACACACATAGCTGCCTAGTTCTCTGCCCAGTTCAACGAAATCACCTCCATTTTCTCCCCCTCCCCCATCTCCCCTCTCCCCTGTCCCCTCCTTCCCTCCTTAAGTGGAAGGCTCCTCCTCCTCCTCCTCCGCAGCCAATGGCACCCTCTACACCGTCTCCCTTGCCCGCTCGTACTTCCACTCCAATCGGGCTGATCATCTTCCTCTCCTCTCAACGCAGTCAACTGCTCCCTCCTCCACAGTCAACGCAGTCAACTGCTCCCTCCTCCACTGCTCCCTCCTCCACAGTCAACGCAGTCAACTGCTCCCTCCTCCACTGCCATCCATTATTTCCCACTTCTCTACCCTCCGTACTGCCATTCACCTCCAATGTTAACGTCTTCCCGTCTCTCCTTCCCCCTCCCTCAGGCATGTTTTGAGTCGACTCAAAGAACAGCAGCAAGTGGTTTGTTAATCTGCTAATCCAGTACAAAGAGCAGGTGGTCTCTCAAGCATTTCGATGCCTGCAGCTTCTCCAACTACAGCTGTGGCAGCACGCGCCACCTCATCAGCTTCAACTGAAGAGAGGCTTCTGGAGGGAGGGAGCGGGCCACCTGACACCCGAGAGTGCCGGCCCCTAACAGTAAGCATTTCGTTGCATTCAATCGCTCCAGCTGCAGCTGTGGCAGCACGCGCCACCGCATCAGCTTCAGGTTGAGCGACGCTGCCTCGTCTACCTCACTCCACCTCCTTCAACCGTGAACTCACTCACCAGCAACGAGCGCGCCACCTGACACCCAAGGGTGCCAGCTCCCAACAATAGGCATTTCGTCGCCTGAAGCTTTTCCAGCTGCAGCTGTGGCAGCACGCGCCACCGCATCAGCTTCAGATTGAGCGACGCTGCCTCGTCTGCCAGCCTGGCAGGGTCCATCAGCGGCGCCAGGTCAGCACACCGCGCGCCGGTCCTCCCCTTGGCGTTCAGCTCCCAGCCAGTGGCGGATGGACACGTGGCGGGTGCTGTGAGAGGGTTCAGCCAATCAGCTGCGAGGGTGAAGAACGAGAGTGACACCAGAGAAAAGAGGACAGAATGGGGAAAGGAGCTGAACTCTTAGAAGACAGGGGACAGAAGAGAGGGTGCAGAGAAAATCAGCTATACTCTCATAATGGGGAAATACGGGAAAAAGAGCATTCTCAAGCAACTCTTGATATTTCAAGTGCCTAATGGAAAGTGTCATTTAGATGAGACTGAGGGAGGTGGTATCTGTGGGGGAGGTGGCATCACGTGCCTGGGGGAGGTGGCATCACGTGCCTGGGGGAGGTGGTATCTGTGTGGACGTGCCTGGGGGAGGTGGTATCTGCGTGGATGTGCCTGGGGAGGTGGTATCTGTGTGGACGTGCCTGGGGGAGGTGGTATTTGGACGTGCAGCAGCAGTGAGTGGTGCAGGCTGATCCGACCGTGGCGCTGCCGCAGGCAGAGCACATGGAGGGAGGTGGCCTGGGAGGAATACAAAAGGACAAGACAAGGGAGGGGAGGGGAGATGGAGGAGCAGATGGGAAGAAGGAGGAAAAGCAAGAGAAACAGAGGAACAAGCACTGACCTGCCATTGGAGAGAGGCGAGGAGAAGCAGGTTGCGGAGGGGCCAGCCAGGGGAGAGAGGCAGATGGCAGGGGTCGAAGAATGCAACAAGGAGCCGTGGAGGAGAGTAGGGGGAAGAGGAGGAGGAGGATTCGTTTTGAGTTGCCAGACGCCTGTACTCTGTTAACGGATGTGCTGTTACTGCAGGTTGTGCGGAACTGGTGCTGGTGGTGGTGGAGGAGGCGTCTATATGGAGAAGGAAGAACGGCGCGCCTCTCTCTACAAGCGGAGCTTCTGACATGGTTTCTCCTTCTATGGTTGCTGCTGCTGCTGCTGCTACTGCTGCTGCCGCTGCTGCTACTCCTGGAATGCTGTCCGCTGCTCCCACTCCTCCGATTCTGTTCTCATTGCGTTTCCCTCCTTGTCTTCCCTCCTCCGCTTCCCCAGATTCCACTTGACCTTCTGCAACTGCCCTCTCATTTACATTCTCCTCCCCTCCCTCGAGACCTTTACCTTCGCCAGCCAATGCAGCTTCTGCTTCACCTCTTGCCCTTCCCATTCCCCCCTGTCTCCATTGCTCACACTCCTTTTCGATCGCATCTGCCTGTATGCATGGTGGGTAGGAGGAAAGGGAGGGGTTGAAAGAGGAAGGTGAAGGATGAGAGGCAACTGGTTGCTTCCTTCGTCCCCTATTACATACACTACCTCTTTCGTTCAGTAAGCATGTAATAGAGAAATCGCTCCAGCTCACACACACTCGAAGAAGCACGAGTTGGGTTTAAGGATTGGTAGAGGATTCGCGAGGCACTCGGAAGTCAAAGTTCGAACGCCTTAGTTGTAGGCAAAGGGGGGACGGTTAGGATGGCAGGGGAGAGAAGTGAGAGAAAGGGGAAGGCGAGGGAGGGGTGCGAAGGTGCCGCAAAGTGAGATGAGGCGAGAAGGGGAGTCAGAGGATTTGAGCACTCACCAGTTGGGGAGAGAAGACTTGCGTTGCAGGCAGAGGGTGGGAGGCGAGGGTGGCAGGTGAGGGGAGCGCGAGAGGCGGGAGGGCGTACGAGAAAACGGAGTTGAGGTGAAAAGGGGAGTCAGAGGATAGGAGCACTCACCAGTTGGGGAGAGAAGACTTCTGTTGCAGGGAGAGGCGGAGAGGCGAGGGTGACAGGTGAGGGGAGGGTGAGGGCGGGGAAGGCAAAGGCGTAGTGGAAGCGCCAGTGCTTGATGTCCGGATAGACTAGGAGGAAGAAGGCGTTGAGGAGGGACGGGTGCTTTTCTGCCCTGCCAGATAGCATGTCGTGCCAAAGCTGAGGGAAGGTGGGGGCAGGGGGGGTGAGAGAGGGAAAACGAGACAGAAAGAATAAGGGGAAATTACAAGGAAATACGGCAAAACGGACTGTGATGCGGACGTGGTAGGACCACGTGTGAAATGAGAATGGGACACAAGACAACTGGAGAACATTGAGGACAGAACGCAGGTAGTGCATTAAAAGGGATCACTGGTTTGTAGGATGAGCTTGCCTGTCGCTCCCTCCTATGATGGGTGTTTTACTATTAACCACACACCCTCAATCCACACATTCACATTCTCACCTGCTGCGCCACTCTCTTCATCTTGCGCCTTTAAAACGCTCGAAACGACTCCACTGTGTTGGCGATCCGTAACAACCCACCCTGCCTCACACCATGCTGCTGCCATCACTGGTTGTCCGTCACCACACTAGTAACCACACTAGTAACCACACTGGTAACCACACTGGTAACCACAATGGTAACCACACTGGTAACCACACTGGTAACCACACTGGTAACCACAATGGTAACCACAATGGTAACCACACAGTCGTATTCTCACCTGCTGTGCCACCCCCTCCATCATCTTCCGCCGGTCGAATGCTCGGAACGACTCCACTGTGTTGGCAATCCGTAGCACCCCTGCCACCACGCTCCTGCCATCACTGGTGGTGGTAACCGCCACATTTCTGTCACCACTGGTTACTGCACTCCTACTGTCACCACCGTTGCTGTTGCTGTTGCTGACGTTGCTGCTACTATTGCTGCTGGCAACACCACCAGTGCTGCTGTCAGCAACAGTGATGACATCAGCATGTGTGGCGACGTCAGCAGTGGTGACGTCCGAGGTGGTGACGTCAGCGGTGGTGACGTCAGCAGTGTTGGTGGTAACATCCGGTTGGATGAGATGCAAGCGAGGAGGCGGGGCAGGGGAAGGGGGGAAGGAGGCGGAGGAGAGGGAGAGGAAGGAGGGGAACTGAGAGTGTGAGGATGGCGTGAAGAAACCTGTGAGGGATTTTTTTTTTGGGGGGAAAAGGGGGGGGATGCACAGGTTGAAGAAGTGACACAAGGGGACCGCAGAAGGATATACAGAGGACGAAGGATGTCGCTGACGACAACAGGGGAACAGATACAGTTAATTAGATTTCCCTGTCCAGATTCAGCTTTCAATTCCTCCTCCCCTTTGCCGAACAGCCGATAATACCACGAATCAGATATAACAATCCAGCAGGATTTGTCGTTTTATTGCAACTCGAATCAAATCTTCAGCCAGCGACACCCAGCCTACCATGAATTGCCACGTCTTCCTCTTTCAGGCCTTGCGAATCGACCTTCAGCGACGCGAGCTTCTCCCAGAACGACACGTCAACGGAGCTCTGCCACGTGGCGAACTGCAGGATGGATGACGTGGCCTCACCCGCCATTCTGCGTTCTTACGCAACCCCTTACTATCAAATTGATATCAGAATTCACGTATGATAAGTTGTACGTAGCCTAGGCGTGACCACAGGATGTACAAATCAGGAAAAAAAGTTTAGTAGAGTATCATACACATTACAGTAAAAAACACAGTATTTCACTAACTATTGTAAAAATCATTAAATCCGTACAGGAGGCTGTGCAGGGGTAATTCGAACGAACGCGCTGCGCCGTAAGCGGGAAGCCGAGCGCACTACGGTTTCCAGCTATCAGTCAACTAAATCGCAAGCGGGGGATCAACCTTCAAATAGTTCACCAAATGAGCGAAGGATATCAGACAGACTAAAAGGGAGTGGAAGAATCTGACTCAGCCGCGTTTGCAGTTGGTCGTTCAGGGATCTTGAGGGCGGGTCCAGCGCGTACGTTTACAGGTACTATACAGTTCATTCGTCGCGTTTTAAAATGATATCAGACGGTGCACAGCGGTTTTAAAAATGCACCGTTCTAAAACGTGATGCATTACAGATCACCGCAATGGATGAACTGTAATGTACGGAAAATGTACGCGCTGGACCCGCCCTGAGTCGCTCGAAATAAAACACTCCGCAAACTAATGGAGAGATTTGACCAATCATCAGGCATTCCGGTTCATAGAAACACCCCGCAAAGTAACTCAGTACGTATTCCAACACGGTCGCGACCTGAAACAAGACTGAACCTGAAACTATGAACACGTCTTGAGATTCATCAAGACGGATGGTCTGCGAGCAATGCAGAAGCATGTGCAGATAAAGTTTATAAGCTGCAAAACATGTAACAAGAACACACTACGGACTAATATTTGGAATCATGGCATTGCTGGCTGGAATACAGCAGATTTACTGCACAGGCTGGAGGTCATACACAACTGCGCATAACACCACAGAGCAGAGCACCCCCTTCAATCATGGGACATGACCAAGTCCCATCGCCACAGCCAGCCATCGTCATCACAGCTCATTATAATACTGCAAGGGGGTTCACGGAAGGGATGGTTAACTTAGCTGTTTTCTGACATGTACAAGCATGTGTATCAGCAGAACTTAGAAGTACATTATGAAAGAAAGTCAGACAGATGCATTTTTTAAAAGAAGTGGACCCTGCGGTTACCTGCCATCATGTGACACGGCTGTTTGTCTTATTTGCGTTTTACAGTCCTTCCGTGAAAGCCTGTTAGGAATTGGGACGGGGTGGGGGGGGGGGGGGGGGAGAATAAATTAAAAAGATTATTAAAAGAGAGAGAGAGAGAAAAAAAAAAGGCAAAAACTGTCACCCCATTGGCACGATCATTAGGTAGTAAACATCTCGGACAAAGGGGAAGAAGAAGAAGAAGAAAAAAGTAGACACTATATCCATCTTTTGCACAGAACACCACACCACACCTAGACGTGCGATGACAGGACTTGACACTTGCATCGATGCCATGTCATGCCCATCCCACTCACGTGCTGAGGAGAATGGGCGGGCTTGATTGCAAGTCGTATACAAACACCTTGCCCACACAGTTGCCTGATGTGGTGGTGATGGTAGCAAACGGATGCATGGCAAGGTGTCACTGAGAGCCAATAGAAGGGTTCAATTGCAAATTGTATACAAACACCTTGCCCACACAGTTGCCTGACGTGGTGGCAAAGGGTGGCATGGGAGACATGACATGCCACGATGAATCGATCAAATCTTATGGTGTAACAATGGAATTAAAAAAAAACCGAAGGCATACCTACAGCCATATTGTTGGCCATGAAGTAACTTGATCAAACTTGATGAACAAGAGGGAGATGACTGAACTAACCCAAAAAAGAAGGGTAATAGAGAAAGGCATACCTATAGCCATAATGTTGTTCATGAAGTCAAGATCAAACTTGATAAACCAGAAGCCACAGTCCGGCACCGGGTAGCGCTGCAGAATGTCTAAGTGTCCCTGGGATGGTGGGATGGCACATAGAGAAGCGCACATTTTGTATGCATCAATCACAGGGTAGCGCTGCAGAATGTCCAACGCTCCCTGGGATGGTGGGATGGCACATAGAGACGCGCACATATTGTATGCATCAATCACTGGGTAGCGCTGCAGAATGTCTAAGTGTCCCTGGGATGGTGGGATGGCACAGATTCATATGAGTGCATTACCCAGTCGACTTAAAAACTTGATGAGCCAGAATCCACAGCCTGGCACTGGGTGGGTAGGCCTGCATGATGTCAAGGGGTCCCTGATATGGTGGGATGATACAGATTCGTAGAATAAATTTTGAGTCGACGTAAGAAACTTGATGAATTAGAATCCACTCCACAGTCCGGCACTGGGTAACGCTGCAGAATGTCCAACGCTCCCTGATTGGTAGATCAGCAGATTCGTATGAGTAGAGAAGGTGGGATGCTTTCAACTAGGCGGATCAACGAGCTTGGTGGTTGGTATGCTATTCAATTGACTTGAGAATGAGGTGTATTGCTGTTTTGAGACGTCTCAAAGCAAGGTGGGATGCTTTCAACTAGGCGGATCAACGAGCTTGGTGGTTTGTATGCTGGTGCAATGATAATTGATTGACTTGACAATGGAGTGCAATGCTTATGACAGCAAGGCAAGAAATGCTTACACGTCAGCAGGGCGAGGCGATTACATAAGCAGGGCCGCATGCTTACATCAGCAGAACGAGATGCTTACATCGGCAATGCGAGGTGCATACATCAGCATGACAAACCGCTTACCTCATTAGGGTGGGCAGAGCCGGGTTCCGTGCCAGGCTTGTGGCACCTTTGAGTCGACTCAAAAGTTACATCAGCAATGTTAGGTGCTTACCTCATTAGGACAAAACGTTTACCTCATTAGGACAAAACGCTTACCTCATTAGGGTGGGCAGAGCCGGGTTCAGTGCCAGGCTTGTGGCACCAGCGCCATAGGATGACCTCGTTGTCTACACTCTACAGACGAAATATGCACAGTGGGATAGAGGGAAAGGCAAATGAATAAGGCACACGCAATAATCTTCAGCATGGCAGGCTTGTGACACCAGCGCCATAAAATGACCTCGTAGCCCACACTCTGCAGTAGCTGAACGCAACGCACAGATACGCACACACAGATACACATTTCATTAAGGAGAAAATATTCAGTGTTAAACTTCAGTAGCAGGCTTGTGGCACCAGCGCCATAGGATGACCTCGTTGTCCACACTCTACAGTGGAGGAATGCAGAGATATGCACACACAGATACACAATTGAAGGAGAAATACACAGCGTTAAACTTCAGTGCCAGGCTTGTGGCACCAGCGCCATAGGATGACCTCGTTATCTACACTCTACGGTAAAAGTAGAAGTAGGCACAGTGAGAGGGAGGGAAAGAGGGAATGGCTCAAGAATAAGTTACACACTGATCCAAATAATGCACAAGTAAAGGAACATACCATAAGAGGAAACAGAGATTCACGAAGTGCATAAAAACAGCAGGGGGACGAGAAGGACGGTTGTTTCTGAATTCAGGCAGTTAGGCAGAAGATACATAAGCACGGATACATACATATATTTTAATATATAAAGATTTAGGACGCACCTTAGAGAGCACGAAGTCTCCATACCACCGCAGGCAGTCTATATAGTTGGTGTGCACGTCACACACCACGTACAGCTGGGTGGGGTGAGGTGGGAAGCGGTGGGGGCAGGTGCAGGGAGAAAGCATGAAAGAGAGGCAGTCAACGTGGTTAGTGTGGGGCAGTCAACAAGAGACGGTCAATGAGAGGCAGTCACAAACCACGTACAGCTGGGTTGTGGGGTAGGAAGGGGGGAGGTGGGGAATTCTTGCAAATCCTTTTGCAAGTCTCAACCCTAAGGTGGGTTGCCGCGAAGTCTCAAAATTACCATGCGAATCCTACCTCATCAAAACGCAAGAAAACCCCAATGATGGTATCATGAAGCATCATCAAGAACTCTCAAAGTATAGGCAGATACTTGAGGTGTCTCAAAAAAGATGACTCACAGGGTACTGTAGAATCTTGGTGGGGAACTTGGACGGGAGGTCCGTCCAGGTGAAGGACTGGTCTACCACGTGCCAGCACTCTGGTGAAGGGAGGAGGGGATGAGGAGTGGAGGAAAGGAGAGAAACGGAAAAAGACAGGGAGAGAGGGTAGAGAGATACGTGAGAGGCTTGGATGGGAGGTCTGTCCAGGCGAAGGACTGGTCTACCACGTGCCAGCACTCTGGTGACGGAGGGGAGTGGGAGAGAGAGAGCAAGAACGGAGGAGAGGGAAAGGGGAGGGGAGGAAACGACGATTGCTCGGTTTTGGATGGGAGGTCTGTCCAGGTGAAGGACTGGTCTACCACATGCCAGCACTCTGGTGAAGGGCACACTTTTGAGAAGTATCATTAGTAAGAGGGGCGCTGCTATACCTTGCAGGTTCCACACGCGGATGCTGCTGTCCATGCTGCAGCTGGCGAGGAAGGCCTCGCTGTGTGAGTGCGAGAGGATGTGTGTGCCTGTGCGTGAGAGAGAGAGAGTCTGTGGAGGGGAGAGCGTATGAGAGCATACCTTGCAGGCTCCACACGCGGATGCTGCTGTCCATGCCACAGCTGGCTATGATGAGAAGAAGGGCGCAGCATGAGCGTTCTAGTGCGAGTGCGAGAGAGAGTTCAAGAGAGGCGCTGCTCTACCTTGCAGGCTCCACACGCGGATGCTGCTGTCCATGCTGCAGCTGGCGATGATGGTGGTGGCCTCGCTTAATACAGGAGAAATGCATTCATGCGCAGCTGAAAGGTGAAAGAATGAGTGGGATGCTGCCGTACCTTGCAGGCTCCACACGCGGATGCTGCTGTCCATGCCGCAGCTGGCGATGATGGCCTGGTCACCCGGATGGAAGTCCTGCAAATGAGACATGACACAGCATGTGAGACAAGCAAGGAATACATGCAGTTAGGCAAGAGAGACACAGTTACATGCCACAGCTGGCGATGATGGCCTGGTCACCCGGATGGAAGTCCTGCAAATGAGACATGACACAGCATGTGAGACAAGCAAGGAATCCATGCAGTTAGGCAAGAGAGACACAGTTACATGCCACAGCTGGCGATGATGGCCTGGTCACCCGGATGGAAGTCCTGCAAATGAGACATGACACAGCATGTGAGACAAGCAAGGAATACATGCAGTTAGGCAAGAGAGACACAGTTACAAGCCACAGCTGGCGATGATGGCCTGGTCACCCGGATGGAAGTCCTGCAAATGAGACATGACACAGCATGTGAGACAAGCAAGGAATACATGCAGTTAGGCAAGAGAGACACAGTTACATGCCACAGCTGGCGATGATGGCCTGGTCACCCGGATGGAAGTCCTGCAAATGAGACATGGCACAGCATGTGAGACAAGCAAGGAATACATGCAGTTAGGCAAGAGAGACACAGTTACATGCCACAGCTGGCGATGATGGCCTGGTCACCCGGATGGAAGTCCTGCAAGTGGGACACAGCATGTGAGACATGCAAGGTATACTTGCAGTCAAGCAAGAGGGACACAGCCACATGCCACAGCTGGCGATGATGGGCAGGATGGAGGTCCTGCGAGTGAGAGACAGCATGAGGGACATGCAAGGCATAACTGCAGTTAAGCAAGAGGGACATGGTAACATTCCACAGCTGGCAATGATTGGCAGGTCACCCGAATGGAGTCCTGCGAGTGAGACACAGCATGAGAGCAAGCAAGAATTGATGCAATAAAGCGCACAGGAAAGAAATCAAGCAAGAAGGCATGCACACACATGTACGTAGGGAAGAAAACTATACCATACGATACCGCCACACCACAGCACAGCATTGCATGCACCCGTGTTTGTGTTCCACAGGCGCAGCGAGTCGTCCTTTACCATATATTTTGTCAATGTAGATTAGCTATATCTTTCGTGACTGCACCACACTAATACTACACCGCGCTAAGGACCTCGTTTAAATGCCCATCTGTGCCATCCATGATCGCCACACACACGCCCGTGTCCGTGTTCCACAGCTGCAGCAACTCGCCCTTGCCTCTAATGCACTGTTTTCAACAACATCGGCCACTTTACCGCACTGAGGACTTCATTCCTGTGCCCGTCGCTCCCGCCCATGATCGCCACGCACACGCCCGTGTCCGTGTTCCACAGCCGCAGCGACTCGTCCTTCACTCTAGTAGTGCGCTGTCTGCATCACATATGAAACTATATTGACTGCACCACACTAGTATTTTACCGCACTGAGGACCTCATTGCGATGCCCGTCGCTCCCGCCCATGATCGCCACGCACACGCCTGTGTCCGTGTTCCACAGCCGCAGCGACTCGTCCTTTCCGGCTGAGAGCAGCAGCGCAGGGTGGCTCGGATGTACCCTCACCTCGTTCACTGCTCCCCCGTGCCCAATGAAACTCTGAAAGTGGGGGGGAGGGAAAGGTGGGGAATATGGAGTGCAGGGGAAAGGATGGGGGCATCTTATGCCTGCCTCTCTCGTCTTTTCCGGCTGAGAGCAGCAGCGCGGGATGGGTCGGGTGCACTCTCACCTCGTTCACTGCTCCCCCATGGCCTATGAAACTCTGAAAGAGGGGGAATGGGGGGGAAAGGAGGTGGGGAAGAGAACGAATGAAGAGCGAATTATGCCTGCCTCTCTCTTTCACTTTCGTCCTTGCAAGCTGAGAGCAGCAGCAGGGCAGGGTGGCATGGATGCACCCTCACCTTGTTCACTGCGCCGCCATGGCCAGTGGAACTCTGAATGAAAGAGAGGGGAGAAGCAGGAAAGGCACGGAGGCAAATCAAAAGCAGCTCTCATGCATGCTCTCTTGCTAGCTGCGAACAGCAGGGCGGGATGGTTCGGATGCACCCTCACCTCGTTCACTACCCCGCCGTGCCCAATGAAACATTTATGAGGGGGAGGGAACGAGAATGAAGAGCAAACACAGCAAGACAAAAAATCTGAACACTTGCTCACTTCCTCCCTCACCCCCTCACTCACTCACTCACTCCCTCACTCACACACTCACTCACGCACATGGACAACCGTCTCCCGCCAGCAGTCGATGATCCGAGTGACCCCGCTGCTGCCACTAGCTGCCAACAGCGGCTGCCCGTGCTTCCCCCTCATCCATGCCACTGTGTAGAACGACTCTTCCTTCTGATGATGGATGGACATGGCACATGGGGTATGGGATATGGAGACATGCATAAGAACAAGAGAGAGACACGGAGAAGGGAGACACAGTTACAACTCCACGCGCTCTCATCCATGCCACTGTGTAGAACGATTCTTCTTTCTGTTATGGATGGACATTGCACATGGATGCACATAAATAAGTACATGTGGATGCACATAGCAGCACATGGCATGGCATGGCATGGCATGGCATGGCATGGCATGGCATGGCATGGCAATGGGACACAAAGGAAAAGCACATTACACAAATGCCCCCTTACAGTACATTTTCATCAAGGAATAGTTGCACGACGATGGTTGCTCCACCGGCTTTCGAGTCGACTCAAAAGCACAATGGAACAGCACTACACGGAAATGCCCCTATCAAAAAATAGTTGCACGGCGATGGGTGCTCCACCGGCTTTTGAGTCGACTCACAATGGAACAGCACATTACGCAAATGCCCCCTTACAGTACATTTTCATCAAGAAACAGTTGCACGACGATGGTTGCTCCACCAGGCTCGCACTTGTACACTGTAACCTGCAATACAAGCTCAATAATCAAGCACAATAATTAAGCACAATGATTAAGCACAATGATCAAGCACAATAATCAAGCGTAATAATGAAGCGAGATAATCGAGCACAATAATCAAGCACAATAATTAAGCACAATTATCAAGCACAACACTCTGGCACCTCAGAAATTGCCTTACGCATATCATCAAATGAAAAGATCCAGGTTGCGGGAAAGCGTGTTTCGTATTTTCTTCTTTCACACACAAAAAGCAGCACACAAGCAACACCCCCCCGGCTCCAACACACACATCCGGCCGTTACTTTCTGTGAATCAATTCCAGCGTACCCTGTTGCCGGACACACTAGCAAACATGTCGAGGTAGCGAGGGTCGATCATGTTAAAGCATCCCCCGAACACTACACATGCTTCCGCCCTCACTGATCCTCTCTTCCCAGATAATTTTCTCGTACCCTGTTGCCGGACACACTAGCAAACATGTCAAGGTAGCGAGGGTCGATGCTCTTAAAGCATCCCTTGAACATTACACAAACGCCCCCAGCCAATTTCCTCTCCGAATAGAAAAAAAGTACCATAAGCCCTGTCTCGTACCCTGTTGCCTGAGACGCTAGCAAACATGTCGAGGTAGCGAGGGTCGATCATGTTGAAGCATCCCCCGAACACTGGCTTCTTGCCTTCACTGACCTGCACAGGAGGGTGATTATGAGGATGGGAGGATGCTTATAAGGGGGATAACAGGAGTACACGCAAGAGGGTCGATCATGCTAAAGCATCCCCCGAACACGGCTTCTTGCCTTCGCTGACCTGTAAAGGAGCGTGATAACGAGGATGGGAGGATGCTTATAAGGGGGATAACAGGAGTACACGCAAGAGGGTCGATCATGTAAAAGCATCCCCCGAACACGGGCTTCTTGCCTTCACTGACCTGCACAGGAGGGAGAATGCGCGGATCGCAGGATGCTTATAAAGGGGACAACAGGAGCGAGACAGCAAGGAAGATCGATGGTGTTAAAGCATCTCCCGAACACGGGCTTCTTGCCTTCACCGACCTGCAGAGGAGGGTGATTATGAGGATGGGAGGATGCTTATAAGAGGGATAACAGGAGTACACGCAAGAGGGACGATGTGTTGAAGCATCCCCCGAACACGAGCTTCCTGCCTGTAATCTGCGAGTGATGCGGGATTACAGGACAGAACGGCCAAGGAGAAAGTAACTGGAGATCGTGAAAAATACACGTTGACCGTCAAAGATCATCGCGTCCGCATTCACCGCCATGACTGTTTCGAGTTTGAAAACCCTATCACCCTCACCCACTTACTGCTGTGAACGCATTCAATTTCCCTTCCTGATTTGAACGCCTAACTTTCAAACATTATCACATCCGTCGCATTCACCTTCATAACGGCTTTGTACTCGCGTCGCTTTCCTCGCAACGCAGCGCCGCGATTCGGACCTCCCGGCGCCATGCCAAAGTTATTGCGTTCTACACTGAAGCGTCTCCTTAACCTCACTGAAAGGTATTGCGTCACGCTCTACACCGAGTACGGATTATCTAGAACACAATTGTACCAAGCCGGGAACGAATTCACATATTACTGTGGAACTTGTGAATGGAAAATGCTCGCCAACCCAAAAGACTTGAACGCGCACGCACGCTCGGCGCTCTTGTTAAAGCCTCCTTGGAAGTGACGGCGCGACAGCAATCACCACTGCGCGGCATTCGCTCTTATTCTGAGGACACCAGATGCTAGCCTGAAAATTCGTGTCTCCTGCATCCTTATTGCAAATCAAGCTATGGTAACGTGGGGATTTGACGACTCCGTTTTGTATGGTACTATGCGACTCTCAGATGTACGAAGTGTTGCAAAACGGTACAGTGTGGTTGAATGGTTTATGCCCAGAACTGCTCATTTCACTATGAAAGCACGAGCCAAGGACCCGATCGGGTAGGGAATACGGTAACGTGGGAACTGGACTCACGAATTCGTGCCACTTCGCAAACCAGCCATTTCGCATTTAGCGACAAATCGCGACTGACTCACAAGGCTTTCAAACCAGTATCAGGGGCGAAGCACAAAAGCGAACATTGTCCGGTTACCAAATTGCACGTGTTTCTCTGGAGGGAAAACCGAGTACAGAGCGTTTCCAGTTCTATCCCCATATTTCACCCCAAATTGATGGCTGCCTGGCATCAGTTCGCATCTTTCTCGCACCGCCCTTAGCATCAGGTATAGGCAGTGGAGGTAGAGGAGCGACCCGTTACTCGAGCTTCCTTTTTGCTGCTGCGCTCTCCTTCGAGGTGAGGACACAGCCGTTGCTCTGGAAAATGGATTCAACGCATTAGGAGGTTTTTAGGGTTTCATTGAGAATGTGATTGAAACAGAGAGGTAACTGGCGACGTCATATTCTCTTCGTTCGAGTCTTGTTTCGACTGCTCGCAAAATCGTCTACCCACCATCCCTGCGCAACCCTTTAAATGTGCTTCCGCTCCCCCCCCCCGTCCGTCTAGCGCGCTGCCGCTTTTCCTTTCGCCTTGTTACTCCAGCCCATTCCGCATCCTTTCCATCGTTCCTTCACCGTTTCATTCCACCATGGATCCCTCCCCCCTCTCCTTTTCAAATACAGCTCCCATGCCGTCTCTTCTCGCCTTGCTACCCTCCCTCTACGTATACGCGGTGACTTTAAGTCGACTTAAACCCTCATTGGCTTTAGAAGATAGCCACCATGCCGTCTCTTCTCACCTCGCTACTCTCCCTCGACGCATGCGCGGTGACCTTTTAGTAGACTAAAAAAATTTCCCCTCAATGTGTTTTGAAGATAGACAGTCACCTGCTTGCTACCCTCTCTCCCTCTACGCATGCATGCGCTGCGGATCAGTCTCTGCCCCTTTCACAAGTCCTCAGAATTTGACGCATCCAATCCAGTTGTTTCCTAAATGAAACTACTTCACAGAAAACAATAGGAGTTGCTCACCTGAATGTTTCTAGCTTTCTGCCAATGGGAAGGGCTTGATTTCAGCTCTCCTTCATCCTCCCTCTACCCTCTCTTTCTGCGGGCACTTGAGGATCCTACATTATCTGCCTGGCCCCTCCCATCGGCTCTGCTGCAGGCACAGGAAGATCCAATCCAGCATCGGATCCAAGATTCGATCCAGTAATACAGCAGATAAACGCTCATTCTTCCGTCTTATAACCCACCCTTAGCACTCCAGCCTTGCTCTTTACAACTGCACCAGCCCACAGCACACACAACACGCCCAGCATGCTTTCATGCCGCATGCCCATCGGCCACCACAGCACACTCAGCAGGCTACACACACCAGACAGCAGAGTGACCAGCAGCGCTCTCACGCTAATCTCCAGCCGTCCATCTCCTCCTGCTCTTGCTGCCTGCTCTGCTCGCTGCTGCTGCCAACCATTGGCAGCTGCTGTCATTTCCTGGAGCAGCCGTAGCTGCGTCAGCAGAAGCAGAAGTGCTAGCAGTAGCAGCACGGGTCACAGGAGCGGTGGGCGGTCAGGGTTGGGATGTGAGACGACAAGGGGAGAGCTGTGGATGGCAGGCTCAGGGGCAAGGCGAGGGGTTGTTGCTCACGCCAGACGCACGAGGGTGAGTTTTTAACGTCATTTTATGTCTTCGCATCAGCAGAAGTCCTAGCAGTAGCAGCACGGGTCACAGCAGGGGCGGGCTGTCGGGGTTGGGATGTGAGATGCCAAGTGGAAATTCGTCGGTGGATGGTGCAAGGGCAGGGCGAGGGGTTGTTGCTCACGCCAGATGCAAGAGGTTGAGTTTTAACTGTTCTCTGCTTTCGTATCTGTTGCTGCTGGTGCTTTTGGCTGCAGCCATTTTGGCAAATAGTGTGCATGGATACTACCACACGATTTTTTTTTTTTTTTTTTTAATATAGTATGCTATATCAGCATACTACCACCCCTGCCTTTCACTATTTCTAGACCACCCCGTCTTTCCCTGTTTTGCTCCAGTATGGTTCAACCATTCACAATTTCAGGCTGACTGACATATGATCTCATGGTTTCTTCCCGGCTCTCCTCGTTCACCATCCCATCCCCTTTACAGAAGGACCCGCAACCAGATAAGCTCATGGATGGTGTAGAACAGCTCGTCGACGACTACGACATTGAAAAGGTCGCGTCAGCCAATCAGCTCTCAGCTGATGACGTGGCAGCAGGGGAATTGTCGCTGGACTGCAACCGCTTCCTGATTGCCCGCAGCATGATCAACGACCGAGTGAGCGACCATGAGGAGGGAATCACGTGGCAGCGGTCGGCCCCGCGCCTGCTGTGGGTGGCTCGGGAGAGGCGCGCCGAGGCTGATGCGGTGGAGAGGCAGAGGAGGCGGGGGGAGAAGTAGGGAAGATGCAATTGGTGGGCACTTCCTTTACGTGCATGTTGGCTTTGAAATGGTAGTGACTGAAGTGCTACAAGCATGCTGGATTCAGAATGGTACAGAAAAGAAGTCTTTCTACAACCAAGTGAGTGACCACGAGGAGGGGATCACGTGGCAGCGGTCGGCCCCGCGCCTTCTGTGGGTGGCTCGGGAGAGGCGTGGCGAGGCTGATGCTGCAGAGAGGTAGAGGAGAGAGAAGTAGGGAAGATGGACAAATGATGGACTCTTCTGTTTCTTAGATGTTGGTCTTGAAATGGTACAGCACAGAAGTGCTTTACGATCGAATGAGCGACCATGAGGAGGGGATTACCCCTTGGCTGCGATTGGCCCCTCGCTTCCTGGGCTAGGGCTGATGCAACGGAGAGGCAGAGGGGGCGAGAGTCTTAAGATGGACAAAAGGTGGAAAGCTTGTTTTCCTATATACTGCCGTATTAGGAATGCATTCTGTAATTCCGTTATCCAATCTTCTACCTGCTAACCTGAACATAGAACCATTCCTACATGACAATTGCACTACCTCTTATACCCAGACAATCAGATACGTACAAGTCCGTAACAACCACTCTAGCTGACATTCCTTCCAATCATCGAATCAAACTCGCTTCACAATCACATTCGCTTGCATCAGCGCTTGACGCGTCCTGCTTGACAGCTTGCCTGCCTCCACCTTCAACCAGCAGAGCCTGGGAAAGCTCTCAACAACCCCATCAATTCCAGCCGTGGTAACCCTCGTACAGTCCAGGAGAGCTAGTCGTTCGAGCGTTGCAAGATGGCAGCTGTGAATAACTGTGTTGTCAGACACGTCCTCATTTTGAGATATGGTCAGTTCCTTCAAAGCAGGACAGGCTTGAAGCAAGGCCACCAAACCTTCTTCCCCTAGAGCAGAGCTGTTGTCCAGAGTCAATTTCTGTCAAACATATATGCTACATATTGTCTAGGCTGTAGTGGGGTAGCCCATATGGGGTACAACCCAATTAGGGTTTACTACTTGTACTCCTGCATGCTGCTAGTTCACTCATTCCTGCTGCTAGATTCTAACAATTTCGTCAAATCCTTGAATGCAGCCTGCCACTGAATGCCGCCAAGCGCCTCATCAATGCTTGCCAACGACGTATCTGGAATAGGAAGGGCGCTTTGGGCAGCACTGTTAAGAGCGGCGCGACGACAATAGAAAGCAAACCCCCGAAGCGTCAACGATTTGAGAGGAGGATGGATTAGCTCGGCAGACTGAGGATCATCCCTATCCAATGCTTCTGTACCCATCCTCTTGGGAGAACCCTGGGGCCGAACTAGCATGTGGATCAGGCCTTCCAGCTTGCCTTGAAATGAGTGAAGGGTGAGCGTCTCCAAGCAGCTGAGATCTGTAAGAAGAATGCGTTGGCATGTGTCAAACGAGGCAAGGCTGGGAGTTTCCAGCTGCTTGCAGCAATCTAGCATGGCATTGACCGTTTTCCGAGTGGTCAGATTGAGTTGGAGAGAGAGCGAGCGGAGTGCCGGGTTAGAGCTAGCAATGGCCTGTACACCTTCGTCAGTAATTTTTCTGCATCGGACGACTGACAGGCCAGAGAGGGAGTGAAGGGAAGATGATCCTAGGGAAGGGTTACAGGCACGTCGGCCTGGGGGGTTATGGGCGCACTCACCCGCTATATAAACAAGCCCTTTTATCCCAGTGGTTAGTGGCTGGGATTCTGACATGGTATCAGAGCGAAGGTCTCGGGTTCGATTCCCGGTGTGTGCACTTCGGGCATCCCAGTGCGGGGGGGTGTCAGAGGTCCACTGGAGATCCCCGATGATCCTAGGGAAGGGTTACAGGCACGTCGGCCTGGGGGGTTATGGGCGCACTCACCCGCTATATAAACAAGCCATTTTTTCCCAGTGGTTAGTGCCTGGGATTCTGACAAAGGGACCTTGCCAGGCCCTCCAAATCAAGGTACATGATATCACAGGAATCGAAGGAGAGCGTGGTGAGGCTGGTAAAGGAGCTGAGGGTCACGAGAGAAGAGCTGACGCTTGAATACACAGCAAAGGGGTGAAGTGGGCGACTGGAGTGAAGGAAAGGAGGAGGATCCAGAGGTAAGAATACACAGCATGGGGTCAGTGATCATTGAAATGGTCAAAGAGGTGAGAGAAGAGGAGTGACAGATGGGAGAGAAGTCCCGCGGGAAGCTTAAGACGATGAGGGTCAGAGACTGAAGAGCGGTGAAAGTTTCAAGAGCAGGAAATATCATATGTGGTGTGTTGGAACCGCGAATCTCGAGGGACTTTAAGAACCTGCAAATTCAGTAAATCATAAGCGTGAGTCAGGTACGGCAACACACTACAAATTTATTTAAATGGCTCACCGGCTGTCTTGACCAAACGCTTTCCACCCAGTCGTGGTGACACCGTCACATCCAAACGCAGGTAAACTTTCCAATTTCGGGCATTTCAAGGAGACTGCTTCCAGGAGCTCATTTCCGAATTCATTTGGTCCGACAATCCGGAAAATTTTGGCAATCTTACCCCGCATGCGTAGATTGTTGACGCACGGGAAGATGGCGGAACAATCATTTAGGTCTGTCAGAAATTTATGGAAAGAGCCGTTAAAATCAAGGCAAAGCGAACGGGGACAGAGCTTGAGGAAGTCCCGAAACCGCGTGCAGGTGAGAGCCGCGTGACAGCGATCGTCTGGGTCATCGAGGAGAGATAGGATAGTAAATAGAGTATTGTCCGGAAGAGAAAATATGTGAAGAGTATCATGGTTCATTGTGTTACTGGCGTAACCACACATGCAGAACGCCCTTGTGGGAGCTTGAGAGGATCAGTTCGTGTGCACAAACCAGAAAGCTCCTGGTTTTCCAATGGATCCGGGATAGAAGCACTCCTATTTAGGGCGTGGAACATTTTTACGACCACGCCGATTTATCGACCATTTGGTTGGAACTGGCGAAAGCGAAGGGTGTAACAGAGTTGCGAAGGGTGCGAAATTTCTAAGCTGTACTGCTCGCCAGCACGCGGGGCACCCAGTAGAAACCACCCCCACTAAGCAGAAACATTTGTTCCCACTTTAAGCATTCGAAAGAGGTGTGGTATATCGAGGAGGGCGGAAAATGCGTAGAATGTGAGGCCAACACAATTGATGGTAAGTACTGGAAGTCAATTAATTTACCCCTTTAAAGAAATAAGCGTGAGGAGAGCTCTTAATACTTACGAGAGATCCCAATGATTTTCGGTCATTTCAGGGTAACTACTAAGCATGCCAATCAATGGGGTTTCCTTCAATTCTTCGCAATCGCCAGAAACAACCATCGTTCCGACCATTTGGCGTGGTCGTAAAAATGTTCCACGCCCTAGAAATGACCAACCTGGAAATTAGCGGTGGAGCGGAGTTCTGAGCTTCGTGGCCATGGAGCCTCGAATTTAGCGGCATCATAGAGTCACTCGATTATTTGAATTTGTCATTGGTTGGGTTGGGACGCCCGCATGTTGATTGAAAGCCATATACGTTAACCAAGATGCACTCATCATTAATTTTCACTTACAACGATGACCGTACCCACCCAACCCAACAGCTGTGTGTTAGAATCTAGAGACAAGGATGATGCATTGATCAAGAGTTGGGTACATAAGCTAACCCTAACATTGGGTTGTACCCCATATGGGCTACCCCACTAGCAGCCTACACAAACACAATATGCATAGTTTGACACACCCCCATAGGCAAAGTGGGGGAGAACAAGGGGTCACAAGACCAGTCAAGAGAAACAAAACAAGCTCAGGGTGGATCACAACGTCACCACACACACTGAGCACAAGCAAAGGGCCACAAGGCCTGTCCACATGCAGAGGTATATATGCAACAAACAAAGTACAGTGATCACTACCTAGCAAGAGCAAGCATGCAGGTATATATATATATAAAGATCACAGTACAGGCAGAGTCTACAGCAAGTGTGGAAACGTAGGCACAAGGCCCAACAAGGTACAAAAGCGCTGATGATCACCAGACGGAAGTGCCTTGGTGAATATATCAGCAGTGTTGGCCCGAGTGGCCACGTGTGCAAGACGAAGCTGACCACGCTGCTGCAACTCTCGAGCCAGGAAGTAACGCAGAGCGATGTGCTTCGTTCTGTGCTCCAGTCTGTGCTCCTCACACAAGGCAATGGCTGCCTTGTTGTCAACGTACAGAACTGGAGGAGAACGAGGCCGCTCTCCCAGGTCGGTCAGCAGGTACGTGAGCCAGCGCAGCTCCTGAGCAGCCATGGCGGTGGCGTAGATCTCAGCCTCACAACTGGAGCTGAGAACAGAAGACGAGCGAGTAGAACGCCACGAAACAGAGCCAGAGCCGAGGCTGAAAGTGTAACCCTGTGACGACCGCTGTGTAGCCTGGTCGTCAACCCAAGACGCGTCTGAGTGCCCAGTGAGGACCACCTCTCGCCGTCCTCCAAGCACGAGCCCCATGCTCGATGTACTGCACAAGTAGCGCAGTACCCTCTTCGCAGCATCCCAGTGCACCTTTCGGTGCCGACCAAGAGCCACGTAGCGGGCCAAAAGGCCAAGAGGGTACGCAAGGTCAGGACGAGTGCAAGTCATCAGGTACATGAGGCAGCCTACTAGCTCTGGGTAAGGACCACTCGGCTCTACGGACTCGTCCGAAGGTGGAGCTGAGAGCGAGTGACCTGTAGCCAGAGGAGTGGACTGTGCTGAGGACCAGGTGAAGCCGAAGCGCTGAAGGACCTGCTGCACCATGTGTGACTGAGTCAGAGTGATGGTGCGCCATGCTCTGTCCCGGGTGATCTGCAAGCCAAGGTAGCTGCTCAGCTCACCCAGATCTGTGCACGTGTGTCTCTTCTGCAGCTCCGACTTCACCAGGGCGAGAGCCTCAGTGTCAGCAGTGGCAAAGACCAAGTCGTCGACGTACACGAGGATGTAGAACGACGGCAGCGAAGTGTCGGTGCGCAGAAACAGTGACGGGTCAGCTGTGG